TTTTGTCTTGATTTATTATAAACTTTAATATTGATTTTGTTGTAGTAAACAAGCTGATAATAACAATTCTGTGTGTATTACTGATTACTAATAATATTTAATTATGCTGATATTATAGGTGTGGATTTATTTCCTAATGGTAATAAAAGTACTAAAAGATTCTCTGACTATAGTTACTCTTAACTAGGTATGAGGTTCAGTATAAAATTGGTACTGTATGATACTTGTGAAGCTATGTATTTTACTCATATTTAGAAAGGAAGTTGTCCCGGCGATAAGGTTTGTATGTGTGTTGTTTGTTCATGTTATATTGACTAGACAAGTTCAGACAGGGTTAATATTAGTGAATATTTACTGGATTTATATTTAATATACATGTTTGGAATATTTTATGGGAATAGTATGGAGATATACAAGTAGTAAAATATAATATTAGTATTTTATAAATTTAATTATTGAGTTATATGTTTATGTCGGACTGTATCCAAGGAGATATTATCCTATTGATATCAAGTTAGGACAATTACTTTAAATATTAATAAAGCAAACACTAACACTGATTATTCACTTCTTTAATAAATTTACATTAGAGGTTAGGAATCAAATAGATAGCATATTGGGAAAATCTTCACCACACATGTATTTGAGGAATGTTCTTGATAATTAGTACTGTATGTATATATTATTGCAAGTACAATTGCAATAAGAATGTTAAACTTCTAATCTTCTGTTCATTCTTGAATTTGAAAGTAAGCTTGACTACTGATATGAATATAAAACTGCAGCATTGCTGGATACTGTTAATTATTTCTGGTGTGAACCATGATTGTTTATGTCACTGATAATTTAGTTGTATATTACGGTTGATATATGATGATTTTATATTTAATTATATTAAACAAATACAAATAAACAAACTTGCTAGTATTTGTTACGTTGACAGTTGTGATAGATAATCAAAATTCAATTCAATACATCAATACGTCATTCAATACGTCATTAATGTGACAGATGTCAAACAAAAGGAGATTATACACGTTATGATTCTATATCTAAGTCTATAGAAAATTTATATAATTTTTTGTTATTTTATAATAACTGTAGGGGAAATATTGGAATTATTTATATGAGAAATTTCACTTAAATGATATGATAATTATTTAAAGACCTAATTTCTTAGGGATTTAATCATGATGATTTAAACACTAAAACACTTGTTTATCTGAGAAATCCTCTTAGTAAATAGGTTTATTAAGACACTAAAAGGAAGTAGATATAGTATAACTATAGTACAGCTACAATAATTGTATGGGACTCACTGTCCTTTCTATACAAATATATATTTAATCTATATCTTTCACATTATAATTATGCAATATATTGCCTCTACTACTACAACATACACAAATAGGACTTATTGTCCTTCCTATAAACCTATATATAATAATTGACCTGGCACTTTAATGTGTAATTTATCAGTACATATGACAACAACCAATTAGGACTTATAGTCCTCTCTATAAAGCTACATAATTATTTAATCTGATTATTTCACAATGTGATTAATCAAACCTCTACAAATATTACAAAAGATTTCTATTACTCTCAACACAATAATAGCTTGTTGGACTTAGTGTCCTCAAACTTATAGAAAACCCAACTGGTTATTTCACGAGACGTTGTTAACTTGTGATTAATCAGTGTCTTTTAAAGGACTTATAGTTCCTTTAGATATATCTCTCTGAATAAATAATTGGTTAATTCACAATGTGGTTAATCAACAATAATATTATATATAATTGACTGGACTTATAGTTCATTCAATAGCACTCATTACTTTTAGTAGCTCTCGACCTATGGGTTGGACTACTCGTTCTTAGGCTCCGGCCTAATCAACAGATTTAACTTGAACCTTGAGTATTCTTGGTATTAAGTAAATAATATTAAATTGACAATGCTATGTTATGATATAGCAATTATCAACATTATATGGCTTGGCCAATTCCAGGGTGTGGAAGGTATCCCCTATCACACAAATCTTCATCTCTATCGGACTGTCTTCACAGGTGATCTCTAATGTCACATTATAGGGCCGAAGGGTTATGTCCCAACAAAGTAAGTTCTGGTGTCTGGGTGATCTCGCTTCTTGGTCTGATCTCTTGTGGAGCCGAAGGGAAACCCCCATTGAGTAAGCTCGTAACAGGGTGACGCTGGGAAACAGTTTCGTACTGTTAGTGGGTGATCTCTATGTCGCCATATAGGACTGAAAGGGTCATCGCCCATGAGTAAGCTCTCGTGTCGGAGTGATCCTGGGATTTCAGTTCCGATCCTTTTGCCTCTGGCAAACACCAATTTATACTGGAAGCATCGTGGGGCTGGTGGAGCCACTGTAATGTTGAAGTAAATGTACTTATGTTTGGTTTGGAACTGAGAATACTCATTCCCTTATTACCATCAGAGTGCATTAATAAATAGTAATACCCTTCCCTACCTTTTTGGAGGAAGAGTTATAGATAGTTGGAAAGTCTTCCACTGGTCCGGGCGTGTGAGGGGCCCGACCGCTCCCCCATTTTTTTATTATTACAGTTATTCTGTAATTTACTATTAAATTAATATATTATATTCTAACTTCCTAGTTACATGAATTATGAGTATAATTCATTAATTATTCTTAATCCTTAAATATTTATCAATTATCTTCATTATTTAACTCCTATCATATACCAATTAAAGAACCTTTTGGTTATTACACACACAACGGGTCCTACATTACTAGACGATCACACATTTATTTATCTGGCCAAATGATCAAGTGTTCTACTATAAGATCTGTTCAATATTATATGTTTATTGTAAGGATTTATATGATTCATAGGATGTTTAGGGTGTATAAGGCAATATAGGTATGGGATTATATTGAGGGTGTTAGACCATTCTTTAGGGTAGGTTTTCATTATATTTTCATAGATTTCATTAGGTAAAGCCTTCGTAGGCTTTTCTTAGGCTTTGTAGGTTTTCCACGTGTAGGTTAGTTTAGAGGGTAGTTATTATAAGGGGTGCAAAGGGGGGGACCATCACATCCCGATAGCGCAGGCGGGGTTACCATACCATTATCGTTCATTAAAAAAAGCCTATTTGGCACTCCTAGGTAAAATTATAAAAAGATCGCCGGGGATGACTCCCCGATTGGACACAATCCTGCTATTCACTCAAAAGCAACGACGAATTTGGACGACCACTGTAAGCAGTCAGACATCTCTGATCGCTACCCGACCAATATATATATATATATATATATATATATATATATATATATATATATATACAATAAATTTAAGTCTATAAATAGATAGATAATAGATAGCTTAACAAATATATTGCACTTTATTTTAAATTACATAATGTGACAAAAAAGAAACGAGTTTGCGTTGATTGTACGCCGTTTGCGGATGCTTCGAAACGTACTCAGGACAGAATTGACAATAACAAGACTTGAGTACGTAATTACTGATAGACATTCTTAAATGTTTTTTTTTTATTTATATACTAACTAGCTGACCCGGCAAACGTTGTTTTACCATATACATTATTTCTAGAACTATACATTAAAATTCATCGTAGGTACAACAATTATTATAATCAATTGCCATCTTATAGCATAATATAAAAATAGCGTTTCAAAATTTGATTATGTATGTATTTAAAGATTTTTTTTTTTTTAATAAAAAACAAAATTTTAGGCGTAGATCACTCTTAACATTGAGAGGTATCAAAAATAGATGTTGGCCAATTCTCAGACCTACCCGATATGCACACAAAATTTCATAAAAATCGGTAAAGCCGTTTCAGAGGAGTCTTGGACAAACACCGCGACACGAGGATTTTATATATTAGATATACATAATGTACAGTGTCAATAATCTTCGTCTCAAATTTCCAACTCACTCCACTTCCTTTTATTCTAATTCCTTTACTGTGCAGGCAGTTCGCCTGTGGAACTCACTACCTACCTCTATACGGTGCGCTCAATCTCTCGCTAGTTTCAAAACCTCTGTTAAAGCCCATTATCTCTCCCTTTAAGTAACTATTTTTTCCCATGTTCTATCTTCATCTTCCAATGTCACTCTCTCCTGTTGTATGTGTACTTTTAAGTTTGTGTATGTTTATGTATGTATTTGTTTATGTATATATATATGTATATACATATATATGTATATATCTTTGTATATATTTGTTTATATATAATAGTGTACCTACACTTTGTTTTTCTTTATTTTCTCAATGTCCTCTACCCAAAGGTTGTCTGGAAGAGATTGCTTAGCGATAAGGCCGCCTTTTGTATCATTTCTTATTACAGTTAAATGTGTTTAATATTTTATAAATGGTGCAATAAAGTGTACATAAATAAATAAATAAATATAAAACCCCCAAGAGGGAGGCTTATGTTTAGCAGTGGACAGTTAAAGGCTGATACGATAATGATAATAATATATATTTATAATATTCAGATTCATAATAAGATAATATGTAAAATAACACAGTTTTTGTTAAAATTTTGTATGAGGTTTCGTGCTTCAACCGTGAAACAGTTGTGTTTGCATGGCTGTGTTTCGGTTTGAAGGGATATGGCGTGAATTTACTGGGTACAGAGGAATAACACCCGAGTCCTCAGGAGTGGCAACGCATGGGGGGTATCATGGGCGAAACTGTATATACTCTGTTATGTCCGTGGTACTGCTCATGTCTATAGGCGACGGTTACCACTTTCCATCAGTCCGAAATCAGTTTTTTTTTTTGTGGAACACAATCTTAAATCATAATGAATTATTTATTCATAATTCATAACTCATTTATTTATTCATAAATGAATTTATAAATAAATAAATGAGTATACTTTATTTGCATTATAAAATATAGGGAAGAAGCAAGACAATTATTGATAAATAGCCTAATAAACGTATATTACTGTATATTCATAGGATGTGATCATAATATTCTAGCGTCGGACGCTGCACCTGGGGGAGTGCCTGCCGGCGTCGTGCTCGCGGCAGCAGGTGGCGGCGCTGGTGAGCGCTGCGCACGCGCCGGTGCTGCGACACGCTGTGCTCGCCGTGCGCACGCCCAGGCACGGCTCCTACGTTTATATCGAGGACCCTACCTTCCAGGTCCTACTGTGAGTACACTAGAGTTTTAGATAGAATAATCCAGTTTTTATTCAAGTAAACTTCAAGCATATTTAATAATATTTAACCTATAATTCAACTCCCTATTTGGAATGCAATTTCAAGTAAGAACAATGTAATATAAATTGGACTCTATTTTCTGCGCTTAGCCTCTCATTTGGGCCATTTTATGTATGGGAAAGTGAGAACATTTTTTTATTGTTTTTTTTATATGAAATTGATTTTTACAACTTTAAAATTTCTGTTAATATACACTAACATTCGGTACCATAATTACTGATTATTGTTAGGTATTTTTGGAAACATACACTTGAACATCTCTTTATTTATTTTAATACTGTTACAGATAGGTGTTCAATGAAACACTATGGGAATGTGATTATTAGAAAAGCTTTATTTATATATAAAATCAAAATATTGTACAAAATATCTTTATTCGTATTTATCTATATAAACAAACATCAAAAATTGTTCGTTGGCAAACGCATCACATGAAATAAGTGGGACCTATTTAACTGGTTTTTTATGGTTTTTTGGGAAAAAAAACAATTGAAAATTACATACATTTAAATAGATATTATGATGGGTATATAATGGTAAGTGGTCCCCAATAAAATGGTTTTGTCAGTAGTTGCCCACTGACAAAACCATTTTATGGGGGAATCCTATGATCAGCAGTGGACATTTAACGGCCGACACGACGAAATAGATATAGTGCTATGAAGAAAAATATTTGTTATATACGTACATATATTTATATATATATATATATATATATATATATATATATATATATATATATATATATATATATTTATTGCAAATAGCCTCGAGAATTCCAAATTGTTGCAGTTACGCACTTACAAAACAAGGCTTACAAACAACACATAAACTGACGCAATTGTTTGCTTCATTGTAAATAATTGTATGATATGAAATTGTTGAAAATTACCACTAGGCAGTGTACAGCCTCTATTATTAAGACATACCGTAATTACCCGCGACATTACTCGCTTAACCAGGACTCATATTATATTATATTGTCTGTGAACAGAGTTAAAAATTAATCGATAAAAAAATGGGTTTTTGTGTTACAAAAATGCGACTACACTTGTGATAAAATACATATAAAACTAACAGAATGTAATCGAATTGCAAAAGGAATTATAAAAATTGGTTCCAAATTAACCGAAAATATCATGTAACACACACGAAAAAGTACAGATTAATTAAAAACGTTCTACATAAAAGTCTATTAAAGTCCGTGGTAATTTAGACAAGTTTATTGTTAAAAATAAACCTATTAGCCCATCATCAAATCAAATGCGAAATAAAAAATTATTAAAATAAAAATAATTATTTTTTTTTTCATAAACATACATTTACTTTTCTAATCATAAAAAAAAATTATACACTCTTCCAGAGGCGTGTCATGCACGGTCATTCTTCTGCTGATCACAGCGACTGCTTATGACCTGAAACTGGCTCGAGATGTGCGCAAGCGCAGGCGACGCGCTGCCAACATGGCCGCCGGCGAGAAGGGAGCGCGCGGTGACTTAAAATTGGACCTTAATGGGCTCGATGACATCACTGTTGCTAATGGTATTATTATATTTTTATTTATTTATTTAACTCTTTATTGCACCAAAAATATAAAAATAAACAATGACATATAAACAATGCAACTGAAATACAGTAGCATGGAGTACAAATTAAAATATACACATAAAGGTACAAAAGGCGGTCTTATCGCTAGGATAATCTCTTACAGACAACCTTTGGTTAAAGAAGAATGAATGAATGAATATACTTTATTTGCATTATACAATATAGGAAATAAGCAAGGCAATTTACAAACACAACGATACAATTGTATAAGTACAGTAAGACGGTCTTATTGCTGACAGCAATCTTTTTAAGACAACAAGAAGAATAGATAGAAATGGGCAGGTGGCGCAAGAGTGAATTAATATTTTTTACGTATAATGCACAAAAACATCAAATACGTATTGTTTATTAAACTACTTATTATTTTTGACCATTATTATATTTTTCACTATTATTCGTCCAAATATAGTCCTTTAGATTATGTATAAATAGATAAAGATTGTCAACGTTAACATGGCACGCTCCTCCAACTTTTCACACCATTGTGTGTGACCATGTACAGACGTGGTGCTCTGTTTGTGTTTGTGAGGGAGCGTCTTCAGGAGCAGTCCGACCAGAGGAGTTTTATACTCCTTGGTAGAAATCTTGTAAACAAAACATGTCTACAAACATTTAAAAGACCGACAATGCACAAGCAACTCCTCTCGTGTTGCAGATGTTTATGGGCGACGGTAGCCGCTTTTCCCATCAGATGGTCCATCTCGTTTGCCTCCTTAACAATAAAAAAAATCTACTAATTCATTTTTAATCCTTTGGACTATTTTTTTTTATATAACTTAGAACGGCAAACAAGCTGACGGCCCACCTGATGGAAAGTGGTAACCGTCGCCTATAGACATAAGCAGTACCATGGACATATCAGAGGACATTCATGACAGACATTCCTGAGGACTCAGGTGTTATTCCTCTGTACCCAGTAAATCCACGCCATATCCCACCCTTCAAACCGAAACACAGCCATGCAAACACAACTGCTTTACGGTTGAAACACGAATGGGACAGAGGTACCTAAGCAATCGACTTTTGTACAAAGTCTCTCTCTGGAGGGACGTGCCATTTTATCATAGACAATCTATACCTATTTCCTATCTTACAGTGACATAATAAAAGTACAAATTAGCACCTATTTTTCACTATCAGAATCTTATAAAAAAACTATTAAGTAACAGATCATTAGTGCCGCAGAACAAAAACTCGTTGAATTAAAACCTTATATGAAACCACATAGACAGGTCATATTAAAGACACAACCACATGAACTCTACCATAGACGTAAATACTCACAACTCGAATTTGAATCAATGACGACTTCGATTCTCGGTTAAGCCAATTAAGGATAAATAGATAGACGCTTTTTATTGTTTCCTCCATAAGATTACAATAGTAAACTTATTATAAATACAAACAATTACAAGAAATGGTTGCACTGAAAAAACAATGGGCAGCCTTATCGCTAAAAGTGATCTATTTGAGGCAACCTTTGGATAGAGAGCATTGTGCACGACGCACCTTTTTAGAATCCTTTTTAATTTTTATTAAAAAGATCTTTTATTTGTAATTTGAAGTCTGTATCAATTCAGTTTGTTTGCTTTTTTGTTCCCTTGGTTTGCTTTGTATATTTTTTTATATAATTATATTATTATCTTTCTAAAAACACTGTGTTTCCATACCAGCATACAGTCATTTCGCCCACAAGCATTATTATAAATACTCTATCAAGACGTAATAAGGTATGCTGAGTAGCACTAAGTATAGTTCTCTCCAAGCTGACCTGACAGCTTGGTATAGGGTTTGAATTTTTTTGTTAGATAGATATCTTTTACACTAATCTGTAGTGTTTAAACTTTTAGCCCTCATATATTTTAGTTAAATTTATTTCTTCTTTTAAGTTTTCTAAAATTATCTTTTATACATTCATTGTTTTACAGGCAAATCAATATACAACAATAACAACATCGCCATAAATAGCAACCACTCAGAGGAGAGGCTTACAGGCGAAACCTCATCCACTAACGAGGAACTTAAACTCAGTAAGTTATGTTTAGATTTTTATTTTTATAACACAGGGAACAAACGAGCATGCGGCTCACCTGATGGTATGTGACCCGCAACACCAGAGCAGCAAGCTACAGGTGTGCTGGCAGCCTTTTAAAAAGGAATATGATCTTTTCTTGAAAATTATGATGTCGTATCGATTCGGAAATACTGCTGCTGGAAGCTGATTCCAAAAAGTGGTTGTGCGTGTAAGAAAATGCCTTGAAAAAATGCACAGTGGAAAACTGTCACTCATCCAGATGATTTGTAATCAAATTGTCATTAATTACCTACAATATTGATATTTGGGTCGTAAAATAATATTATTGTATCACTCAACAATGATTTTTTGAAGATAATTCGTTATCGATTCAGAAAATGTTCCGAACAGCGGTCACATAGTATAGGGATTTATTAATTTTATTTTTACATTTAATAGTTTTATCAAATAAGAGGTAAAAAAAGGATTAACTTAAAAAGAACTTACCAGTATTATAAATGTCAAAATGAGTTTGTTTGTTACCTTATACTGCCTTAATGATTTAAACAATCACTATGTAATTTGGTATTCTCGTATTAACTATATGGCATAGAGAAGAATAAAAGCAACTTTTTATCTCTATCAGTAAACATATTACGGTCTTGCGGGTAAAATATATTATTTATATATAGTATAGTTGATTTTTTTTAAAAAGCAATAGTTTGGGTTTCTTTCTCGTTCTTCTTGGCTGAATTTGCGCCCAGGTAATAAAAAAATGACTATTCAAAAAGGCTTAAATCTAAGTATACTTAAATAAAAATATTTCTTTCTTTCTTTCTTTCCTTCTTTCTTTCTTTCTTTCTTTCTTACTTCTTTCCTTCTTTCTTACTTTTTTTCCTTCTTTCTTACTTTCTTTCCTTCTTTCTTACTTTCTTTCATTCTTTCTTACTTTCTTTCCTTCTTTCTTTTTTTCTTTCTTCTTTCAAAAGCTGATATAAATAAGACGACTAGTCTATGCACTCATTACAAACTCTAATTTAATAAAAATAAAAAAAAAAAACAAAGATGATCTAACTACTCCGAAGAATGTAAATTAGCTTAACAAACATCATACGAAACGTCTAAATATACGCAATAAGGGCAAGTCTAATTATTACCACAGAGTATATATAATGTGTACATAAGCAGTATTACTTCAACTTAAAAGCAACGACGAACGAATAACATAATATTTTTATTACTCCATCTGAAATTACAATCGTATGCATAATAATTTATTTCTTATTTACACATCTGCGACAGAAACGTGAGTGGAATAGAGGTTTAGATGGTTTTTGTACAAAATCTCTTGTGAGTTCACTGTGATTGTTCAATAAATATCGTCATGATATCACCTCGGTCGTTATCATTCCACTCCCGAACATAGACCTTTTCCAAAGCCATACGGGACGGTTCTGAGCCACCTGCATCTGCTGACACCCTGCAATACAATTGAGGTCGTCTCTCCATCTCGTGGAAATCGCCATTCATGAACCTTTTTTCGCTACCGGTTGTTGGTTCTTCGAATGATGTGACCAACCCATTGCTACTTCAATTTGCTTATTTTTCGAGCTATGTCAGTTACTTTGGTTCAAAGAAACTTCAAGCATTACTAAATAGACCAATTGAAATATATATATATATTATATGCTAGAAAGGCATCATTTAGTATATTTTACTAGAAAGCAAATAAAAAAACGAAATGTAAAGGCCAAATAAATGATAATAGGTATATATAAAAGACTTTATATAAAAGTCATCTACTTGGATAGTTCTGCCCCATTCGTGTTTCTACCGTGAAGCATTTGTGTTTGCATGGCTGTGTTTCGGTTTGAAGGGTGGGATATGGCAGTGAATTTACTGGGTACAGAGGAATAACACCTGAGTCCTCAGGAATGGCAACGCATGGGGGTTATCATGGACGAAACAGTATACTCTGTTATGTCCATAGTACTGCTCATGTCTATAGGCGACGGTCACCACTTTCCGTCAGATGGGCCGTCAGCTTGTTTGCCATTCTAAGTTGCATAAAAAAAATGTTTCAAATTTGGTTCATATTAACTCATATAACTAATATAATTGCAGGCGTGTGGTCGGATCTGCTCCTCTCCTTCTCGATGAAGGCCAACATATTGCAGATCTTCGACCAGTCTGTTGGTTCCGACACGGTGCCTGTGGTGCATGGCTTGCGGTCCCTTTCCATGGTCTGGGTCATATTTGGCCATACTTGCATCGTTGTCTTCAAGGTAAGTGTTTACGTCAAACACCATATTTTTTTTACAACACAGTGGGCAAACGACTTACCTGATGGTAAGTGACTACCGCCGCCCATGATCACCCACAACACCAGCGGCATTACAGGTATGCTGGCGGAACTTGTTTGCCATTCTAAGTTGAACGTATAAAAAAATATTTAAGCAATATCTCCAATATCCTCATTATAAATTAATTATTTTTTCGCTTACTATGTTTGTCGTTTCGACAATTGTGACTCAAAACGCCCCCTGAAGAAGACTTCTGGATAAAGCTGAAACATTTGTCCCAAACAACAAACATAGTAAGTACATAAAAGTTATATATATATACATACAACCAAACATCGATTATAAATAAGCATAAATTTTAATACTAAACATTTTTCACTTGTTTTACTAATTCTCTTTACTAATTCCAGTACGCCGACAACACTGCGTTAAGAGCGATTTTGGAGAAAAGTTTCTTGTTTCAACTGGTCCTGAGTGCTGTGTACAGTGTAGACACATTCTTCTGTCTTGGGTAAATATTCCACGAATACATAAGTAACACAAAAATATACAAAAACTGCCTTTTTTTTACAACTTAGAATGACAATCAAGCTGACGGAAAGTGGTAACCGTCGCCTATAGACATGAGCAGTACCATGGACATAACATATGTACATACATAAATTCACACCATATCCTACCCTTAAAACTGAAACACAGCCATGCAAACACAACTGCTTTACGGTTGTAACACGAATCTGACAGAGGTACCCAAGTAATCGACTTTTCTACAAAGTCTCCCTCTGATGCTTTTTCCTTCATTTTATATAACCTGCCCATAAAAACAACAAGAAATTTAACAACTGACCATAAGTCAGTCAATTCTATCAATATTTTTTAATATTTTTTTATACCACTGAGGTGGCAAACAAGCATACGGCCCACCTGATGGTAAGCGGTTACCGTAGCCTATGATCGCTTGCAATACCAGAGGTATTACGCACGCGTTGCCTACTGTTTTACTTACTTATTTGCTTATTTTTTGTAATTAAGTTATTGTATTATAAATGTTAGACAATGTTACTTCTAAACATAACTTTAACATGTATCACATCTCTATATTTTAGAAATAATAGAATTTCATCGTGCCTCCAAACAATTTGTTTATAATTACTCCTCTCCACCCAAAGGTTGCCTGGAAGAGATCGCTCTTAGCGATAAGGTCGCCCATTGTTTTCTCACTGTGATTATTTCTTGTAATTGTTTATATTTATAATAAGTTTACTATTGTAATCTTTTGTTGGAAACAATAAAGAGTATCTATCTAACTATATATCTAAAGTTACACGTTTAAACTTTTCAGCGGTATGCTAGTATCGTTCCTGTATTTCCGCACGAACGCCAAAGGCAAGCTGGACCTGATCACCAAGGGCCGTAGGAAGATCACCGCTGGAGTGCTGCAGTTTTTGGGCTTGATGGGTTATAGATTTGCTAGGTAAGTTACGATGCCTATAGACATGAACAGTCCCATGTACATCACATATTGTCCTACGTGATCATTTTTAAAGACTGAATTGTTATGCTTGTAAATTTACTACTGTATCCTTCAAATCGAAACACCATCATGCAATCCTAAATTTTACACCTGGAAAATCTAGATTACGTCTAACTTAGAATAGATATTCTGGGTACGTAGTATTATATTTTGGCTCATCTTGCATTTAATCCAATAGAGGAATAACACCTGAGTCCTCAGGAATGGCAACGCATGGGAGGTATCATGGGAAACAGTATACTCTGTTATGTCCATGCTACTGCTCGTGTCTATAGGCGACGGTTACCACCTTCCACCAAGTGGGCCGTCAGCTTGTTTGCCATTCTAAGTTGTATAAAAAACATTGAAAAGCCTTATACCGCAGCAGCAGCAGAAACTTAATCTAATCATCACTACATAGTATAAAACAAAGTCGCTGTCGCTGTCTGTCCGCCCCTATGTATGCTTAAATCTTTAAAACTACGCAACGGATTTTGAAGCGGTTTTTTTTTAATAGAGTGATTCAAGAGGAAGGTTTATATGTATAATACTTGCATGATATAGTAGAGGAACACTGATAATTTTAGAGGTTTCTAATGTGATGTGATGTAATGTGCACACGTGCGAAGCCGGGGCGGGTCACTAGTAAGATATATAATAATATTTTATTTAAATTATATAATTTCATATGTTTCCAACAGGCTAACGGCTCCATATCTGTTCATGCTGGGAGTAGTGGAGGTGACGATGAAATGGTTCGCGCACAACGCTGTATTCGAACCGCCGGCCATGGACCACGAGACCTGCCCCAAGTACTGGTGGAGGAACCTTATGTACATCAACACGCTGTTCCCGGTCGAACAGATGGTGAGACATCCAATTCTTTTACCCCTTATTCCATAGACAATCCTTGGAAAAACTACATTCTTTTATTATTACATACCCTTTTTCCGTTATCGCGCCGAGAATAGGGCCAGGAACTGCGTCCCAGTAGATCGGTTGATACAAGTAAATTAGTGAAATACAGCGTGACTACCACACTGAAGATACAGTTTTTACAATGACATTATCTATAATATATTTGTTTTATTCTAGAATCTCAGATTCTTCGAACCTAGCCTGAAAAATTTTTTAGTACGATCCATCTGACTACCTCATCTTAGATCCGACCCGTGAACAATTTGTTTATATTTCACTTTTCTTTTTTTAATAATAATAATATTGCTGGTAATCATTTGAAATCTAAGCAAGTACAAGTTTTCGAAGCAATGTACATTGTAAATAACAATTGCATAACAACTATTTATGAGATATAATTTATTTCCAGTGCATGCTCTGGAGTTGGTATCTTTCGGACGACACACAATTCTATGCAGTTAGCGCCATGCTCCTCATATTAGCTACAAGGTAATATTGCTTATTATATTTCCCATACCAAAGAAAACTACGCCAAAACAAGAGAAGAATGACTCGATACAAATATCTCATACTAAGCTGCCTGCATAGTAGTATAGTTTATTGTACTTTTTGTCTTATGGGAAGAGAAACCCTTGCACTAAGCAATTCACCTTTATAGATACCTCTGTCTCACTCATGTTTCCTCCACCAAGCAGCTAGGGTGAAGAGGCATGACACCCTAGTCCTCAGGAATGGCAACGCGCGAATGACAAAGTATATGGTGTCTGATCTCCACGATGCTGTTCATGTCTATCATCAACGGTTACCATTTCCCATCAAATGGTTTGTTATTGCCATTTCAAAAGTCCACAAGATTTTGCCATTTTAAAAAATTGCACAAGATTTGAAAACAGTTGCCGCAGTAAAAAAATAATTATGCCCCCCCCCCCTCCCATTACGTGTTTCACACATCGGTTGTCTTTGTATGGCTGTGAATTGTATAGTGGATATAGCATGAATTTACAGAATACAAAGGGATAACACCTGAGTCCTCAGGAATGGCAATGCATGAGGGGTATCATGGGCAACAAAAATTCTTTAAACACATTTTGCGTATTACTTCAGCCACTTCAAGCTGTCGGTGTCCCTGACCGGCCTGTTCTTCCTGTCGTCCCTGTTTACCACCGGCTACGTATCGTGGAGCAACGAGCATATCCCGAGCAGCGAGGACCCCTTCACGCAGTTCGACAAGATCTACGACAAACCATGGACCAGACTGGGCCCATACCTTGTCGGCATGGCAACTGGCTGGATACTGTTCAAGACCAACTTGAACATCAGGATGGGAAGGGTCAGTACTATTAGTTGTCTAATAAAAAAAAATTGAAGTGCTATTTATTATTTAAAAAAAAAAAGAAAATTATAAATGTATTTTACAATTATTTTTTACAAGTGAAAATGGAATGGTGTATCTATCTATGCTAAAGGTATAAAATGTCGGGGCACCAGTGAAGGATGAAACAATGTGGTTAAAATCAAGCCAATAGTCCATCGTGACTAATTCACTAGGAATAGACAACGACGGTTTCCAGTTAGACCACTTGGGGGTCGACCTGACAAAATATATTATTAGCCATGAAAACTAACCTCCTCGTTACTAACAATCTGTAACTTATATCTGGCTTTGCAACCTGTCAAGATATAGTCTTTGTTGATGTTGTTAAATCTTTTGTTGTAAAACTGTCTTGTGCATGTAATAACTAAACCCCTTTCCCTCCGCCCAATACATATATTTTCTACAAATATATTGTAGTTTCCATTTTGTATTTTTAATAAACTTTGTAATCAACATTGCTTTCGTCAATCAATGGGAGACTTTGTACAAAAGTGGTCTGCTTGTGTACGTCTGTCCCATCCGTATTTCTGTCGCAAAGCAACGGTTGAGCTCACATGACCATATTTCGATTTGAAGGATATGACATTAAAGTGCCCCTCATTTCACTGTTATGGACATAATAATATATTCACTGTAGATCCTGTTGCTGTCCAATGTCTATGGACGACAGTTCATCATCATCATCATCATATCAGCCTTTAACTGTCCACTGCTGAACATAAGCCTCCCCCTTGGGAAGTTTAGCCAGTAGTGCCACACTTGGCAGGCGGATTGACAACCGCAGTCAAGCTTTAGAGATGTTTTAAGAGGAACGCTGCTGCCCATCCCTCGCCCTCTCTTAGTCGATTCTTACGACACCCACAAGAAAGGAACGGATGGCCTATTCTATGCCGGGACCACACGGCCATGGGCGACGGTCACGACTTATCAAAACGACGTCTTATAAAAAGCGAAGCTACACAGAATACCCGCTGTTTTGTTTTTACATCCGTGCGGTTGCAGGTTTGGGCGTGGGTGGGCTGGACAGTGTGCACGGCCACACTCCTGTTCCTTATCTTCGGCCTCTACCGCACCGAGCTGGGCGTGGCCGCCGCCGCCATCTACAGCGCCCTCTCGCACTCGCTGTGGGCCGCCTGTATCGGCTGGATCATTATTGCCTGCTCCACTGGATATGGAGGTTTGTTTCATCGTCATTTCATCTCTTAACTCTCCACTAGTGAAAATAGGGCATCCCCTAAGTTTAGCATAAGAAATTACCCTAAGCCATCTGCATCCTTAATCCCTGCAATGCATTTGAAGTCGTCGCTCCATGTAGTGTATTGGCGTCGTTACTCGAGAACCTTTTTTCTCCTCCAGTTGAAATTTGAAGTCAGTGTCACTCAAGATGATTCTAACTATATCCTGTACATCAAAATCTTCAAGCATTATCCATTGCCCATTTTTAAGCAATCACGTAAAAATACAGTAAAATTTTGTTCCTTATTAAAACTGCTTTAGAAAGAATAACTAGTGAGCAACCAGAGGGAGATTTTGTACAAAAGTCGTTTACTTGTCTACCTATATCCCATTCCTGTTTCTTACATGAAGCTGTTATGTTTGCGTGGCTGTGTTTGTTTAAAGGGTAGGATATGGTAGTGAATTTACAGGGTACAGAGGAATAACACCTTGGTCCTCAAGAATGACAATGCATGGGAGGTATCATGGGTGAAACAGTATACTCTGTTATGTCCATGGTACTGCTTATGTCTATAGGCAACGGTTACGACTTTCCATTAGGTGGACCGTCAGGTTGTTTGCCATTTTAAATTGCATAAAAAAAGCAAATTTGACTAAATTATATCCTCGTCAAAGATAATGTAATATCCCCGTCTTGGGAGAGGGGACGACGACGACAATGGATGGTAAGGATGTGGCAATGAGCGCTCGTGATGTGCAGGCTGGGTGCGCGGGCTGCTGAGCGCGCCGGTGCTGTACCCGTTCTCGCGCGTCACGTACTGCGCCTACCTGGTGCACCCGGTGGTGCTGCGCTACGTCGCCATGCACCTCACGCACCCCATACACCTCGGGGAGCTGCTCGTCGTTAGTATACTTATTTTTATTATTTCAGCTGCTAACTATCCACTGCTGGATATAAGCCTTCCCCATATGTCCCCATATGGGGAAGACTTATATCCAGCTTTTGCCAAAAGTTGCCACGCTTTTTGACAAAAGTGGCAGACGAGATGACGACCACAGTTAGGCCTTTGAGGATGTTTTAAGAGAGACGCAGCTGTCCATCCCAAGCCCTCCCTTAGTCGCTTCTTAAGACACCCACGGGAAAGGAAGGGGTGGCCTATTCTATGCCAGAAGACACAAGGACGTTACAATTACCCGTTTGTATTATCCAGTTAAAGAAATTAATGGCCCGCTGCAACCTTTTATCAGCGTCCTGCTCGCGGCCGAGAAGGAATGTAACTCCGTATTTTAAAACCTAGATAGTCATGTACAGCGTGCTTTCAGAGATGCTTCCTCCCGTAAGCGTTCAGGTTTTAGAATAAATTCCTTGCCGAGATTTTTCCGGACAGACTTCACCATAGAGTTCTTCAAAAAGGCAATAAAAGATTTCTTCAAAGTTAGAAACACACATGCGCTAACCTCTATACCATTAAATGGACCTTACGCTTGTTTGCCAACTCAGTGGAAAGAAAAAATAAGCAATCTGCTTGTGTTTCTATCGCTAAGCGACTTGGTTTGGATATGTATGAGTATTACGACAGTAAAATTACGGGATACACTGAAACAACAATATATAACTTCTTAGTCCTATGAAACACCATCATACGAGAAGTACCATGGACACCACATTGTATTCTGTAATGTTCAGGAGCTTGTTCATGTCTATAAGTAAAGATTATTATTTTCTATCAAGCGGTCATCTGCTTTCTATTTGCTGTTGGCATTAACTTGCATTAAAAAGTATCACAAGTATAGCTAGTTAGTTTAAACTCCAAAACTAATTCACCCAATTACATTTCTAGTTCGTCCTGTTCCTCGGCCTCACTGTGATATCGTACGCGCTCGCATTCATAATTTCCGTAGCGTTCGAAGCGCCCATGGTCACTATGCTGAAAATCGTTGCGCCACAACGGAAACCGCACAGGGTCTGAGCAGGATACAAACCAGACCACATTTGGATTTCGTACAAAGTTAAGTTATTCTCGATACTACACCAGTATGATTTGGCAATTATTATATTGCATGAATGTAGAACACTGCCAATTAATGTGTAAAAAAAAAGTAATCTTTTTTTTATTAATATGGCAACAATGTGGAAGATAAGTAAAATTCGACACTATATCTGTTGATTGTTTTGAAAACATACATTTTGTAAAACTATTAGACTATTGTTTTTAAATCACGTGTCAATAGATAGTGCAAGAATTTACTTAAAAATAATTCGTGTAATGTACTTTAAGTTATTGATTGGCATATGGTGCAAAATTGAGGTTATGTCAGAGTTACCATTTTTTAAAAAATATTACCAAATGGTAACTTAATTTGTAAAGGTATACCTGAAAAGTAGAAACTTTATCCTTTAAATGCCAAAGGATCTCGTCTCTTATGGAGGCTTATTGAAGAGAAATTAATTATTTGTATAATTGCGTATTATTATTTGATTAATATTTTCTAGTTGTAATAAAACTTAGACAGGTTAACTTTTATACAGAGATTTAGTAATGAAAAATGACGAGAGAATGATTTTGTATGACTTAATTAATTTATATAGACTCTATGATAAACGCAGGGGAAAATTGAAACTGTGTAATAAAACTTTATTGTATGAAATTGAAAGTGAACGTATAAATGATCATTTAATAGAGCGTTTATCGCTGCGTACTGACCGTGAAAACGAGAGTGGACGCAATTAAGACACGGATGCACGTGTGCGGGCATCTTTTAATTTTCTTAGTGATTACCTAGATCCCTACAGAGATGTAATATTACTATGAATGAGTACTATTACTTATACTGTAGTTAGTACATAGGAGTAATGTAGAAATCACGAAAGATATGTCATATCCCAATAGCTTTTGTTGAATTGAATATGACGGTGATTAATTAATTAGTTAAATGAATTAAAATACAATTAATTAATTAAATACATTTTTATCTAATCTGTCTACCAAATTGCTCCTCAGAGAAAATTTGCTGTCGTTAGTTTTGTATAAATTCCTTATTATTATTGTTCACAGCATCTTTAGTTAAAAGTAACTATTCAGTTCAACAGTATAAGATATTAAGATAAAGAATTCGTATAGAAAAAAAATATAAATTCTACGAAATATTATTTTAATTACGTTTACAAATTACATTAAATACAGAAAGTATTTAAAATCATTATCAAACTTATAAAAAAGCGTTCCGCTAATTCATGTATATTTTTTTCATTTATAAAAAAGGACATACAGTGGAACAGTTATTAGGTCTTGTTAGCAAGGGTTGTCTTATCTCTGAGAGAGATCTCTTCCAGCGAACCCAAGATAGCTGATTATTTTTTCTATAGAAATATGGACCGGAAACTACAAAAAAAAGCGCTCCAAATTAACAGGGCGCAGCTTTTATGTTTTTTTAATTGATGATAATGGAATGGTAACTCCGCCTGCGCTAACGGTATACACTGGCGGGACACCAGTGAGGGATGATAGGTGAGAATGAAAAGACAGGTCAATTAGTCCATCGTGATGAATTCACTTGAAATTCAGCACGATGGTTTCCAGGGGGGACCACGTGAAGGTCGATCTTTTTGGGCATATTGCTAACAATGAGACTGGTAGTCCGCATTATTAACAACCCCCCCCCCCCCCCCCACCACTCGCAGCTGTTATGTTAGTAATTTTTTTTCCACTTATGTTTTTAAGTAATGTTCAATTTCACTGTTAGAATAAATAATCCATTAAAAATTGTTAAAGATCGACTTCACCCTGTAACATATTATTATATATTCAGGGCCGCAGCAATCAAGTTTAAGTTAGGGCAAAATAACTTTTTAGTAAGGCAGAAGCCATAATTAAGTTAGTTCGAAAAAAAGAATCTGTCTAATTTCCTTGGGTCCTTTTATTTGGTAATGCATTGGGCCCCTTTTAAGTTAAAGCATTGCCCCTTAATGCCCCCCCCCCCCCCAAACTATGGCCTTGCTATGCAAACTTGTATTTTATCGCCAGATGAATAATATCAAATATATGCAAATCTAAAACGATTGAGTAATAGTTACAGAAAGCGTTCACCCGTTATATTTCATGTCTGTACATACTTAGAGACGGTGAAAGTCATTCATTTACGAGCATGAATATTATTAATTTGCATTTCTGATAACAAACCGAGTGCATAATTATAGTCTTCATTGTTGGTACTGTGTTTAGATTTTATTACATCATTCGGTACTGTATCGTTTTATCTTTTTAATGTATGAAATTTCCAACATTAAGTTTTTCATTTCGATACAAGAATAACTATTGTTATAACTAATATTCGCACTGTTATTTATAGCTGTGAAAAATGTATCTTGTTATATTTAGTGGATAAATTTTAATAAATGATCATTTATGCTTTAATTTCGGTTCAGCTATGAGAGGACTTTTTGTAATATTTTTTAGATAATATCCAAAAAAACATTCTGGTATAATTGGTATATATATCAGTGGTATAACATAATTTTTTGGAGTCCGTGATAAATTCATTATCACGGTTATTTCCTTTATCTAAAAGAGCTTGATGCTATAATTACATTTTCGCCGAAGAGAATTCAAGACCGGGGATCGCGTGGTATTCTGTCGCCTATTATTACGTCACTACTTATAATATTCTCATCATCATCACCTTATTAACCATCAACTGTCCACTGCTGAACATAGGCTTCCCTGTATTGGAGGGTCTGCCAGTAGTTGTTGCGTTTTACAGGCGGGTGAGCAACCGCAGTTAAACTTTGGTGATGTGTTAAGAGGGACGCTGCTGCCCATCCCTCGATTATTAAGTTCTCTCAGTCCCCTCTTACAATACCCACAACAAAAGAAGAGATGGTCCATCCTATGGTGGGACCACATAGCGTTATACCGCCTCTTATACTATTTCTGTTAATCCTGTAAACTTTTTTAATTTTTTTTTAACTCAATGAAAAATTAGCACCAAATTAATGAAACCAAACAAACAACAAACCACGACCAAATGTTTCTTCAAATTACGTACTGACGACTGCTGTTTGTTTTATATAAGACTATAAATTATTTATTCAATATTATTTATGTTTGTATCGAGCCCTTCTACAATATTTGATTTACATTTGACTATGTACTGCGGTTTTTTTTTTTATTTATTTCATAAAAGTTAATCATGACAAATTGTAACATATGACCTGTTTCAGTGATGAAGTTAGGTGATGTACAGTTTCATGTAAAATAGAATTATGTAAATAGAATGTAAATATAGTTTTAAGTTTGTACTGTTTGTATTAGTTATAATTAATATTTTTTATATGAAAAATAAAATGTAACTAAAATAATTATGTGCTTTATTTAAAATCATAACGTTTAATACATTATTTACTTATATCTATGACCTGCGTATAGGCGGGAACAGTACAAAGTTATTGCAGAATTTCAGTGGATTTAAATAAATTAGTTCACATTCAGAGGTACCACTTTCCATCTGGTGGACCATTAACTTAAAGTATATTAAAAACTTAACTTTAAGTATACTCTGTTAAGTACATGGTACTGTTCATGTCTATAGGCGATGGTTACCACTTTCCATCAGGTGGGCCGTCAGCCTGTTTGCCATTTTAAGTTGCAAAAAAAAATAAAGACATATAATAAAAAATATCATTATGAAAGTTACGGAAAATAATAATAAACTAAGTTATAAACAAAAAAAAATTGGAATAAAATATGCCCACGGCTGTAATTCCAGATGGGATATGGTAGTACGCTTTAAAAAACTATTATTTTCAAAAATTATATTAATTGTTGATTGCCTATCAGGTAAAATTTAGTTCGAAGATATATAGAACAAATAATATTGTTCCCTTCTTGTAAGTGAATTTATACACAATTTACAATAAACAAATCCAATTTCCACTGATTTTAAAAATAAGGATTCAAATGTTTTTTTTTTTTAATTTTGATAATATAAATCTCTAATTATCATATGTCTAAATATTAGATAGCACAGTTAAAAATATTCACAGAGTATGTTATGAATACTTTAAAGTACCTTCACAGATACAATCAGGTGTTGGCGTAGTCTGACAGCCTCCTCAGTACACTGCAGAAGGGCATCTCGACCAGCAAGGCGAGGGCGAACGCACCCAGCAGGGTCAGGGAAGCGGTGCCCGCGAAGTATGACCACTGGAATGAAAGAAACCATCGTATTTATTCATTTACATCCTTAGCTTGTGTGGTCCCACCATAGATTGGACCACCCTTTCTTTTCCCGTGGGTGTCGTAAGAGCAACGGTTACCACATTCCATCAGGTGGGCCGTCAGCTTGTTTGCCATTCTAAATTGTATCAAAAAAAAGGCAAATAAAGGAACTGAATGGTCGAAGGATGAGCAACAGCGTCCTTCTTAAAACATTACCTAAGCCTATTTTTGTATGTCGTACAGGCTAAAGGTGTCGAACGAGATTGTATTGTTAACATCTGCATGTTTTTTTTACAACACAGTAGGCAAACGAGCATGTAGCTCACCTGATGGTAAGTGACTACCGCCGCCCATGATCATCCACAACACCAACAGCATTGCAGATGTGCTGCCGGCCTTTTAAAAAGGAATATGCTATTTTCTTGAAAGCTATGATGTCGTATCGGTTCGGAAATACCGCTGCTGGAAGTTGATTCCAAAGTCACAATGTTTTACAAATAAATAATCTTGAATTTTAAACTGCGGTTGTCAACCCGCCTGCCAAGCGTAGTAACTACTGGTAAAGCCTCCTTTATTTGGACTGGCTGCCCATTGCGCATAAGATTCTCTTGTTTCCTGCACGACTGCGTAGAAATTGTGACGTTCCCCGAAACCGACGCGTTTGGGAGTGAAGTGGTCATCCAAAAGTGTGAGAATTTCTTCATACGATACCTGGCCCATATCTTTTGGAAGTGCTAAGTCCGACGCAAGCTTGTATCTGTCTTCGGAGAATGCGCTAAGAAGAATAGCTCTTCTCTTCTTACCTGTGCCATCTGACCGCTCATTAAATGTCGTTTGCTACAAAATACTGCTAAATACCACTTTTATATGTTTTCCACGTCTTTTGATTATGATCCAAACTATTTAAAATGCCAAACTGCGAAATCGACGTTTTTAACAATAACTTTTTATTGGTCTAAAATGTGGGTAGTTCGTCGACACTGGTAAGTATGCGGACAAGTGAATGATACACGGGTTCGTATTGCACTGTTTTATTAAAGGACAAGTATCAAGGTCGTGTTGGGCGTAGCCACACACGTATGCGTATAGCTACGAGTACATACAAAACAGGGGGAAACCTGTATTCAGGAATGGACAGTCAATGGCTGATATGGTATGGTGCGTTGTACTCACAATGCAGAGCGTGTGCGAGCAGAGTGCAACGTCGGAGTGCAGCAGCAGCGCGCGTGCCGCGGGTGCATGCAGCAGCGCCGCGCCGTACCACAGCCGGCTCAGCGCCGCCACCATTCTACTCTGCACCATTCGCCGGACTGACTCTGCACATGGGGGGAAGGGATTGTTAGCAATGCGGACTACTAGCCCCATTGCTAGCAGTATATCCTGTCACGTCAACCTCCACGTAGCCCCTCTAAAAATAATCGTGCTGAATTCCTTTCATATTCATTACGATGGGCTAGATGGCAAGATAGCAAGATGGCCTACTCTTTCATTCTCACCTATTACCCCTTACTTGTGCCCCGCTGGTGTATACCGTTTGCGCAGGTGTGGTTACCACTCCTTTCCAGCTCAACCTTTTTATTCATTACGCTAAGCTAATTGACCTGCATTTTCGTCCTCACCTCTCATCCCTCACTAGAGCCCCGCCAGCGTATACTATCAGCGCAGATAGGGTTACCGTTTCATAATCATCCATTAAAGACACTGCACGTTGATATTATACAAATTGTTCACAGGTGTTAAGACTTTTCAGAGAAACTGTTTATAGATAGTTTTGTACGTGTTCATATCAATAGTCGAAGATTACTGCTTTCAGCATCATCATCTGATCAGGTGGGTCGCCAATAAGTCTATGTGTGTTTTTTTGTGAGTTTCAATGTAAAGTAAAATCCCGTCTACGCTACTGGTATACGCTGGCGGAACACCAATGAAAGATGATACGTGAGGATAAAAACAGATCAGTTGACCTACTTTGATAATAATAATAATAATAATAATCTTTATTTCAAACAGTAGATTACATAATTGATTAACAACGGTCCCCATATGGGTCGAGCCTGTATCTGGGGAACCTATTAACTAATATGGATAAATATAATTTTAATATAAATATATATAATAATTGGTAATAGTTTGAGTGTGTAGTTGTGTGTGTGCGTCTGTGTGCGTGTGTGTGTGTGTGTGTGTGTGCGTGCGTGCGTGCGTGTGTGTGTGTGTGTGTTCGTGCGTGCGTGCGTGCGTGCGTGTGTGTGTGTGTTCGTGCGTGCGCGTGTGCGTGTGCGTGTACGTGTGCGTGTACGTGTGCGTGTACGTGTGCGTGTGTGTTGTGCGCTTGCATTTCAATAAATATTTTAGGAAACAGGTCTTATCAGATCCTCTGTATGCACATAAGTTAGAGATTGCAGCCAATTACGTATTTTTAATTTTGCTTTTTTTCACTGAACATCGGATAATTTTACATTTTTTTAATATTATATTATAAACATAGGGAAACATGAATAGTGGTAAACGGAAATGATGAATTCAACAATAAATACAATGGTTTTTTTTTTTACAACACAGAGGGCAAACGAGCATGCGGCTCACCTGATGGTAAGCGACTATCGCTGCCCAAAAGCAACCGCAACACCAATTTTTTTTAACTAGCAGGCTTTGAAGAAAAACAACGAAGAGGTCGACCTGGTAAGACTTTTCAGGGTCCATTATTAACAATTCCTTTCTTTCTCCCCTACTGTTGCACCACGGTGTGCAAGTGACTCACCAGCATGGTGTGAGGCGGCGTAGAGCGCGGGGGCGAGCAGCGCCAGCGGGCAGCAGGCGTGCAGCGCGGCGCCGGGCCACGCGCGCCCCGCCGCCAGCGCCGCCGCCGCCGCCGCCGCCGCCGCCGCCAGCGCCGCCGCCGACGAGCACCACGCACACCACCACGCCGTCTGCACACGCACGCCACACACGCACCATCACTGTACACGCTTATATTATACTTCCGTTTGTTCTTCTTCATTCTAGCTTTAATCAGAATCAGCTTTCCCGCTGTTTCTGTCCCACTTTACCCGATGTGCATCTTCCTAAGACAAAACATTGGTTCGCATATCGTCATCAAGCGTTTCCTGGGTCGGCTACGAGATTCTATTTGTAAGATGAGCCAACTATGCCCTTTATTATGTTATATAAAAAATCTAGCTGTTTTCTATTTCACTACTAACATCCCCCTGACTGAGTTTTTCGCGTTTTTTTTTTCCTATGACATTTAACCTCTACAGTTTTATTATATTGTATAGATTACACAAATTAGTAATGTAAATTATTGTAAATATGGTACAAATAAGGGTGTCCCTCAAGGATCAATTTTGGGTACACAAAATAATACTTTAAAATGACTGTTCATTATAATATTATGACTAATGTTATACACAATTAGAAATATAAAAAATATTCACCTTAGAAATCTTCAAAGCACCCTGCATCTTGTGTGTCAACCAACCGATCACAACTCCAACGAAGTAAGGCAATACTCGAGCCCACGGACGTTCTATTATGATTGAATATATATTGTAAGCTCCGGGTCGACTGAAAAATAATAATTAGTCAACTAAAACAATACAAGATATTTGTTATAATCAAGCCATAATGTGTTGACAAAACAGTTAAATGCTTATTTTTAGGTTTAAGGTAGCCCGGCTTGCGCAATTGGTTTAATCATCATTATATCAGCCTTTAACTGTCTACTGGTGAACATAAGCCTCCCCCTTGGGGGGTCTTGCCAGTAGTTGCCACGCTTGCTGATTGGTAACCGCAGTTAGGCTTTGGAAATGTTTTTAGAGGGACGCTGCTGCCCATACGTCGCTCCCTCTTAGTCGCCTCGTAAGACCCCTACGGAAAAGAAGGGGTGGCCTTTCTATGCGGGGATCATATGGCAATTGGTTTACGTTGGTAAAATACCAATGAGGAATGGCAAGTTAAGAGTCAAATCAGTTGGGCAAGTATGACGGATTTACCAGAAATTGATTACTGAAATTTGCCACGAGGCGGATATTCAAAATAGACTACAGATCACATCCCATTATATAGCATAACTTCATGTATAGTAAAGGTCGTTACTTTCACACGACATTAATATTCAACGATTCAGACATATGCAATATTGCTGTATGGGGGGGGGGGGAATGTTAGTAATGCGGATTACCAGTCCCATTACTAGCAATGTACCCAACCAGGTTGACCTTCACCTGGTCCCCCCTGGAAACCATCGTGCAGAATTCAAGGTGAATTGATCACGATGGGCTAACTGGTCTGCCCTTTCATTCTCACCTATCATCCGCGAAGGCGGTGTTACCATTCAATTATCATCCATTAAAAAAAAACATTGCTGACTTTACCAGACGGTGTGCGGTAGACTGTGTACAGCGCTGAGCCTACATCGATAGATATATAAACAGGTGTAGGACCGTAGGAGTAGGTGGACTTACATGAGCGAGTAGTCGGTGTAGGCGCCGGCGAGATCGGCGGCGGCGGCGGCGAGCAGCGCGGCGCCGGCGAGCGCCAGCAGCGGCCGGCGCCGGCGCCCGCCGCCGACCGCGCACACCAGCGCCCCGGCCACGTGCAGCTGGCTCTCCGTCGACAGGTACCACGACACTTGCATGCACTACCACACAAATATTGATTAGCTGCTAACAGCTTTTTTTTACCACAGGAAGACTTTGTACGAAAGTCGTTTGCTTGGCCACCTCTGTCCCATTCGTGTTTCTATCGTGAAGCAGTAATATTTGCCTGGCTGTGTTTCAGTTTGAAGGGTGGAATATGGCGTGAATTTACTGGGTACAGAGGAATAACACCTGAGTCCTCGGGAATGGCAACGCATGGGAGGTATCATGGACGAAACATTATACTCTGTTATGTCCATGGTACTGCTCATGTCTGTAGGCGACGGTTACCACTTTCCATCAGGTAGGCCTTTAGCTTGTTTGCCATTCTAAGTTGTATAAAAAAAAAGTTCATTCAATAAGACGCTAAGAGGTAACAAGCAAACTCACTTTCACATTTATAAACAGTACGAATAACCATGACTTCGTGTCGAAACTTAATTTTCTTTGTCACTTTCACGGACTTTTTACAGAGCTCTGGACCTTTTGCAAGAGCCATTTTCCTAGAAACCATAAGAACCTTTCTCGAACTCTGATGAATAATTAAAATAAAATTTGCCGAATTAGCCCAGCCATCAGAGTTTTGCGCTAAGCACAACACCAAGCTAATAGATTTAGGCATTCATTTTTCCTTATAAGTCATCTGCTTGGTTACTTCTGTTCCACTCGTGTTTCTGCCGTGAAGCTGCTTGCATGGCTATATTACAGTTTAAACGATGAGGTATAATAGTAAAATTAGAGGATGCGAAGATACTCTAATTTCAGATTAGAAGAACAATTATAGAAGAAAAAGATTACCATATCAGTCATTAACTGTCCACTGTTGTACATAAGCTCCAACCTAATGGAAGTACTTGCCAGTAGTTACGACGCTTGATAGGCGAATTGGCAACCGCAGTCAGGCTTTGGTGATATTTCAAGGGGGACGCTGCCCATCCCTCGACTATTGAGGCCACTTAGTCGCTTCTAATGAGACCAATGGGAAATAAAGGTCCATTCTATGCCAAGACTATACATAAAATCTTAGTCTTTAGGAATGGATGAGGGGTATCATGGGCATAATAATGTATTCTGTAATATCCATGCAGTTATTCATGTCAATAGACTATCAACAGACGATAGTTAAGACTTTCCATCAGGTGGGCCATCAGTTTGTTTGCCAAGCCTAATAATGCCTTTGCCAAGCTTAAAGTTGCATAAAAAAAAACACAACCTGCAATTGGCAACATAGTATTTATCACTTACCCTCTCCTCAGCAGGATAGAAAGTGGTAACGTATAAAATATTCCGCCACCAATACGTCTCGCAGTTTTGGTGGTCGCCGTCGGGGAGCGCCAGCGACGATGTGGCCCGCGATACGCGCGCTACCACGGCCGACAGGAATATCGCGTAGAGATACGATGGCAACAACCTGAATCATTATAATTATTAATTTATTTTATATGTAGTTATAAACACCACCATGCTGGTCTCTATGGTGGTACTAGATATGGTGCACCAAGAACAAGTATTTTTACCTACTTTTTGGCTTCTCCATCAGGCTAATAACATAAAGGTTGGGCAGAAAGGGTTCGTTATTAATAGACTACCAGTCCCATTGCTAACAATATACCCTATCAGGTCGATCTCCACTTAGTCCCCCCTGAAAACCATCATGCAGAATTCCAAATATATTCATCACGATGGGCTAACTGACCTGCCTTTTCATCCGTATCTACCATCCCTCACTGTTGCCCCGCCGGCATTCACCATTACTGCAGGCAGAGGTACTAATTCATTATTATCCAATAAAAAAAATAACATAAAGGTAATAAAGGAAGGTATTGTTAGTAATGGGATCTAATAGCCTCCCACTTTTAGCAATAGCTAATCAGGTCGACCACCACGCGATTCCCTCTGGAAACCATCATGGTTTATTCTTGAGGAATTAGTCACGATGGGCTAACTGACCTACTTACATCGTCTTCTATCATCATATCACTGGTACCCCGCCAGTATAGACCGATACCATAGGTGGTGTTACCATTCCATTATCATCCATTAAAAAAACATAAAGATAATGTAATCAGTGGCTCAGTGGCTAATTTTTAAAATTTGAATTTCTTTGTTTAATATTGGATGTAGTTGTAACAATTGACATCAACAATTAATATACACAAATAGTCATCTTACTCAGTCAAGGAGAATGAAGAATTTGACAAAGAAAGATAAAAGAGATCAGAGATACCCATTGGCTTACTTAGATCCGTGCCAACCCCAGAATAAGGAGAGCATCTCTTAGCTATAAGCAAAACTGCGTCTGATCATACATACTCGTATAAGCCTTTTTAAGGGGCATGGGTCCCCCTGAAAAATTGTTTTAAATTCGCCAATAGAGACACCACTGCACCAGAATAATGCTGCCAAATAAAACAGCCAAACTATACAGGTATAGACAAAAGGTAGCGGTTACAAAATAAAAATCAATTCGATCAAACAAGAAATACCTTACAGCTCTGTTTGTAATAAAACAGATGTACTGAAGTATGTGGCCCCAAGTACCATCAAATCCTACGAGCTCCTCCACCGTGTATTGGCTCTTCAAATAAAAGAAATGGTGAGAGCTGAACAAGCCACTGGAACATAATTACATTTATACTATAGTATTAATACAGTTACATTATACGAACTAAATTTTAAAAATTAAAATGTCACACCTTACTAGAAATAACGTGTCGAATGCCATTGTACCTGTATTTAGTATATTGTAAATATTTTCCGCTTCATTTACACCACCAGAATTAACTGAAAATTACATTTGTATTACAGTATTGGAAGAGCTTTAATTAAATGTGAAACAAATCAACTATCCTTACCTGAAACGTAATCTACTATAACAGAGACGTGCACGAATATTAACCAAAGAGTTGCTATAATCCTCCAAACGTGAATTACTGACAGATCTTTATTAGCCGTGTTTGTATTGAAGATTCGGCTCCAACTATATCTTAAGGAGAAACAAAACAGTAGTCGTTTTATCAAACTGGTCTTCTTTTCCTCAGTGTTGAGGCTCGCAGCGGAGCTATACTTGACTCTGGGACAAGCGGTCAAGTTGTTCACTTGCCTCGGATTGTTACACTGTCTCCTGTACTTGCCGCATCTGGTACAACTACCTGTCGCTCTCTCCACACCTACTACGTCTAGCGTAATCGAGGGAGTTATATTTGGATTAACATTCTTCATCGCAAGCAGGTTTATATTGTTTCTGTGATTAACATTATTTTTGGATAATACTTCATTATCTGCCACATCAGATTCTATCCGTTCATCTATTTGCTTTTTAACTTTGTCGTGTAGTTTGCTTATTGTGTCTGTATTGTTATATTTTTGTAAATCGAAACTAATCGATTTAGAGCCACGTTTACATTTTATAATGTTAATTTCTATTACTGTGGCTGTTATTGATAGTAATAGCAAAAACAGCGTGACACTTAATAACAGTATCGCTCCAAGATCATGTTTTATGCTATAGTGTTCTGTGACTTGTCTAAGAGATGCAATTTTAGCTATTCGTGGTACAGTCTTGTTTGATTTCAAGTTGTCGTTTAGCATTATGGAAAATGTCAACAGTGATGAAATATCCCTTTTGGAACAGGAGCGTGGCAAGCATAATCCTATAGTAATATCGAAAGGCTGAAAAGAAAACAATAATTTTGTGGCATTACTTTTTATACTACTACTGTAATATATGTACGTATTAATATAATTATTGTACTTACTCAAAAATATATTTTTACACTGTTTTCAAAAATATCTTACTGATGTGGACAAAAAAAAAACATTAGAATAAAAAACATGCACTGATTTTCTTAAAATATTTTTTTATTAAGTTAACCTAAATGAAAACCGAGTCACGAACCTGCGGTGTGGCTGAATTCATAATGGTCAGGAGGACTCGAGCCACATTGAAACCTAAGTGGAATGGTGGATTATCTGATAGCTCTGTCGATTTGGTGTGTGTCAACTTCCACTCGTGATCTAAGAAAAATATGATGAAACCTTAAGAACTAGCCAGTATGAACGTTACTGTACCTAAATAAGATCATAAGTTCGATTCTTAGCCACGCCAATTTAAAAAAAATCTAATTATATTAAAGTCTGTGTTTTTTTGGATACCCCCACATGTCCGTTGTCTGTTTTCTTTTTAAACAGAATGTCGTGAGGATCAAGTAATTGGTATGATGGTGGGGCACTTGTTACTTATTATTATAAAGTATTACAAAGGCAAAGTATACTTTGCCTACATAAAACTAGATCAGTATTTTTTTTATTTTTATTACTATCTTATATCATCCATTATATGTACTGAACCGTTTTAAAAAATCAAATCGAAAAATGGTCTACGGAGAGAAGTTTCTGTTAATTAAACTATAATTTAAAATTTTGCATATAAAAAGACGTACATTTAAGTGTCCACTACCTAATATCTAAATGAAAAAAAAACTATCTTCTGTACTCTTACCTCCATCATGGTACCTTTCTTTGCGCAGTCCAACGGCAGGGCCCAAAAATTGATTACCATCATGGCTGCTACTTTTAGCTTCATTATTCTGTCAAATAATAAATTTAAGTATAAAAAAGAAATGACATCCACGGGAATGGAAGGGATAACTCATTCTATACCCACACAGCGACATCTGTTTTTCATTATTGTATAAAATAATAATGCAAAGTAACATACAAAATTATACAAATCTATACTTATAATAAATCTATAGAGAGGTCAATTCTGTACATGAAATATATTTCCAAAATAACTACCAGGGGGTAATTAGTGATCGATACTGATGCTAAAAATGTAATCAGTAAAATTTTGTCTGCTGGCTGTATATTCGTTATAAAGACAAAAAATACTCCACGGATTTTAACGAAACTTGGTACAATTATTCTTCATACTCCTGGCCAGATTATAGTATACTTTTCATCACGCTACGATCAATAGGAGCAGAGCAGTGAAGGGAAATGTTGGGAAAACGGGAGAATTTACTCCATTTGTAAGCTTCCGTCGCGTGTGCAGCCTTAATGGCCACTTTTTAAAATGTAAAAATGTCCACCCGTGCGATGCCGGGACGGGCCGCTAGTAATAACTAAAGGTATAAAATTTTGATTCGTAACTATAAAATGAAATTGAGTGAACAGCTATGAATTTGACGAAAATACATATTTTATATATAGGGAGACTTTGTACAAAAGTCGTTTGCTTGGCTACTCTCTCTCATTTGTCTCTGTCCCATTTGTGTTTCTACCGTGAAGCAGTTGTGTTTGCATGGCTGTGTTTCGGTTTGAACGGTGAGATATGACGTGAATTTACAGGGTATAGAGGAATAACACCTAAGTTCTCAGGAATGAGAACGCATGAGAGGTATCTTGGGCGAAATAGTATCTATACTCTGTTATGTCCATGGTACTGTTCATGTCTATAGGCGACGGTTACCACTTTCCATCAGGTAGACCGTCAGCTTGTTTGCCATTCTAAGTTGTATAAAAAAAATACATAACGACCTGTAATTATGGTTACGTATATTCGAGCCAGATTTGATCAAACTGATAGATCAAACAATAGAGTATTCTAAGCTATCTATCATCTATAAGATACGAAGCTAGTAAGCATACATATTCACTTACCAGTACAAGACAATGGTGTTTGGAGCCGAGCCAGTACCTGTTGCCAGCGAATGCCCCACCCTGGTACCGACCCGATGCGTCTGCGACTAAAATATTTAATAAATAAACCTTTTATTATTTACCTCCTTGGTAGCCATGTTTCGAAGTAAAAGGTCATTCCATTTTTAAATTACAGGACAGATATGAGTTTACATAGTAATTTATCTGGCCGCAAAACACGACAGATATGGATTTTCATACAACTTTTACCGGCCGCTGCCCGCATCTATCTGGCCAGTACGGCAATTTTGCTTTATCTCGAAGAAGATTATCAAAATAGTGCTCACATTTCCAAGCATGTTTGAGAAAAAATTATTAGTTATCGTTATTATATCAGCCTTTAACTGACCACTGCTGAATATAAGGGGAGGCCCTTGGGTGGTTTGGCAGTAGTTGCCACGATTGGCAGGCGAATTGGCAACCGCAGTCAGACTTTAGAGATGTTTTAAGAGGGACGCTGCTGCTCATCCCTCGCCTCCCCTAAATCGACTTTTATGACACTTATGGGAAAGAAAATGGGTTCTACGCCGGGACCATACGGCCGCAATTTTCTACACTAATATTATAAAGAGGAAAGACTTGTATTTTTGTGTGTATGTTTGTAATGAATAAACTCAAAAACTACACTACTACTACTAAGCTACATTCACCTTGAGTAACATAGGCTATATTTATTACTAGCAAAGATTAGGGGTCCTTACTAAAACTTTAGTAAAGTAACTGAAGGCATAAAAAAATGCTATAAAATATCTTTCATCGCGTGTACTGCGGAAACTATTGGTGATAGAACAAAAGTATGTTCTACATTATTGAAGGAAATATCAATAACTACAAAAAACTTCGCGATACTATATGTCCAACTATTATCGTTATGTCACAATAACCACTTTTTAAAATGTTGTAAAAATGTCCACCTGTGCGAAGCCGGGACGGGCCGCTAATATTTTATATAAAGGACATTTTAATTGCTCTAAGAATAACAAGATTAGATTTAGATTAGATTAGATTTCTTTATTTGCGAGAACATTGTTTTTTACAGATATTGTTCTATTAAATAAAGTACAAATATTCGCCTTATATTCTAAAGCATGCAAAATTATTATTGGGTACAAGATACATTACATTAACAATAAAAATTGGTCACCTTGGATTTTTTATTATTATTTTCGGTTTTACATACATTATTACATTTGTAATATTAATTAGAATATAATTATTATAATTATTAGGAATATAATAGATGTACAACTGGTATTGTGAAGAGAATAAACTTTATTATTATTATTAAATTTTACCAAAATTCTCATCTCCCCTCTTGAGGAGAGGAGATGGCAACTAACCCCCGGCAGAAGCACAGTCGGCCGGGGTTCAGGGCCCCAGGGAGAGAAACCGGCGAGAGAGAATCTAAGAGCACCGCTTTCTGCGTACGGAATCCCAACCGTCTGAGATGTTGTTCCAGACTGGTTGGGGTAAGACCGTTCACCAACATAACGATTGGGATTATTATTTTTTAAATTTCACTTAAATTCTCATCTCCCCTCTTAAGGAGAGGAGATGGCAACTAACCCCCGGCAGAAGCACAGTCGGCCGGGGTTCAGGGCCCCAGGGAGAGAAACCGGCGTACAATGCGGGCATTATTATTATTAATTTTATTGTTACAAGTGTTCACGATTGATGCATCGCGTGCGTGTCCCTCGCAATATTTGTGCATACATCGAACTTTAAAACGGTTGAAAATGAAATTAAAAAACGAGAATCACGCATTTCAATAACACGATACGATCTAAATAGACATGTTGCAAGTATTGACGGTTTAACATCTAGTAGATAGATAGATAGTAGATTACTTGGGTACCTCTGTCCCATTCATGTTTCTACCGTGAAGCAGTTGTGTATGAATGGCTGTGTTTCAGTTTGAAGGGTGGGATATGGCGTGAATTTACAGGGTACAGAGGAATAACATCTGAGTCCTCAGGAATGGCAACGCATGGGGGGTATCATGGGCGAAACAGTATACTCTGTTATGTCCATGGTACTGCTTATGTCTATAGACGACGGTTACCAGTTTCCATCAGGTAGGCCGTCAGATTGTTTGCCATTCTGTTGTATAAAAAAAAAGATAGAAGAAACAATTAACTCGTAGATAGAAGCAACAAAACCTAATAAATATCTATCTAACATAACGTAGGAACTGCTAGAAGTATTGTTTTACTTTTTTAGTCTTATTTTTAACTAGCTTCATTCTGCGACTTCTATCGCGTAAATCAATGCAAAGAGAAACCTATATGTTAAATTAGGAAATAACCTATCCGTGTAACAAGTTTTATTTAAATATGTTCAGTAGTTTATCCTTTTGTATTTATAATATTAACGAGAATAAGATATGTTAAAATGTAACCAATGTTTTGCACTTTCTTTTTTAATCCTTTGAGTGCCTTTGAGAGCAGAAGGATTGTTAGTAATGGGGACGTTAATCCCCATTGCTAGCAATATCCTATCAGACCACTATCAGGTCGACCTCCACGTGGTTCCCCCTGGAAACCATCGACGTCGCAATGGCCCAATAGACCTACTTTCATCGTCATCTATCATTATATAACTGGTACCCCGCTAGTGTATACCGATAGCGCAGGCGAGGCTACCATTCCATGATCATCCATTTAAAAAAAAGCACATTACTAGCGTAAACTCACGCAAGTGTGGTTTATATATATTTTCAAAGTCTAGGTCGACCCCCTGGGCAAGTCTAGGTGGCCCCTAAGCCTCGACAAGAGGATCGCGAAAGGCTGCGACTAATCGCAAAAAAATTTAATCTAAAATTATATGTTAGGAACCGTGGAGGGTAGGGAGTTGAAAAATTATTTTTACATTATTAAGGGAATCACGCTATGATTTTTTTTTTTAAAAACACACGATTATTATACACTATTCATCACAATTACAATGTGAATAAAAGACAATTCGTGTTTACGTAAATATGTTGTCTTCATGAAAAATGAAAGGACACGACTACATTTTCCAGTCAACGCAAGACTTTAACAGTTTTTGCCTCATTGGATTTAGAGATAAATAGGAAAACATTTCTTACTAAGATTATTTCTGTCATTTCCACAGTATGACAATTACAATTAGCGAATTTTCGCTTTCGACAAAAAAGTCGCGTGCCCGCCGCGCGGTCCACCGAGCCGGATCGCACGCGACGCGGTCACCTGACTCCGCTGTCCATTCACACGGTCGTGAAATTAATCTATGAGCAATAACTCGTTTTAACAGCTTCATTTATATTGTGATTATTAATAATAATTCATATATGTATGTATAAATAAGTTCAAAATTTATAGCTCCAATATGGGAGTAACCTTTTCAATTAACAAGTTGATTTAACGATACGAGTCGTGATTAAATTAATGGATTAACGACTAATTTTCAATCGACTTTAAAAAAGGAGCGAGTCTCAACTCTGACACTCACTCAATTCAGTGGTTTATTACCTCATAACTGACTGATAAACTGATTTAATTTTTTTTTTTTTAATTGAAAGGAAATACTTTCAGATTAGTCTCATAGAAATTTTATCGAAATTAGATTTGATTTTTTAAATTAAAATTATTGATTTTGCCACGACTGAACACGATTTTAAATTATTTGGTAAACTTTTACTTGTTTACCAAATAATAATATCATTATCGTTCAAATAAGATCATTGAAAATAAGTATTTGAATTTAGAACACAGAATTGTGACACGTTAGATTGAATATATTTAAATTTAGAACGCGAAATTGTGATTATAAGTAGATTTTTCTTCGCAAGCAGTTTTTGCTCCGCCAAGAAAACCGATAGTTTCAATGAAACAACAAACAAACATGATAAATAAATACCACTGATTACAATCTCTCTTTTCATTTAAGAGTTTCCTCTTGTCGGTGCAACTAATTCATGCATTTTCTTCCAGCCATTTTATACGACGTCATAGCTAGTGTTTAATCGATTAAAATACGATACGAATAATAAAAATCGATACAAAAGTGTTGACATAATCGTATATAAAAATAATAGAGACAAATTGAAAAACCCCCCTCCGTTAGAAAGACTGTTAAAAATCGTAATTAAGCACCTACTTACAAAAAAAAATTAATTAAATCGATAACGAGCTATTTTTGAAGTTGAGAAAAACGTTAACGGTTATTACTAGCCCTTCGACAGTTCAACCGCGGTACACTATACCATGGGAAGTATGGCGGGCACACCTCTCATTCCGTACCGTTGCGTTGGCCAATTATAATGTAAAAATTTTGATTAAATTTTGATTCTTTAATTTGTGAAAGCTTACATGCCGTTAATTTAATGAGTTTTTTTTTTATTTATTACTGATCGGCAATTTTCGATTTACATCTACGTCCATGTAGATAATGCGTAGGCAGGTTTTTTTTTTTAATAAACATTTAATTTTCGTACGACCTTTAGATATTTAAATAGGTACGTTCGAATATAACGCATAGAAATTGTTACGGCTGTAACCTTTTTTTAAATAGATGATAACAGAATGGTAATCCCGCCTGAGCTAATGGTATACGCTGGCGAGGCACCAGTGAGGGATGATAGGAGAAGGCGGGTCAGTTCGTGATAAATACACCTGGAATTCAGCACAATGGTTTCCAGGGAGGAACACGAGGAGTTTGACCTGACATATATATTGGATATAATGCTAACAATGGGACTGCTACATTTCCGCATTACTAACAATTCCTTAACCCCCCCCCCCCCCCCCCACCCCCTCACGGCTGCCTAGGAGATATCTTTTACTTTTAATACTACAAAGTTTGTATACCATCCCCCTAGCGTGTACCGATAGCGCACTCATCCCCAGACCGGCCTAGGCCTACTTGGCGGGGGGAAAGGAATTGTTAGTAATTGGGCCTAACTGAACCTATCAAGTCGACCTCCACGTGGTTCCTCCTGGAAACCATTGTGGTTAATTCTAGTGGAATTCATCACGATGTGGTAACTGATCCGCTTTCATTGTCACCGATCATCCCTCACTGGTGCCCCGCCAGCGTATACCGATAGCGCAGTCGTGGTTGCCATTCCATTATCACCCATTAAAAAAAAGTCTACTTGGCAAGGGGAGAAGGGATTCTAAGTAATGGGGACTATTTTTTTTTATACAACTTAGAATGACAAACAAGCTGACGGCCCACCTGATGGAAAGTGGTAACCGTCGCCTATAAACATGACCAGTACCGTGGACATAACAGAGTATACTGTTTCGCCCATGACACCCCCCATGCGTTGCCATTCCTAAGGACTCAGGTGTTATTCCTCTGTACCCAGTAAATTCACGCCATATCCCACCCTTCAAACCGAAACACAACCATGCAAACACAACTGCTTCACGGTTGAAACACGAATGGGACAGAGGTACCCAAGCAATCGACTTTTGTACAAAGTCTTTAACTATTACAGTGTTTTGTCGCTACACATGTGATGTTGTAATTATTTTAATAAATAAATAAAAAAATAAATATCTGTAACGTCTGAAAATGTTTAAAAATATGTAAACTTACCATTCAATGCCCACAAGCGACCTTCTGATAAATCTCCGAAAAATACACTCAAATCCTCCCAACAACTCTCTTCCACTGATATATGTACACCATTAGATATTTTCGGCCACACCACTGACAAAAACGATGGATCGTATACATTAAAAAGGCTTTCCAAAACATTCCCTTTCGCGCGCAAACTTTTTTCTATTCTCAAATGGGATTCTTTTTTTGAAATCCTCTCGCTTCCATTATTACGCGGTCTTATCCGTGTGCTTTCGGCCAGTGTCAATAAAAACAAAATTAAATAATAACTTTTTTTCTCCATGTTATCGCATTATATTTTATTGGCACAACGCGGATTTTAATCGCCTCCACGAGTATGAGTAGCGGGATTATTTGTAAACAGTGTGCGCGTGCGCATGGGCAGCGGTCAGAAACGTAAATAAACAATTAAATGCGATAGATAGTAAACTCACATTCACATTTACTAGTAAACTTAAAATTAGAATGACATAATGTACAATAATTATATTATCACACGACTTTTTAATGATCGCACAAACTTTGTAATAGTTGATTAGGATTTTTAAAATAAAAAAAAATGGACAGGACAATATCTGTTGATTCGAATTGTTGTAGCTTTTGAAAAATGTTATAAATGTGAAAGTGAGTTTATTTGTTACCTTTTGGCTCCTTAACGGCTCGGCCGATTGTCATAAAATTTAGTTTACAATTATAACAATGATTAAGTACAGACAGTTTGGATTGAGGATGACTCGCCTGCCATGCCATTCTCGTGGCAACTACTGGCAAACCCCTCCAAAGAGGGGGGAAAGGGATTGTTAGTAATGGAGACTAAAAATCCCATTGCGAGCAATATACCCAGCCAGGTCGATCTCCTCGTGGTTCCCCCTGGAAATTATCATGGTTAATTCCTGATGAATTCATCATGATGGGCTAACTGGCCTGTTTTCATTCTCATCGATCACCCTTCACTGGTGCTCCGCCAGCATATCCCGTTAGCGCAGGCGGGGTTACCATACCATTTTCACCCAACAAAAAAAAAGAGGCCTATGTTCAACATTGGACAGGTAACGGCCGATAGGATAGGATGATGACTTTGTGTGGTATGGGGGTAGGTATTATTGGTAGGTAATGGGAATTGGGAACAAGTTTCTAAGATACAAGATATCCTAGAGCATTGTTTGCAATATATCGCCCATTTCTTCTTCATAATATCATTGTTCCATCACTAATACCCGTCCATTGCATAATACGTCTTTAGATTAAGATAGATTTGTCTTTACATAAAATAAAACAAAGACGACGCTTGATCGATGGTTTCATTGTAATTCTGATATTTTTATGAAAGGTTCTTTTTTCTTTTTTTTTTTTTTTATACAACTTAGAATGGCAAACAAGCTGACTGCCCACCTGATGGAAAGTGGTAACCGTCGCCTATAGACATGAGCAGTACCATGGACATAACAGAGTATACTGTTTCGCCCATGATACCTTCCATGCGTTGCCATTCCTGAGGACTCAGGTGTTATTCTTCTGTACCTTGTAAATTCACTGCCATATCCCACCCTTTAACCGAAACACAGTCATGCAACACAACTGCTTTACGGTTGAAACACGATTCTTTCGATAAAATCACGATTCAACGAATCTTAATCAGAGATATGTGAATACATTACGCACCTTTTTTAACAGATCATACCTCCTTTTTCCAAATAATCTTATTGCATTCTTATTCAGTCATTACACGGATCCATATTTAACCATAGTAAATACATTGTCTATGATCTTAAACAAACTACAGTCGTAGCGTCGATTGTCGATGGGCTACCGAACTTTCTCCGCGCCTAATGTACCAATAAAAGCAGTTAGTATTGTACGGTTATTATTATTTATACGTTTCGCGTGACCATTACAACCTACAAATGTACAATGGTGCTTTGCATACGAGGGGCGGACACTGGTTTATTTGTTACGTTGATGGTATTTTAGTTTCTCTTTTTAGTCATATATTTTGTTCTTCGTATATGTATATACTTTGCTACAGTAGTTTTTGATTTCGACACATTTGTCTTCAAACCTACTATAAGAAATGAAATGAATTTATTTTGCTGGAATGCAGGTAATTTTAGATGATAGAGGTTTACATTTCCCGTGTACATTCCGCCTCTATGTCGGCGTGCAAATTATTTATTACAGTAAACGGAAAATAAAAGCCTGTACAATAGTTGTCGAAATTAATAAAATATTTTAACAAACAACATTTTAACAATTTATTCGCCGGCTGGTAGAAACCTCTGGCGACCAGAAGGCTGGCCTATACTTTGGCCAACGCATTTCCATAGCTATTCAGCGTGGAAATGCAGCAAGTCTCCTAGGTACCCTACCAGCTGGCAGTGATCTTAAGGAATTTTTTTATCTTTAACTATTTAAATTTATAAAAAAAAAATTAACAAACTGTGACATTAATTAGTGTATAAAAACAGAAACATCAATGATATCTCTAGTGTAGGTTGTGAAGTGCATTTGTTTTTTTAACGAAATATTCTACTTATTATATATTAAGTACTTAGTCTCTCACAAAACTGGTCTTACATATTTGACTATCAAATTGTTACTTTCTTGTTTAGTATGGAGTACGCTATACTAAGTTATCTATGGTTACTTTTTATTAGTATTTGTGAAGAAAAAAATAAATGATACATTCATCTGATTTTGTATAACAAAATATATTTTGGTGCAAAAAAATATTTTCCAAAATAGGTTTCGATTTGGGGGAAAAACAGCATATCGAACCTGCACAAAAATCAGTGGCGTAACAATAGGGTGGCAGGGCTGGCAGAATGCTACGGGCCCCGACCCAAAAGGGTCCCGGCTCAAGAGGCCGCGAGCTCAGAATTTTTTTTTTTTTGCATTGTACCTGAGTATTTTATTTTACGTGAAATTTTTTTTTATTGATAGGGCCCCATCAAAAGAATTTGCCACAGGCCCCTCAAGGTACCCCCAAGAGGTACCCAAGCAATCGACTTTTGTACAAAGTCTCCCTCTGGTATACGGGATGCAACTATTTAAAAAATAAAAGAGCAATATGTTAGTAATTACATTTATTACCTGTCAAAAGACAATATAGCTTACAATTACTTCATTTTCATGTACTTAGTAAATAGAATTAGCTAGATTTATCTGATGTCACTGCAGTCTCTGAGGGACGCTCTGCACACGCACAAACACACGAACATAGGACAACGACGCACGGTATTGGATTTTATGTCTTTGTTATAGGGGTTACATTTGCCGGAGCCGCTTGTTCGGCCGTTGTCCGTCATTCATGAAACCGCCCTGCTGGAACAACAGTCTTAGGTTAATTCTACAAATATATACAATATCGCATAATATTTATATTTATACAACTTAGAATGGCAAACAAGCCGACGGCCCACCTGATGGAAAGTGGTAACCGTCGCCTACAGACATGAGCAGTACCATAGACATAACATACATAAATTCACAACATATCCCACCTTTCAAACCGAAACACGGCCATGCAAACACAACTGCTTTACGGTTGTAACACGAATCTGACAAAGGTACCCAAGCAAACGACTTTTGTACAAAGTCTCCCTCTGGTAAACATTAGATATTTAGACTAGAGAAGTAGTTTCATGCTTATCGGTTCAGTAATTTAAAGACAAAAGTATAAACATATTCACCTCCATAATACTAGTAACATTAAAATGATTTGTGCAGAGGGAGACTTTGTACAAAAGTCTATTGCTTGGGTACCTCTGTCCCATTCGTGTTTCTACCGTGACGCAGTTGTGTTTGCATGGCTGTGTTTCGGTTTGAAGGGTGGGATATGGCGTGAATTTACAGGGTACAAAGGAATAACATGTGAGTCCTCAGAAATGGCAACGCATGGGGGATGTCATGGGCGAAACAGTATGCTCTGTTATGTCCATGGTACTGCTCATGTCTATAGGCGACGGTTACCACTTTCCACCAGGTGGAAAGCTTTCCATCAGCTTGTTTGCCATTCTAAGTTGTATATAAAAAAAAATGTTTATGAATAAATAACTATTTATGGTTTACTGCATAATTCAGACACAAAAGCCATAGACAAGAAACTTGCGCAGTAGATACTTTTGTACGAGTGCGCAAGTCACGTACAAATATTTTCTTTACATTTTTTTCTCATTTTACAAACGATTTAGCTTAATTTAACCATTTAGAGTAATTGCATTTGACACATGTCTTTTTGAAGACAAAAGAAGTTACAAGTTACTGATGTAGTGACATTTGAAAGAAATAATTGGATTTACAGTTCTTTCCTTGTATCTACACACCATCAAATACGATACAGTAAGATTCAAATCTATTTCAAAGTTTCAACTTTGCCTACACTTAATAGAACTCTTTTCAACTGGCATTATGTTGTAAATTAAGGGCATTAACCCATACACATCCATAACGTGTCAGATCAGATGCATTATAGTATAGTTAGAGAATTAAAAAAAAAATTAAACCCAACTACAAAAATGTTATCAAACTAACATTAAAAATAAAAATACAAATTTGGTGTATTATATATGTGTAACCAAATATTATTGAAATAAAAACCTAATGCACATACTTTTTGACTACAGTGCATTTTTGTGCAACACTCTATAGGCAAAAACTTTTTTTTTTTTATTCTAACACACTCTGGATCCGTATGGACAAATGGCAATTCCACACCAAACAATGCCTTGTATTGTCATTATTTATTACTGACACTAATTGTGCCCTAACAATTAGTATTGAAAACAACATTGGTTAGTGTACACTTGTTACCTGGGTCGTGTGTCGAGTCTACAAATGTTCTACAGGTCTACAGATAGCTCTGAAAAGAATGCACAGAAAAAATTAATGGCAAAGAGAACTGCAGACCTACGAGTCTAATTATGCACGTAATACATTAAAATGTGTACTGCATTTCTTTGCACATTCCTTCTATGCACTCATTTCCTTACATGAGCATGCAAAACAAAAGTATAACAAAGCATGGTTGAAATTATTGCAAAAAAATACAGTAAGACAAGCATTTATGCGGGGAGTTTAAATACGATTAAATATTTAAACCAATTTATATTCATAGCTATATATATACGACGAAAATGAAGAGACTAATTATAATAATGGCATGTAAATGTCGGTGCAATAAAATGAAATGACAGCGGACTGGACAGTTCAGTAGGTGCATAACGAAAGTAAATATTCAAGAAAGTAAGTATAGAAGCAGTACCATAGACTCTTAGTAGAAAATGTATGATATAAAGAGACATTATATATTTAACATGCAATGTAAATGTAGTTGTGATGAATTTTTTTTCTAAATAACTTCCAGATTATTCCAGAATCTTTTTTTTTTTTTACTAATTTTAGCCATTTACAAAAAAAAAGTGATCCTGCTTTTACTAACGTTATAAAGTTTGTGAATATGTTTACATATTTGTTATTGAAACAAGGCTGGATGGATTTAAATGGAATTTGATATACTTATAGATGGTATATTAATAGATAGAATGTTAGTTTAATGTACTTATATACATGCAACACGACAGGTTGCTATATATAATAATAGGGTGGCCAACCGGTCGATCGCGACTATTAGTCCAGTCGATCGTGACAAGGCAAAAAATATAATATTTTGCTAATCTAGCGAAAGATGTTAAGACCAAATCCTCACACTAATATAAATAAATAGTTTCTAAACCAGTTTTAAGTTTCCCCTCTTAATAAGATAAAAAAATACTACATAATTATGTACAAAACTAAGTTGATCCATTTGAGATTTTAAGAAGTATGTAAATGGTAGGATTTCGTCAGTAAAAAGTAGTACTTGGTTAGTGAAGACGACCACCCCTGCTATTATAACATTAAAATTTAAACAATAAATATTACTATATTCGCAAATAAAATAAAGTCATACAAGATTATCTGATCGATAGCAAAATTCAATTGTAGACAAGTCGGTATCATACTAATTGTCGATCACTATTCAAATTAATACTTGACAGACATAAAATTAGTCAAACATACATATACTATTATTAGCGTGCGAGTGGCGCCTCTGGTTTTGAATTTTTAAGCGAGCCCTCGACACTTAAGAAAGGTTATAATTTACATTACCATAATTTTTAGATGATCCAAAAATTAAATTTGAAATATTCAAGTTTAGACTCATTCAGTTATTACTATAAAAACAGATAATACCGTATAGTGCGGTGTTTCCCAATTTGATTTTGGGGCAATTTGATAGTTGGGGGGGGGGGGGGGGGGGGGGGGGGGGGGGCAATTAAAAAATGGAATCGAAGCGATTTTAACCATCTTGCTTTGGCCCATTTAAATGCTACGAGTAGATATCGGTACCAAATTCTATAAATATTTATTAGGTATAAGTTTTTTAGAAACGTTCAAGTGGGGCATGGCACAAAAAGGTTGTGAAACACTGGTATAGTGTGAGTGTGTGTGTGTGAGTGTGTGTGAGTGTGTGTGTGTGTGTGTGCGTGGTATGGGGTGTGTAATGTAATTTATGGAATTATAATTACTGGTCGGCCCATGAAGCCCTGTGGTGGCATGTACGTGTTGACGGGCGCGAAGCCGCCGCGCGGGAAGGCGCCGCCGCGGGCGCCGAACGCGCCGCGACCACGCGCTCCTGTACACATACAAATACATGTTTTTAAATTGAAAATATAAACATCCTATTTCACAATTATCTGTTCAATCTTGAAGATAAATAAGTATGACGTGTTTTTACAAGAGCTATCTTGACGGTGCCGCGAACGCCTATACCTCGCGCCTCGACGCAGTCAGGCTAGGGCTCGCGTCACACCACTCATAATTAAGGATGACGAATTGATCCCAAAACTAGTCGACATTTCTCTGTCTAATTACACGTAAGTTAAACGGCTAATTGTTATATTATAATACAATGTGTGCTTACGAAACTTTTAACAATAAAATTATTCATCTTAATAGACAAGTTTTTAAATAAAAATAATAAAAATTAATACAAAATAATTATATATAATCCATATTTGAGGGTAGTCACAGGCATTTGTCGACTGTTACAAATTTAGTAAACACACACTCGACAAGCCCACATTGTGCGAAGGATATTTGAATACAATGTGGTTTTGAGTCAGCCTACCGACGAAACTCAGATTAATTTACTTTGTTAGCAGAATTTTCCATTATAATTAAATTAAATTGGAGCTCTTAAACTAAATTAAAAAACAGTCACCTCCCACTAACAAAGTGTTTGGTCTCAAATAATAATAATTTGTTATAAAAATGTACACTAGTACCTCTAAAGTTCCCCCTCGCGTTGAAAGCTCCACCGCCGCGCGGGCGGAAGCTGTTGGCGCGATTTGCGTTTGGACTGTTGTTTGAGTTAGAGTTGGTATTGTTCCGATTTGCCTGTTGTGGGTGTTGCCGTTTGTTCTGAAAAACACCGTACTTTATTACACTGGCCAAATTGATACTTAAAAATCACTTTAAACTACATATTTTAGCAGGGAAAAGGGATTGTTAGCAATGGAATTTTACAGCCCCATTGCTAGCAATATGCCCTATTAGGTCAATCTCCACGTGGTTCCCCCTGGAAACCATCGTGAACAATTCTTGTTGAATTCGTCACGATGGGCTAAGTGACTTGCTTCATTCTCACCTATCATCCTTCACTGGTGCCCCGTCGGTATATACCGATACCATTCCATTATCGCCCATTAAAAAAAATTACATATTTCTTCATAATGTTAGAGAGATATACATTATACATATACATAGAGTCCTTATATAATCTACAAAAATAAATATAAGTTTGTTATATTATAAATCAGCTATTTCTTTTTAAAAGGCCGGTAGAACACCTGAATATATTATATCTGAATGTATGAATAAAATTACCTTATTTACATTGGCGGAGTGTGCCTTCTGTTCATCCTCGTCTCTGTACTTGGAGACTGTTATGAGGAACCCGTTGATGCGCAGTTCTCGATCCAGTTTCAATGCTTTTTCCACCGCTTCTTTAGCGTGGAAGGTTACCCGCACTGTCATATATAGTAATAGATACATTTTTAAAACGTTTGTTTGCAAAACGTTACGATACATTACAGGAGCGGGATGTAGCTTCGAACAACGTATTAGGTAAAAAAAGGTAGGGAAATTAAAATCTCCCACGTTGGCAACCTTTTTCGTATATTTACGGGGAATCCCTCGACTATATTGTACTTCATTTTTGTTTTAGTTATCAATGTACGTTAATGGTGTGAATGTTAAGTAAAAATGGTCACTTAGGTGTTATGTAACATTTAAGGAAAGAGAGAGATGTACAGAAAAATGTTACCAAAGCAACACGCGCTTAGGGGAAGAAAGGATCAAAAATCTTCAAAAATTGCTTTACATAATACATTAATACACCAGAGGGAGACTTTGTACAAAAGTCGATTGCTTGTGTACCTCTGTCCCATTCGTGTTTCAACCGTGAAGCAGTTGTGTTTGCATGGCTGTGTTTCAGTTTGAAGGGTGGGATATGGCGTGAATTTACTGGGTACAGAGGAATAACACCTGAATCCTCAGGAATGGCAACGCATGAGGGGTATCATGGGCGAAACAGTATACTGTGTTATGTCCATGGTACTGCTCATGTCTATAGGCGACGGTTACCACTTTCCATCAGATGGGCCGTCAGCTTATTTGCCATTCTAAGTTGTATAAAAAAAAATTAGTACGTTGATATGGATGCTCAATTTGAAACAGATTGATGACACTTTGGCTTTGTTGGAAGAGACCTCTTACAGAGTTAAGCTCGCCTTTATAGATTACCTTTCCACTGACATATTTCTGTATATATCATTATACGTATGTATCATATACATTAAAGTATAAATAAATATATATACTCACATATCTTGTACTTGGTCTTGCTGAACTCGTGTATGTGCGCGACTTCGCCGCACTGCGAGAAAAGCAGGCGGACGTAGTCTGTGCTGGCCTCGTAGGGTACGCCCACCAGCACGGCGGTCTCGGCGCGGGACTCCACCGCCACCGAGATCGGGCTGCCGTCCAGCACCGTGCCCTCCTCCGTCAGGGCCTGCAGCGACGCCACATTTCATATCGAGCACGCGCACTATCGCACGCGTCATAATTACATACATACATAGATATCTGTCACGCCTGTCTCCCATTAGGGTAGGCAGAAACAATGGAACGCCAAACGCTATACAGGTTGGAATCGAAAACCTTGGGAACGATTCCGAGGAGCCTATCTTTTTAACTTATTTTTTAATACAAATTTTTTATTTGATAATTTCGTGAAAATACTGTTTTGTATACCATCATAAATGAAATTTATAACCTTGACTTAAAACTATTATAAATTTAGTTAAACATTGGTCCTTAGAATTTAAGTTTCACTGTGATATCAATTTAATATTTTAATTTTAAAGATACAATTAGAGAAACCGCAGATAATCAACACCATTGATGTCCTATGAAGAGTGTTCAGTGAAACTGAACATTTTTAAAAAAGGAACACGTGTGGAGGAAACGACAAAAAATACCAAAGACGCACCTTGTCAATGGCCCAATTTTTTTATCGTTTATCAACTTATATTCCTTTAGCAAAAATGTCCAAATTAAATAATATAACATTCACTTAAAATAATGCCAAGACTTTCGATTTCATCCTATATATGAGACCCATAGACATTTAAATAGACGTCACCGCGTGCTATTTGCATTAAATAGGTTCACCAAGCCATTCTAGACAAGTGGCATACTAATCTGTCGAGAGATACGTTTTCGTTAGCATTCACATGATGGTGGACATTACTGTCTCATTCCATCTCATTTACACAGTGGCGACAACGCATCTATCTATAGAGAATTTAGCAGGTAACGCCTGTTTGGACTCCAACTTAAATTCCTTGACATTTATGTGGAAATACATTTTGCAACAACCAAACATATTTTCGAAAGGTTTACTATCAAATTAATATATTTAACGATCCACACACACAGTAAGTAGAAATATATGATTTTTTATAATCGGAATGGGAGCATCTATCTCCATGTCTGTGATGTCCTCTAAGTTGACCCATGATCTAAGTCTCAGACAGCCCAGGAGGCAGGCGGCGTTACGACAATCCGATAGCCTATAGTGGCATATGTCACTCGATGTGACTTCACCACATGTTGGTTCATCAAAAGCCTGACGCATCGCCTATTCATCGCTCAGGTTAGGCCGAATAGAACTGCATTCGACCATTATTGATAAAAGCTATTTGTTCTAAATTCGAAATTACTTATTTCTGTATCTTAGTTTAATTTCTTTGGTCGTATGGAAATTCATTATTTCACTGTCTGTACTGGAAATTTGCTAATTATGGTAAATTAAATTTCTCTGTTAATATTACATTTTCCCCAGTTCTGATACTTTTTAAACATTGTTAAATAAAGAAGGATTACGGTTTGAATTAATCAAATTATTGGTTTTTATATAAAAGTTGTAATATCAAAAAGTTAAGGACGTTATTAGTTCTCAAATGTATTAACATTATTTTAAATATATTTTGAATTTAATTTTGAAACAAAATACAAAATGCCAGGCCGCACAAATATAATTACAGATCTAACATTTTTAATAAACAGATAAGAGGCATTAAATTGATGTAAAAACTTACCTTTTAGTAAGTGGCATACCATTGGGATAATTTGGAAGAGATTCATTCAATTATTATTATTATATAATTAAAATTTATGTATAATTTTCATAATAACTTATAGCTTATAATTTCTAATATGTAACTGTTACGCCCATACATCATTTGACAGTAGATTATGATGTTGCCCAGTGACAGAATTTAAAAAAAAAAATTTAAATTTACAGAATACTATTATTTTAGAATGAGGTACTTAGAATTAATAATATTATTTTTTTTTTAAAAATACAAGAAATTGGATCAAGGCCATAGTTTGTAGACTGTATAATTATTTCCTCTCTTTATGGGAGGAGACCAGTCCAGCAGTGGGGCAACAGGTAGCAATTTACACATATTATTACTATTAATACAAATTCTGTACATTTAAGCAACTTCTGAATTGGCCAGTATTTTTTGTATCCTATTAATTAACAAATACAAAAGTTTATCAAGTTGGATGAATGCTTGTTACCGTTTTACACAAACAACTAAACACATTTGAATGAAATTTTTTACACGGTTAGTTCTTTTTTTATGCAAACAACCTGACGGCCCACCTGATAGACATGAGCAGTACCATGGACATAACAGGGTATACTGTTTCGCCCATGATACCCCCTATGATGGTTATATCCTGAGTACATAGGATACTTTGTATACTGATTCATGCGGGCAAAGGTGTAAGAAATAGCTAACATGTTATACGCTAAAAATACGCGATTTCTTTGCCAATTCTAAACCGATTTTAATAATTATTTTTGCAACCGATACAATTCACTCCCGTGTGGGTTTCATATTAAAGGTTTCGCGAATAAATTGCCCTCTTTTGACGCATACATCTTCATGTCTGTTATTTAAAACAATCATAATAAAATCATATACAATGTGTTATAAACAAAATAATTGTTCATGCACATTGCTGCCTCGTATGATTGTGGTGAGCTCATTTTAATTTCATGGGAAATTAATACCAGATTGAATAAACTATATTATGTATATATAAATAATTAGACACAACAGTTATTTAGAGTAGTTCCCTTCAGTGAATCAGATGCTGCTATCACTAATTTTTTTATACATTATTTATTTATAAACTTTACCTATAATAATCGAATGTTTTTACTACTTTTTTAAACTACATCTTTTAACTTAAACAAGTTGCAAAATTATTTTATGTACAATATTTAGGCACATTATTTATAAAACTATAAGGTACCATACAAATACAGCATATTCGTTCTGTCTATAATGGCATTTTCATGACCATATTACCTGAAACCTATACCTATAATAATTAAGGCACCATTATGGTTATTTCATAACATTTATGACCAGTTATATTTTATTATGTCATAACATTGCACCAATAGTATGTTGCACCACTACATTACTTTTACAACCCAACCAAATAACTTTACGACTGGAAGTCTCCTTAAATTCAGGAACTCTTCCAGTGAACCAGCTCTTGAGTGGCATAAATGTTATTTAATATCTCACCAGGTCCGGTCCATCTTCACTTGGGTACATAAAGATGTAGAAAATTATATACAGCTGATAATGTAGCTTTTTATACATGATTTTTTAGAATCGATTGAATAGTTTTTGAGTTTATCCATTACAAATAACCACAAACAAATCTTCCCTCTTTATAATATAAATATTTTACTATATCTTTTTTATCATTCAAAGACTGAGACAGCCTGCAGTTTCACCAGTTTTACACTGAAATATTTCTATATGAATATATAAAATATATATAATAAATATATATTATTTTGTTCATCAATATAATAAAGAAATTATATATCTAGAGGAAATATTAAGTAAATAATTCCTCTTAGATACTTTCAAGTTATATAATTTGTTAATTATAAAAAAATTACTGTTGTTTAACAAATATTGTCGTGTCACAAAAATATATATATTTTATTACATAAATATTTATAGAATAAATAACCCCATCCGCTTACTTTAAATATTACCTGTATGGGTACATAAACACATGAAAAACACCACAACATGGACAGAATCATTTCAGCTGATCTACTACATCAGTTATGGTTGTTAAATTAAAATTTTGATAATTTACATTGTAAAATATGGCAATCCTCTGATAGGTTCACGTGACAGTAGAAGACCAGCCTGTTCAAACATTCAAATAGTCACTCAATCTGCACATGAGCTCAGGGCAATAACTGACGTCTCAACTTGGAAAAGAGGTAATTTGGAAAATTCTTAACTTAAAGTGCCTGTCTGGTACCCCAGATCAGTGCACATTTTATACTAAAATTAGCAACTATGATTTTCAACAGAAATAAAAATGTTAATAAACTTTTGTTTACCTTGTCCAGAGACTCTTTGTTTTTGAATTCGACTATAGCCGATAATGTCGGAGTTGTGGTCAGTTCAGTAACAATGATTGGACCACGTCTAGAAAGAAAAAACATTTCTCTCGTTAATACTCCGTTACAGGCGGTGTTACTATTCTGTGTGCAATTTGCATCTCAGAATACATTTAATATTTTAAATTTCACAAACAATTATAACTATATTTACAGAAAAATTTATGAAAATTCAGGGACTGATATTTGAATGTTAGCAAAAACATGTTTTAAACAAAGTTATTATTGACCAACAAGAGAGCATACTCACTTGACACTGATGACTTCTCCGTGTTTAGAGAATAACTCCTTAAGCTTATCTTGGTAGTCAAAGAGGTAGCTCGAGGGTAAATTCTCGACGAGCAATTTACCCGATTCCACTTTCTCTTCCTTTTTGTCTTCAGCTTTAGCCTCTCCCTCTGCAGTCTCTTGACCCTGCCCCTCGGTCTGTGCCTGCCCGTCCTGGCCGGCCGCCTCGTCACCCTGCTCTGCCTGCTCAGACTCGCCATTATTCTCCTCCGTCGCCTCCATGGGCTCTACTTCAGTTTCTGGAATCTGCTCCTCGACAGCGGCAGTTTTAGCTTTAGCCGCCTGCGATTTCGCACCACGACCCTTCTTTGGCGCTACCATTTTCTATATTCTCTAAAAATTCAAACAACTAATTCAAACGCGCCATCGGTCACGCTCTCCCAATCGGCTCATTTCCCGCCATGCTCGTCTATTTTTGCGAACAAAACTTATCAATTTGGCGCCTATTCGCCGATATCAAGGACGCAGTTAAATTCAAGCAACTTATAATAACTACAAATGCTGTCTAAAGTATATGTTCACAAAAAGAGATGATCTAATATTACTATGACATGATATATAGCCTCAATAACGGTAAACACCGTAGCAAGCTATACGCGCCATGAAGCATGGCGTTACCACGGGTGGAAAATGCCGAAAGCTTACATGACGAACTTGATACGCTTTCAAATTTAAACAGTCAAATCATAATAATTGCATTATATATGATAAATAAAACTCACCGATATATAATTTCCACTTAAAATCAATTGTAATACTACTTCACAGAAATAGACGCTAAATTAGAGGCAATAATAACACGAAACCGGCATCACGCAAGCGCATCCGCCATTAAAAAGTGAGGTTATTGGTGTTACCCTAAGAAAATATGAAGTATTACATCACTGTGGTACTGTTACCAGCTTGCTAAATTCATTAGAGGATCACAAATAGGGTATAAATAATGAAGATAAAGTATTTAGCTTTTGCTGAACCTAAGAACAAGAACCTAAACATCGATAAATTCACTTTATAGACAGCATCAATCTTTACCTTCTTTAATCTATAGACTAGCCTACTATCAAAGATTTTAGAATAGGTTCTTAGCCTACTATACTATGAATTGAGAAAAATAGCAATTGATAATATATCTTTTGTCTTCTTTTTGCTTATAACATTTGCATAAGGAGAAAGGAGGCAACCATATATTTTACTGTTTTTATTTTACTCCTTCAATGTTATTTTTTGTTCTTTGGTTTTAGTCACTAATTCTAAGAACAAGAAATTCAATTGCGAAATATTTGGGAATTACAGTAATCTTTGCAGTAAGTTTAACAGTTTTTGACATTAGTCTGAAGTTCATGACGTTGACACAAACACTGACAATGTATGGTAAGTAGACATTGAAGTCTCTCTAATCCAACCTATGCTCTAATCTGTAATGGAATGGTGATCATGTGTTTACGGTTTATCCGGTCCATATGAGGTGATAATTTATTTACAGATTTGTATTCAATTTTTCTTATATTTATTCTACAACCATAAGTTTTTATTGAAATTATTGATCAATTGACTATTTATAATGAATCTACCGAAGTCTAAATCATTTGATTCAAAGCAGTTGTCTGATCAGCAAGCTTTTAATAAAATTTATGACTTTATATCTCTATATAAGTCTGCTGCTGAAACAGCAAACATAGCTCCTGTACAACAAAACCTTGAAGATGGAGTGGACAAGGAAAATAGTTTTAAAAAATCAAAACCTATCAATACAAAATGTGATCGTTCTCCAAGTAAGAAAAAGAAACGTAAACAAGAACCTTTGGATATATCCCGAGTGAATATTGAAGGACCAAGTACGAATATGAGCCTGAATACAACACCACTAAATGAGTCCACGGTGACATCGACTCCCAGTGTTTCTAAAACAAAAAACCAAATGAAGTCCATTATGAAAAACTCTTCTGAAGAAGATTATATGGATAGTTCAAAATCTCCAACCAATAAATCAAAGAAACGAAACAAATCAGTAAGTTTCATGCTTGACGAAACAGAAGAAGTAGTCAAAAAGAAAACAAAATCAGACGACTTGTTGAATGTTGAGAAAAAAGACAAAAAGGAAAAATCTATTAAACAAAATTCAGTTAGCACTGAAATTAATAAACTTAAAAAATTGAAGAAAGTTAAGAAGGAACGGTTGACTGATGGATTAGGTGATAATGTGCAGATAAATAATATGGATACTTCTAGTAGTAGCAACCTATCAGAAGCAAGTAACCAAAATGTAAAGGGTGAAAAAACAAAAAAAGTTTTAAAGTCGAAAACACAAAAGAAAAGTTCAGTGGAAAGCCTATCAACTCAGTCTGTGAACAATAATAATGAGGAACAAACAGAACACAAGAATAAAAAATATAAAAAGAAAAAACGAGTGATGAAATCTGTACAGCCAAACGAAACTGAACCTGCATCTAAAGCTCGCAAAGTAGATGTGAAGCCCGAGGTCATTGTTGAAAACTTGGAGAACCTCAGCATTGCTGATAATGCACATACACTGTCCAATCTACTCGATGAAATGACACTTGCTGATAAAGATAAACGAAAAAAACATAAACGCAAACTAAAGAAAAATAACACACAGCCGAATGTTTCAAGCAGCGATAATACTGAAGTAGAGAAAAATGAAAAGGGTAAGGAGAAACCTAAATGGCATAAAAGAAAATGGAACAGAGACAAGAAAGGAGAAATTGATGATGAGGTCATAGCCAATACAGTAATAGTTGAGAATTTACCATTGAATATCATGTGCAGTTATAAGAAGTTGTTGACGGAACATTTTCAGCAGTATGGTATTGTCAAAAGAGTTGGGTGGGTATAATAGTATTTACTTAATATTTTCTCTATGGAGAATGTAGTGTAAAAGCCAGAAGTCTGTTGCTTTCTGTTTAAATGGAAGAAACAAAAGATATAGAATAGATATTCTAACTAAATCTCTTTTCTCCACTTTCATCTTATATATGGTTATCTCCTTTACAGATTCTTGACTCATTTACTAACCAGAGGGAGACTGTATAAAAGTTGATTGCTTGTATACCTCTGTCCCATTCGTGTTTCAACCGTAAAGCAGTTGTGTTTGCATGGCTGTGTTGCGTTTGAAGGGTGGGATATGGCGTGAATTTACAGGGTACAGAGGAATAACACCTAAGTCCTCAGGAATGGCAATGCATGGGGAGTATCATGGGCAAAACAGTATACTCTGTTATGTCCATGATACTGCTCATGTCTATAGGCGACGGTTACCACTTTCCATCAGGTTGTTTGTCACATTGAGTTGTATTAAAAATTTGCATGCTATCACCTTGTTAGCTAAGCACGAATGCTCTTTGACTAATGTAACATCTTTGACTTTACCATGTTTAAGCAAATAAAGATTATTATTATTAAAAAAAACAGTCAGTATGGTAAAACAAAAATATTACAAACTTGTAAAACAGCTACAATTATAATAAATCTTTATTAAAAAAAAAAAACTAGTTGTAACTTTAATGAAAGATTAATCCACTGATATCAAAGCTTATGTAGTTATGGAGAAATAAAAAAACATACTATACAAAAATTGAAATTAAAACCTCTGAATATTATAATTTCAGCATAGCAGAAGTATATCCCAGCAAATCATCTGACAACATGACATTTACAACTACAATCATCTTCTACAGTGATGGGGCAGCTTCAAAAGTGAGTAGAACTATATTCCACAACGTCTTATTAATGTGAAATATACAAACATGTTTTTGACAGTCTACAAAAGTCTGCAATTTATAAGCTACTAATATTTCCTACACTATAATAATTAGTCAGTGGCCTGAATTCTTACAATCTCTGTCATAACTTGTTTATAATGTGGTATATTAGGATTCTCGACTAATATCAGTCTACTATATTATGGCCATTTACATAAAACTTTTTTTTTATATTCTACCCTTCACACATTTAAATAATTAGTATGTATTATAGTTGAATATTTACTAATTATACATGTTTTATATTTAATATACCACAACAAATAGTCATCAAAGCGGGGAAGGGATTGTTAGTAATGGGGAGGTTAGCCCCATTGCTATCAATGTACCTATCAGATTGACCTCCACTTTGTTTCTCCTGGAAACCATCATGACAAATTTATCGTTAAATTCGTCATGATGGACTAACTGACTTGCCTTTTCATCCTCATCTATCATCACTCACTGGTGCCCCGCCAGTGTATAGCGCGGGCGGGGCTACCATTCCATTATCATTCATTAAAAAAAAAATTATAGTCATTAAAAACACTCCTTATATTTTTCCATATTTTTAGTGCAGCCTTATAGATAAGGTTGGAAATATTATGAAAAAATATATCTATATTCTTTATTGCACTTATAATTTACATGTAAATATAATGCATTTATAAATATTGTGAGCAAGGGTGGACTCATCTCTTACATAGATATTTTCCAATCAACCCAATACAGTTGGTTAGAAACCATGTCGTTAGCGGGCAGCTGAAGTGCTACAACTATTAATATTTAGAATACATAAACAAACAAATATACAGTTAAATGTAATGCTAAAATATATGACATAATACATAAATACATATCCTATAAATAAATATAATACCTACCTACTTATATAATAAATGTTAAAATAAATTAATATACTACCTACATTAGAAATTTAGTTTAATGATTTTAAGATTTGACACTTCAATTAGAAAAATACAAAAATATAACTCAAGAGAAAGAAAATGTAATTTCAACCTTTTCTTGAAAGAGGTAATAGAAGGACTCTCTTGTATATGAGAAGGGAGTTTGTTCCATAACTGGGTAGCTCGATACGAGAAAGAGTCGCCCATAAAATGTGCCCTACACAAAGAAAGTTCAAGAATCCTGGACTGAACTTGACAGGAGCGTTTAGGACGGACTGGCGGTGGTAATAATTTAAACCGGGAGCGGAGGTACGATGGAGAATTGGGGTTATTGAGTATGTTATAAAGGAAAGAAAGGATGTGCATATCACGTCGAAGTCGGATAGAGAGCCTAATAACTGGTTGCGAAAGGCAGACACGTGATCGTATTTACGAAGACCAAAGATAAACCAAAGATAAAAAATGTATAATGTTCACTCAATTAGCTTTTATGTCGTTTTGGTTTCATTCAAATATAGTGACAGTTTTATAGAAAACCAATTTGACGTTAGGGGTTGCAGCCCCCATTCTCAAAAAATGAATGAATTAGTAGCAGTTGGGCTGTCAAACTCCATTGTTAACAATCCCTTTCCCGGCTGTATTACTCATTTAACAAACGGATGATGACATTACATTACAGTCTCTAGAAGCGAACAACACGCTGTTCGAAGGCAACAACATCCAAGTGAAACAGAAGCTGCCGCCAGACCAAACGACAGTAGTGGTACGGTCGTACGCTCCACTCTCCGACCAGAACATCAGCACGGTGTTCTCCGAGGCGGGCCAGATAAGGAACATACGGCACTTGGTCAAAGGGAAGAAGGCTATTGGTAAGTAAGTATTGGTAAGTTGCCCTGAGCATAGAATAGACCATCCGTTTCCTTCTCGTGGATGCGTCAGAGGCGAATAAGATGGGGCATAGGATAGGCGGCTACTTATTAACCATTTGTCATTTATTACAGAAACCGCATTCGTGGAATTTGATAAACCAGAAGCAGTGACAAAGGCTAAGGAAATAGCTAAAACGGTGAAGATCGAAGGCAAAAGGGTCCATGTACACAAATACGAACTCAGAAAGAAGAAGAAGGGAAAACTGGCCTCCACAGAGAGCGAAGAAGGTGACAGTGAAGATTCTAACGATTAGACCTAGTTTTCTGACATGCTCACGCTAATAAGGAAGCTTACGCAATGCACTGCGAAGGTGGCGCCACCGTGTTACCATGTAAACAACAATCATTGGAAATCTATTTGCAAAGACTGACTTTAAAAAATCCATAATCGTGAGAAAATAAAGTTTTTAATAATTTATTTTCTCATTTATCAGTACATAAGTAAAGCGGGGACGTAATTAATTTTCGTTATGGCCCAATAGCGCTTCCTATCGGAATAAATTGGCAGTAAGCTTCTCTACTTAGGTGAATGACGTTTTTTTACCATTTGACCGCGTGTCAAATGTGTGTTAGTTATACAAATTATGTTACATGTAATTCTAAATATTTTTGTACAATGAATATCGCCAATGATTCTGAGCAAAGCTCAGATTATGTATGTAATGAGCCCCATAAAGAGGCAAGCAATTGACCGTTTACGGGCCCATTAAATTTTAATATACGTAAAGCAGTCCAAGAATCTCGGAGAAGTATGTGTACAAACATAACGTCTCTCGTTTGAGGCATCAATCAATACCAATACAAATAAATATAATTCTTTTTCCACTGCCAAATGCATATTTTGTTATGATTTTAAAATGAGATAATTTCTATCTTGTTATTATTATTATTATAGTGATTTATAACGTTTCTTGTTACATTTTGTTATAAGCGTCGCGATTAATTTTTAGATATAGAAAAACTTAGGGGCCATTTAAAAAATATATCAAACTTGTTTTGGAAAATAAAATAATTTATATCTATTTTTGGTTAGTAAATTCAATGGTAATTACATACATACATACATACATACATACATATCTGTCACGCCTGTCTCCCATTAGGGTAGGCAGAAACAATGGTAATTACAATGGTCATAATCCCATGTAAGGTTTTTACAAAGGCTACAGTGACAGTTTACTATAAGACGGGCTGTATGCTCGTTTACCACCTCCGTGATATAAAAAAAAATACTGCATTTATTGTTTGTCTTTGATATTGAATAAAGTTGATCGATAGCAGGGAGTTACTTCAAAAAAATTCTGCTGTATTTAGCTAGCCTAGGCACTACTTAATATAGGAAGACTTTGTACAAAAGTCGATTGCTTGGGTACCTCTGTCCCATTCGTGTTTCAACCGTGAAGCAGTTGTGTTTGCATGGCTGTGTTTCGGTTTGAAGGGTGGGATATGGCGTAAATTTACTGGGTACAGAGGAATAACATCCGAGTCCTCAGGAATGGCAACGCATGGGGAGTATCATGGGCGAAACAGTATACTCTGTTATGTGCATGGTACTGCTCATGTGTATAGGCGACGGTTACCACTTTCCATCAGGTGGGCCGTCAGCTTGTTTGCCATTCTAAGTTGTATAAAAAAAATACACTTGTTTACATAAAATTTTTAGCTTGTTTTTTGTAAAACTAAAATGTATACGATTATATATATATTGTTAAAACCATTTGTACCGAAGTCTGATAATGTTTGACTTATCTATAAATTGTAAGAAATGACTATCAGGGTCAGCAACGTGCGCGTAATATACCCCGGGTATTGCAGACGGTCATAGGGTACAGTAACTGCTTTTTTTTTATGGGTTGAAAATGGTATGGTAACCCCGCCTGCGCTAACGGGATACGCTGGCGGAGCACCAGTGAAGGGTGATAGATGAGAATGAAAACAGGCCAGTTAGCCCATCATGATGAATTCATCAGGAATTAACCATGATAGTTTCCAGGGGGAACCGCGAAGAGGTCGATCTGACAGGGTGAACTGCTAGCAATGGGGCTACTAATCCCCACTATTAACAATTCCTTCTCCCCCTTAACGTTTTAGTTCACAGAGCGATTTTTTTTTTTTAATTATTATAAATACAAAATATATTGAAAATTGTTTCTTCTTTTTATTATAATGCAAATGTTACAGATTTACAGTAGGAAGACGTTTTAAAATATGTCATGGGTGATCGTGGGCAGCGGTAGTCACTTACCATCAGGTGAGCCGCATGCGCGTTTGCCCACTATGTTGTAAAAAAATGTATACAGGGCGTAACAGAAAGGATATAACAATTCGACTTCCAGTGATAGTATTTATAGAATCGAAGCACATTCCCCAAATACAAAATGTTGTATTTGTTATACCCCATAAGTTACACCCTGTGAGTTAAAATAGCCCCAATTTAATAAATTTGTTGAATAAGAAATTTTGTACCTTTGTTGTGTGACAATATCATAGATAAAAAAAATCTATGACAATATGTGAAATAAATGGCCTCATTATATTATCTTTTAGTTTTCTTTTACCTTAATACTGTCGCAAAAATTACAAAAAGACATGTTTCCGCCCGGGATCGAACCGGGGGCCTTCTGCGTGTTAGGCAGATGTGATAACCGCTACACCACGGAAACTTGAAAGTAGTGGTCGAAAATGACAATCACTAGAGATTGTATTATTACTTAGAAATAAAAAACATTTTTATAAATATAATTTAAAATAATAATATTTAATATATTTTTTTAATTTAGTTTTTATTACTCTAAATATTTATAAAACTTGAACTAGTTTATACCTTCAATTTCTATTTTCAATTAATAGATTTCAAGTAACGTTAATATTAGCAAAAATAAAATAAAATAAAACCACCAAATTTTAAATTGAAACAATAATTTATTGTGTTCCTTAAGAGTCAATAGTTATGCATTAAAATTAACTATACTGTACACGCAAGATCCTTAATCGTTCGATATTAAACTACTCATTATAATTAATTATTTACAATTACAAATAAATTACACGGATAGTGGTGTCATGACACGACCTCCTAACGGCTACGGCATATTTGACCCCACGCAATTGTAAAATTGTAATGTTCCTTCCACACCAGACCACTCTGTGACGTACATAGATAGGGCAGGGGCGGAATCGTCCGGAGCTCACCCCTGAATACAAGCGCTGCTTTACTAAGACTTGTCTAAAAGTTATACGTCTTTATAAGAGGTCACGCCTGGAAAACGACCTTAACCCTTTGAGTGCCGACGAGCGCCATCACGCTCGTGCGCATTGCAACTAAAAGTGCCACGAGCGTCATAGCGCTCGTGAAATCAGTCGCTGTTTAGCTTGCCGTAAAAAAAATATTAGATTTTTTTTTTTTAATTGGCTTTACCTTCGCTTAGAGATATCATTGGTTATGCCGGTTGGGGTTAAAATGAGATGGAAGATATGGGAAAGGTCTTCACAGTTTAAAAATGGAATAACTGATCTAGGTTAAGGTAAACTTCTTAGCAAATATTCATTGCTCTGATCGGAGATACGCGTTTCCTTGCTAACCCATTATGTCCACTGCTGGACATAGTCCACGGATTGATATAAGGTTTTGTTTTACTCTTCTTGTACTAGTAATTACAATAAGTACCATACAATCACATCCGTGGCCTAGTTCTCAAGCTAGGCTACAATATATTATAAAGGACCAAACAACGAAAGTATGGTCATACCCCCAGAATACCCAGGCCTGACACAATTAAAAAAAAAACTCATTCCCTAAACTGACCTAACAGTGAATCGAAGCCGGGACCTGATTTAAGCAATGCATCATTCCCCACCACTACGCCACTGAGGTCGTCTGGTGTATAGTGTCTTATTCCAGTCGTCTTTTACGAAACCCTGAGTATGAATAGTAAGTAACACCTATTCTGTCTCCATCACGGATCAAGAACAACAAGACGAGTCTACCACATAATAAATGGGCCAAATATGCCTACCGCAATATTATTTTTTAAATAATACTTTCAAACACATGCATATTGTATATATTTTTTTTTTCATGTACAGAATATTATACGTAACTTGCTATAAAAAATAGGCAATTTGTCGAGGAAAACTTCATTATCATTACACACCATTTCAAAATGTTTAAAATGCATTTACAAGAATGATCAAAATTAAATTTTAAAAACATTTTTTTTTTTCTTAAATACTGTAAACTATACATTACATTACTGCACCGTATGTAATTTCAACGCCTCGTATTTTATGATTTGGTCTCGGAATACGAAAGATATCAGAAGGAATGTATATTTTTTTATTGATGATTTATTTATTTATTCTTTAGTACATATATGTGTACATGGCGGACTTAATGCTAAAAGCATTCTCTCCCAGTCAACCATAGGCAAGTGTCAGAATACTCGAATGCGGTACTAGTAATTATTGATAATGATTATCTTGCACTTTACGCTCGCGTGGTATTTGCATAATATAATTTTGTATATAGCATATGTGTATGTGTATATATATATATATATATATATATATATATATATATATATATATATATATATATATATATATATATATATATATATATATATTTATAATTTTGTTTTCAACCGACTTCAAAAATAGAGATTCTCAATTCAGCTGTATTTTTTTACTGTCATGTTGTTACCTCATAACTCCGTTAGTTACAAACCGATTTGGATTTTTTTTTTTATCTAAAAGAATATCCTTACAGATTGATCTTACAGAAATTTTATCAAATTTATTTCAGTAGTTTAGTTTTTAAATCAAAATTACTGGTTTTACCACAACTGAGATTTGAATGAATGAATTTTATTGCAAAAAAATTGGTACAATAAGGTCATATGGTAATATTACAATGGTTTCACACATTTTGTCATTACTGACGTGCAACAGTCATTACATAAGTTATGATAAAATATTTTTTTAGTATGTTATAATATAATATAATAAAATAACATGTCCAAACATTTTAAACGTTAATAATAAATGTGACAGTTCTGAATTTGCAAGGAATTAAAGTAAATAACATAAAATTTTGTTCAATAAAAGAACATTATTGTGGCAAAATCAGATATTTCATTTAAAATCTATGAAACCGATTTTGATAACATTTCTATGGGGTCAAACTAAAAGTATATACTTTCAGATAAAAAAAAAACGAATTTTCCAAATAAATATAAATATATAAATAATAGAATATATAATATATATAAATAATAGAAGTAAGAAGTTACAAACATTAAAAATAAACACACAGCTGAATCAAGAACCACCTACTTTTTTGAAATCAACAGAGGATATTCACGTATTAAGTAATTAAATTCACGTTTAAGTATTTAAGGTATTTGTTATTATATTGTTTTCAAATTCATGCAAAAAAATTGGCATACGTCCATACCTTCTGGTCTCTCTTGTATTCCGAGTACTCTGTTATAGTACAGTATCTATTATGTGAGTGGTCAGAGCGAGCTAAAACATAACGCCTATATTATAAATAAGGGTAGACCAAATGTACAATATTTTACAGTCCAAAATATACAATTGTTAGAGACGTGACCGCATCTATGTTACAATAAACATACATAATAGTTGTATCGACTTGGACATTATTGGTCTTATACTCGTGATAAAGTTTCGGAACCCCAATCCTGGGTTTTCCTAATCTGACAGTGAAACTGCAGACTGGCTTCTTCTAATCAATTGATCATTGTGTCAAAGTTCGGGTAAAAATTGTCTTTAGAGCACAGTATGGACACTCCCTGCCGCCCGCTGCGATTTGACCTCAACCCCTCTAATGAATGTGGGGGTAAGGGATTGTTAGTAATGAGGTCTTACAGCCCCATTGCTAGCAATATACCTTCTCAGGTTGACCTCCACGCGGTTCCCCCTGGAAATCATCATGGTTAATTCTTGTCGAATTCATCATGGTGGACCAACTGACCTGCTTCATCCTCACCTATCATCTTCCACTGGTGCCCCGTCGGCGTATACCGATAGCATGGACGGAGTTACCATTCTATTTTCACCCATTAAAAAAAAACTCGAATGGATGTCTCCAGTCTACGCTGTCAAAGAAAGAGGATTCACCATGACGATGTAGGACAAAAATCGAAAAGGAATGTTGCATTGGTTTGGCCATTTGGAGAGGATGGATGAAAGAATAACGAAAGAGATTTATCGAGCAAGAATGAATGGAGATGTCGGTAGGGGCCGCCCTAGACGGACGTATGTTAAACAAATAGGCGACGTGCTGAAGAGGGGCCAAATTAAAAGTGCCCGTAACCGGCGAGCGTGTATGAAAAGATTGATGAATGTGGAGGAAGCGAAAGAGGTCTGTTTGAATCGAAGCATTTGGCGTTCCATTGTTTCTGCCTACCGTAATGGGAGGTAAGCGTGACAGATATGTATGTATGTATGTAATTATTTCACTGTCATTCAAAAATACATCATAAGGGTAAATTCGTATGATTATAGTACAGTCAATATTTAAAACGCTAATTCGCCTGTAATTAAAAAAAAAAAAACTTTTAAAGAGTCATTTTACCATTGCTCGGTCCATATAACAATTTACAGCATCACTGACAGTACCAGAAAACACTATAAGTGATACAATCAGGTTGTGGAATGAGCTCCCTGCCGAGGTTTTTCCAAGAGACTACAGCGTGGGGTTCTTCAAAAAGAAAGGTGTAAAGAGGTTTCTTCAGGGTCGGCAACGCACGCGTAATACCTCTGGTATTGCAGGTGTTCATAGGCTACGGTAAATTTGAACCCAGGAAGCTTCTGCGCTTCTGGGCGGAGCTAGGTTGGCTGCACTAGCCACGACTCATATGCACAGTGGCCCAAGTGAGAGGCTAAGCGCGGAAAATGGAGTATTTTTCACATTTTCACATAGGCTACGGTAACCACTTACCATCAGGTGGGCCGTATGCTTGTTTGCCACCTCAGTGGTATAAAACAAAAAAAAATCGAGTATCAATTTAGATCTGCTTATTAAAATATCACCATACAAGTCCTTCACTAGATGCAGTCTTATCATACTTTCATAGAAATTACAAGACATTCCCCGTCACATCGTGTTGTATAATAATACAAACAAAACGAATATCAAGAAACAAAGAACTAGCACTCGCGTACTTCGAAGTACTGCAACTTCAAAAACGGTCCCTCGCATTCTGTATATTGAGATAATGTTCGTACAGGGCTGCAGCTAGAGCCAAGTTTAAGGTAGGGAGGGCATAAGCCATAATTAAGTGACTTCGAAAAAGCGAATCAAATTTTCTGGGTCCTTTCATTTTATGGTAAGGCATCGCGCCTTTTAAGACAAAGTCTTAAAGTATGGCCTGTAATGCCCCCCCCCCCTTACCCTAGGGTACGGGGGGGGGGGCTGTAGCTAGCTACAGCCATATTTTTAACAAAAAAAAAATTAATCTTAAACTATTTCTAAACAGTTTCAGCTGGAAAAGAAAATATGATTGGTCGACGACAGTCGTTTGGGATTGCCCAACTATGAAAGAAATTAGCTAAAATTCACGGTTGCAGGTCGCAGTCAAGTAAAATAATCATAAAAAAAAAACAATAAAAACAATAAATGCATAGTGCATACCGCCAACTTCAGCCTCGATTGTTGTGAAAAAAAAAATACACGGTCGGAGGGCTAATGTGAAGTAATTGACAGAGTCAACAATGTTCAAGTATGAAACTCATGTCTTCAGAACTGAACAAGCCAGTGGAACGCGCCGTTACAATTCTATTCGAGGAACTGCCCCACTTCACAATATTACATTTGACCCAATTTGAAAACGTTATTCCATATGGCAAAGTCTAAAAAAACTTGCCCCTACACAAGCAGCAAACTAAGATACCGACATACCGTCATAGTTGTAGAATACTGACGGATCTGACAAAGATTACATATAAAGATCCGTCAGTATTCTACGACTATGACGATATGTATACACATTATCGCTACCGCACGCTTGAGATAGAACGAGACGGACATTCGTCTGCCACTTGCGTAGGATGACTGTTAAGACTTTTTATTATTACTTTGCCAGTTTATGGCGGCCATATTTGTTTTATACTGTCACATATAGCGGCTTCATTAAAATCTATGTAACCGTATAGGCTACATGTTGGGTCAAATTTACCCTTCTTGTTTGGCAGTGGGTAATTTTTTTTTTAATTTCTCAAATACAGCAAGAGCAACATGAGCAGATGATTACATTCTGAACGTTTAGAATAAAATGTATTTAAGACAGACGAGACTAATACGACCGGGAACCTCTTTGAGGTAAGTTGCTTAGGCGACATTCGAGCGACGGGCGGGCGACGAACGGGCGACGGGCAGGCGACGCGGCGGGCTAGTCGTAGCCCTTCAGTAAGCCCTAGGGATGCCGTTGGTTCGGTACTGGGATTCTGTAATTGGAAACATATTTATTTATAAATATTCCAAGATTGTCTGAGATCATGGAGAAGCATCTATAGACCGATTGAACGAATCTATCGGTGAATATGTTATAAGGGAGTACAAGAAAGAATGAAACAGCAATATTGGACTGTCTTGTTTTCTCTTATATATTGTTAAAAAAATGTTTTGATATATTCGTTTGACATTTCGTTTAAGGATTTTTAACGCCACCATCTGTGCTTCTAGTAAATATTGGTGAAGTTTCAGTGGGGAATGACTATAGGGAAGATGAATTCAAATCAGTTGACCCATTGTAACCTGTACATTGTGGGGGAAGGGATTGTTAGAAATGCGGACTACCAGTCTCATTACTAGCAATATACCCTGAAAACCGTCGTGCTGAATTCCAGATGTATTCATTACGATGGGCTAACTGACCTGCTTTTTCATTATCTGCCTATCATCCCTCACTGGTGCCCCACCAGCGTATACTGTTAGCGCAGGCGGGGTTAACACTCCATTATCATCCATTAAAAAAAAAACAGTACATTGTTGAATTCCAGGTGTATTCATCACGATGGGCTAATTGACCTATCTTTTTATATTAAAAATACCTATATTAAAAAAAAAATAGTACATTATGAGATAAACACAATGACTTCCAGCGAAAGTGTGGCCTGAATTATCTGGTGCCTACCCTAGGATAAGAGGCCGAGGCTTTCGCAGGAAAATAATCTTAAATAGGCCAAATGCACTGACCCATAGAATGCGGGGAAGCTGGTGTCGGTGTTGAATTGGAAATTGACTGGAGTCTTGGGCGAGGCGCAGCTGTAGGCGAGGCAGTCGTCGGACGCGTGCAGGTGGCGGCTGAGCGTGGGCTCGCTGGCGCTGCGCGTGATCTTGGGCATGGCGCGCAGCATGCTCTCCAGCGACGTGAGGATCTGCCGGAACTGCGGCCGCTGCTCGCGGTCGAACTTCGTGCAGTCGTCCGACAGCCGCTTCAGCGCCTGCGGGGCGTCGGCCCGCAGCCGCCGAGCGTCCGGCCGCAGCAGCCCGCGCCCCACCAGCCACAGGATCTGAACGAGGGGTATTCGTTGCCATTTAGTTAGATACCGTATTTGCACCAAACATACATATAACAGTATTTATCTATACTTATAATAAACCTGTAGAGAGGTCAATTCTGTACATGAAATATATTTCCAAAATAACTATCAGGGGTGATTAGTGATCGATAGTGATGCCAAAAATACAATCAGTAAAATTTTTGTCTGCTGGCTATATGTTCGTTATAGAAACAAAAGCTATTCTACGGATTTTAACGAAACTTTGTACAATTATTCTTCATACTCCTGGGCAGGTTATAGTATACTTTTCATCACGCTACGATCAATAGGAGCAGAGCAGTGAAGGGAAATGTGTCTGTTACATCAAAACCACTGAACCGTGAGGAAGGACATAGGCTACTTTTTTTACGAAAATCGACGGAATCGCGGACGCAGTCGCGGGGAACAGCTAGTCCAAAATAAAAGTAAGAGAAAAATAAAAAATTACATACAATTTTTTTTTTATTCCTACTGAAATACGTTCTGCGTTTTAAGTATTTATTTATTATTATAAAATCATACAACATACGAAATTACATCTTATATTGCAGATTTGTAGTCTTTAATTTCATTCGAAACGAAAAATATGTAAGTTTGTAAAGGTATTTAATACTCTAAGAAAAGATCGTCAACCATATTGATATCATCCATGCCAGTCCAATATCTATGTACATATATATCCCCAGTAGAGTGCGAACAGTACCTGATCCTTGTTGTTGAGGTGCGCATAGGGCAGCTCGCCGGCCATGAGCTCGTACAGCACGATGCCGTACGCGTACACGTCGGAGCGGAACGTGTACGGCGCCGGCTCGTCCATGCGGATCACCTCCGGCGCCATCCACAGGATCGAGCCTGTCGGCTGCTGCCACACCACGCCACCTGCAGTCGACGTGTCTGCACGCACGCACACGCACACACAAATATATTACTACCATAGCAACAGAGACTAGCATATCCAAATCATTAACAATAGGGGGGTGGGGGGGGGGATTGTTATTGCTTACAGCAAACTAACACAGTGTGAGTGAAAGTAACAAATTGTATCCAATATTAGCGTACAATCGGCGAAAAAATATTGATGTAACAATATTTTTACGCAGAGGGCAGGCGAGCATGCGGCTCACCTGATGGTAAGTGACTACCGCCGCCCATGATCAGCCACAACACCAGCGGCATTGCAGCTGTGCTGCCGGCCTTTTAATAAAGGAATATACTCTTTTCTTGAAGGTTATGTTGTATGATTTAATCATGTGTAAACTCACCTGACCACCGGACCTTTGCTGTCGCCAGTCCAAAATCACCAATTTTGACAGACCAGTCGTCCCTCAGGAAAATATTATTTGATTTCAGGTCCCTGCAATGTGGAGAAACAATAATACATACAATAATACACTTTCTTTACTTAAATATAAAGGTAATCCTTCATAAAAGAGTTGAGTCTGCGCACTGCGGATAGGGGCCATGATAGCCGTTCTGGTTCGTATCTGGCTCAAAGAATATCTCTGGCGATCCAACGCGGAAATGCCGCAAGTGTCATGGGGACCTTTGGGTCGGGTACGCATCATGAATGGGACTGATCATTAATTTTTTTTTTTTTTTGTGATACTGTGAAATGTAGGCAATTGATTTTAATAGTGAAAATAATGATAATTGTGAAAATGAACAAAAATATTGAAATATCTAATAATAACATTTTTTATTTAAAGGTAATTAGAGTTGTTTTAAAATTAAAAAACGATTGGCAGTATTTTCACTAAACGCTACCTCCACTAGTGGAGACGAAGTGAAGCAACTATAAACAGTTACAAATACCTCAATATAGTTCGAACCTGAGGATTAAGGGATCAAAAAGTTAGAAAACAAACAATTTTTATTTATTATTTTAATTTTTTTTTATACAACTTAGAATGGCAAATAAGCTGACGGCCCACCTGATGGAAAGTGGTAACCGTCGCCTATAGACATGAGCAGCACCATGGACAAATAAAGTAATATTAGTAAGTATTAAAGTTTATGAACGAGTGTGCGAGTGGCTGAGTTTACGTATAAGCGTGTGCACACGTGTGTGAGTGTGTATGGATGAGAATATGTTACCACCTATTCAGAATAAAATTCTATTAAGAAAAATGGACAAGAAACTGAACTATTGCTTTTTTCAACAGAAGTTGATTTTACAATGTGACACAGTATGTATACTCTGTTATGTCCATGGTACTGTTCATGTCTATAGGCGACGGTTACCACTTTTCATCAGGTGGGCCGTCAGCTTGTTTGCCATTCTAAGTTGTATAAAATGTGTAAATGCTCGACCGCCTTATACGACACGACGATTTTTTATAGAACATACTAGAAGGATAAATAGAGGGCAAAAGACAAAGGGGAAGGCCGAAAAATAAATACATGGACAGATAAGATGTCATGTCGTAGAGGGAGGGTAAAGATATTGCCTGGAATAGAGATAGCTGGAAGAGAATGCATGAATTAGTTGCATCGACTAGAGGAAATTCTTAAAAAAAAAGGGGAGAGAGAGAGAGAGAGAGATAGATAGAGATAAAGAGAAAAAGATAAAGAGAGACAGACAGACAGAAAGAGAGAGAGAAAGACAGAAAGAGAGAGAGAGAAAGACAGAAAGAGAGAGAGAAATACAGAAAGAGAGAGAGAGACAAAAAGAGAGAGAGAGAGTCAGAAAGAGAAAGAGAAAGTCAGAAAGAGAGAGAGAAAGTCAGAAAGAGAGAGAGAGAAAGTCAGAAAGAGAGAGAAGGCAGTGCCCTGTCCGGTACCTGTGTATAATGTTCTTGGCGTGCAAGTAGTCCATGCCCTGCGCAGTCTGTCGCGCGACATCGATCAGGTACAGCATGGGGAACGGCGTCTCCAGCACGTGCAGGTGCTGGTACAGCGACGAGCCCTCGCACCACTGCGTCACGATCGCCAGCGACGGCTTCGACACGCACCCCATGAACAGCAGGATGTTCGAGTGCCGCGTCTTGCGCAGGACCGCCACCTGGTGGGCCGCGGGCGCAACAAATATTATCGCTGGCTATTATTGTCGACCGACTTAAAAAAAATGAGGCATTCACAACTTTTTTTTCCCATGAATTACTTATTTTGACAATTAATATACATTACAATATGGCGAATAATCGGTTGTATTTTAACCACATATGTACTAAGATGACATAAGCCGGTAGAAGTAGACTGACCTCATTCTTGAACGCCTGCAGTTGCGCGGGCGTGGGCGTCTTGACATTGAGCGTCTTGACGGCCACCGGGCCGTGCCAGTGCGCCTTGTACACTGTCCCGAAACTGCCCGAACCTGGTCCAACGAGACACGCAATCAGTTAAGGCGCCTTTTACATAACACGTTGATATGCTCAATAAATATTAGTAAGATATGTGTATAGAGGGCTCTTTTTCCATAAGGATGTTGATATTTTTCTTATGAATGTGGGACCTCCTGGTTTTAAGATTTTCTACAAACTATTAATTAGCTATACTAGCCCCCAGAACTAACCCAGCCGTGAAGCAGTGAAATCACCAGAGGGAGACTTTGTACAAAAGTCGATTGCTTGGGTACCTCTGTCCCAATCGTGTTTCAACCGCGAAGCAGCTGTGTTTGCATGGCTGAGTTTCGGTTTGAAGGGTGGGATATGGAGTGAATTTACAGGGTATAGAGGTATAACACCTGAGTCCACAGGAATGGCAACGCGTGGGGGATATCATGGGCGAAATAGTATACTCTGTTATGTCCATGGTACTGCTCATGTCTATAGGCGACGGTTACCACTTTCCATCAGGTGGACCGTCAGCTTGTTTGCCATTCTAAGTTGTATAAAAAAATTAGAGATATAGGAGTTGTCATGATGAAAGTGAGGCAAAGAGAATCCTCGAGGCTTCCAGCAGAGCTTCCTCATAAGCGAGGGTTTTGTTAATAATCGCCATGTTTGGCAGGCAGGTCGGCAACCACAGTTATGATTTGGTGACGTTTTAAGTGGGAACTTGTTGTCCATCTTTCGGCTATTAAGTTCCTAAGAGAATTAAGACGATAAGGCATCTTTTGCGCCACCCACGGGAGGGAGTGGCCTATTCCATGCTGAGACCACACAGCTAACTTAAATATTCACGTTAACTCCTGCCATTCATTCCTACTAATATTACAAATATAACAATCAGTTTGTTTGTTTATTCATTGCCTTATAGCGTCTTAACAACATAGTCGATTACTATGAAATTTGGTATACACGATACTGTATGGAACAGAGATGATTACAGGCTAGGTGAAAGCTGTGTAATTGGAGTATGCGAGTGAGGTGGGTACCTATCCGGGCGCCGATGAGGATCTCGTCGGCGTGTATGACCCAGTCGTCGTAGCTCTCGCGCGGCGACAGCGCGTTCTTCCAGGACTCGTCGGCGGAGCGAGCACGCGGCCGCCGCGGCCGCAGCGTGCCGGTGGGCGACGCCTGCGTTACATATTTCATTTTAAATTATACATTTTACATTTTCTTAAACATCTCGTGTCAAAATGTGTACCTACATTTATTATTTATTTATTTATTTACACACATACACTAAACAAACCCCTTTCATTTAAATGATATCATTAGTTAAATACAATTGCTCTTAAGAAAAATAATATAGATCATACATATTACATGTGAGAAAACAACATAATAATGAAGATTACACAATTGTATAATAACATTACTATTTTACTTTTAATTTAGAATAAAAGAAAAACACATATAAAAAACAAAATGAACGTAGCAGTGTTTGTGCAAAGGACCTAACTCAGCATATATCTGTGCCTCTAGTGAGAAAGGTTTCAATTCAAAATGGTCACTTTTCAGGAGAGCCAAAAAACTATTTTAAATAAAGAAAAAAAATTCTGCTGCTTTTATTATTTGCTAATTGAACAAGTCAATGATTGCATTTATAGTAATTTTTTCTCCTCTTTCTTATGAAATTGTCGGTTTTTGTGTAAAACCTATAGTTTTAAAAATAATTCTATTATACCTAATCACACTTAACAAAAATATTAAAATTATGATGTGAAAATAGTTTTAAGTTGAATTAAAACTATTTTATTGAAGTATTGAAGAAAAACAATGATGTGTATTTTACGCTATAAAAAAATAATCGCTATTAAATGGTGTAAAAGGGTTCAAATCGAACTGATTCATTTTACAAAAATAATTTTTGTAAAATATTGTAATTTTATTTCTAATTATGACTTTTTTACCACAAATATTTTGTTAATTGTAGCCTTTTACATGTTTACTATCTCTATTGTTTTTAAAGATATCGTTACGATTCTTATACCATTCGAAAGAGAAAAATTTGCTTATTTAAAGTAGCCTAAAAAGAAAAAGGCTATAACTTGAGTTATACCCTTTCTCTCTAGAGGCACAGATATATATATATATATATATATATATATATATATTAATAAAAATCAGACTAACTACTTTAAATATAATAAAACGTTAAAATTGTTATTATACCAAATTTGGTAATAAATTATTCTTGTAATGTATATAGAACACTAATTTATATTTTAAATAACTTTATAATTATTTATTGTCATGATACTTGAATAAAAAGTAATGAAATTGTGAGAACACGTGGTCTCGCTGACTTGTTCACTCGAATTCAGCCCTGTAGATATAAAAGATTGTTATTTGGGTGGGCACAGACTTCTTGTCCAACCGTTGAACAGAGCAGAGCTCCCTGACATATCAAGAGTGAACAAGTATAGTAAACCCGTGGTCATTATATAAAATATATTACAATTATTGTTGATGGAAGTCTTAAAGAAGCTATATTTAAATAAGTGTCAATGGACTAACAGAAGTTGGGTATTTATGTTATATTATTTGTTATATATCAAGTATAAAATAAAATAAGTAAATATATGATTTAATAGTATGATATCTAGATTAAATGAACTAAGTGAACTTGTGCCTTATTTCTATTTATTACTAAGAGGCTTACAACCTTTATATTGCTAAAGAATATATCATATATGTAATGTTAGTATTACGTAGTAACCCACATATCATTTTATATATATACTAGCTGACCCCGCAAACGTTGTTTTGCATTATATCTAGAAATTAGTTTTTTCAAAAATAGCTAACATTATAAGTGTGTTAGGATGTAATTATGATTGAAAGAGAAATGAAGCGTTGTAGGGGAAAATTTCTCGTACTACATTTATTATTTTCGCTTGCCATCTTGCAACCCTTTTTCGGAATATAAAAATCGCTATTAAAAAACAGGGGTTGATCGTAAAAAGGTAAAAATTTTAAGCTGTATGTATTTTTCAATGCTTAGTCATAATAAAATAGAAATAAAACAAAATTGTCAAAAGATAAAAAAAATAATTTTAGGGGTGGGTCACCCTTATCATTGAGGGGCGTGAAAAATAGATGTTGGCCGATTCTCAGACCTACCTGATATGTACACAAAATCTCATAAAAATCGGTAAATCCGTTTCGGAGGAGTTTGGTAACAAACACCGGACACGAGAATTTAATCTATCCTTATTTGTACCCATCACTGTTCGTATCCGGTATGGTAGGTCTAGAAACGCTCGAGGTAAGGCGAAAGTGCAATTTGATGATGCACTATTATCAGTTGCTCAACGGCGGAATAGACAATCTTGCAACTCTTGGCCGTTGTTCTTTGTACGCACCCCAACGCTGCATGCGATTGCGTGCTTGTCGACTACTACCGGCACCGCCGGTTCGCACCTGTACTGCTCAGTTTGCTCCCACGTATCAGGCTATTTCTCTGCTCAATTCTCTGATTGCTCAGCAGCCAGATATTGACATATTTAATGATAAAAGAAATATATTTTTAAAATGTTGTACAAAATTTGTAAGTTTGTAAAATAAACCTATGGCTCACTACACGTTTTGGGAGACTGTAAGTGTGGTGAGTAATATTCAAATAAATATATTAGATTAAATATTATAAATAATAAATAGCCTTTTCAATACCTGCGTGCTCTGGCTGTGCGGCTCGCCGCCCCCCGCGCCCCCCGCGCCGCCCCCCGCCGCGCCGCCCGCCGCCCCGCCCGCCGCGCCGCCGCCCGCGCCCCGCGACATCGACAGGTAGTGCGACGTCTGCGGCGAGCTCGTGCACTGCCATACCCACATACACACTTACTACTTACACCACATAAATAACGATACGCATAGATAAAAATAAAAGAACACATATACAAAAAAAAAAAACTATAAATTACACATTACAGAAATACGCAATGTGTTGCCGATCTTCCACCAATGGACGACTTCGTACAAAAGTCGATTGCTTGGGTACCTCCGTCCCATTCGTGTTTCTACCGTGAAGCAGTTGTGTACGTTACCAAAGGGGAAACTTTGTAGCAACGCCATCTACAACAGTTTGCATGGCTGTGTTTCAATTTGAAAAGCCCACCCTTCTAATGGCAACGAAATTATAAGGTACAGAAATTTTGTCACCTTAGTACTCAAGAATGGCAAGACATGAAAGGTATCATAAGCAAAATAGTATACTCTGTTAAGTCCATGGTACTGTTCATGCGATGATTACCCCTTTCCATCCCTATCGACCTTCAGTTTGTACCATTCTATATCTAGATCTATCAACTACATTTCCAGTGAATTCGTCACAGTAAGCTAACTTCATCCACACCTTTGTTCTTCACTGGTACCTTACCAACGTCAACCAATAGCTCACATCATCATTATAATATCAGCCTTTAACTGTCTACTGGTGAACATAAGCCTCCCCCTTGGGGGGGTTTGCCAATAGTTGCCATATAGTTGACTTAACAAGCCAAGACTGTCTGCTAAGCTTTGGCTTGTCAGGCGGATTGGCAATTGCAGTTAGGCTTTGGAAATGTTTTAGGAGGGACACTGCTGCCCATCCTTCTCTCTCCCTTAGTCGCCTCTTACAACACCCACGGGAAAGGAAGAAGTGGCCTATTCTATGCTGGGACCGTTCAGGACAATAGCGCACAAAAGGTTACTATTGGGTGAAAGGGATTGTTAGTAATGGGAGGTTAGTTCTCATTGGTATCAATAAACCCTATCAGGTCGACCTCCACACGGTTCTTAATGGAAACTAAAGTGACTAATTTATAATTGAATTCATCACGATGGACTGACCTGTCTTTTCATACTCACCAATAATCTCTCACTGGTACCCCGCCAGTGTATACAGATAATGCAGGCGGAGTTTTTGTTTAATGGATGATAATGGAATGGTAACCCCACCCGCGCTATCGGTATACACCGGCGGGGCACCAGTGAAGGATGATAGGTGAGGATGAAGCAGGTCAGTTAGCCCATCGTGACGAATTCAACGAGAATTGTTCATGATGGTTTCCAGGGGGAAGCACGTGGAGGTCGACCTAATAAGGCATATTGCTAGCAATGGGGCTGTCAAACCCCATTGCTAACAATCCCTTTCCTCCCTGCATGCCATATTCACCCATTAAAAAAATAAAAAGTTACCAGTTTTATCCAGAAAAAAAAAAAACATAATATTACAAATATGAGACAAACCTGATTCTGGTTGTACTTCCGCTGGTGCTCGGCGAGGGTCATGGGCCGCTGCACCATGTTGATGCACACGTTGGGCGCGGAATTGGACCTGTCCTGCTGATTCAACGAGCGCGGATGCTGTTGCCTGTAACACCGTGGACTCTTTAAATTCTAATTCATCTTTATTTAAATAGACTTGTTTACAAGCACTTTTAAATCGTCAATTTTTTTTAATCTACTGCAGATTTCGGAAGGTTGTTTGTTTGGAGGGCCAGCAAGAAACTCAACAGTTACTCTTTTAAATCTTTTTTTTTTTTTATACAACTTAAAATGGCAAACAAGCTGACGGCCCACCTGATGGAAAGTGGTAACCGTCGCCTATAGACATGAGCAGTACCAGGACATAACAGAGTTGATAAGATTTTTTTTTTTTATTTATTTATTTATTTATTTATTTGAAAATTTCTCACTACACTTACAGTTTCCCAAAACGTGTAGTGAGCCAAAGTTTTATTTCACAAACTTACAAATTTTGTACAACATTTAAAAAATATACTTCTTTTGTCATTAAATATGTCAATATCTGGCTGCTGAGCAATCAGAGAATTGAGCAGAGAAATAGCCTGATAAGTGTGAGCAAACTGAGCAGTACAGGTGCGAACCGGCGGTGCCGATAGTAGTCTACAAGCACGCAATCGCATGCAGCGTATTTTATTTATAATATATATATATATATACATATATACATATATACTTATTGAACAAATCCTATTACGCTCTAAACGATTACTTGAATGACAAATGTGAATGATGTTAGTCGATCATGCACGGGCTCTTAACGACCATGTAATTTTAGACATAAATAAATACACATATGGCGTGAATTTACTGGGTATAGAGGAATAACACCTTAGTCCTCAGGAATGGCAACGCATGGAGGGTATCATGGGCGATACAGTATACTCTGTTATGTCCACGGAACTGCTCATGTCTATAGGCGACGGTTACCATTTTCCATCAGGTGAGCCGTCAGCTTGTTTGCCATTCTAAGTTGTATAAAAAAACAAAAATTTATTAACATAATCCTTTGTTTAGTTTAGTTACACTTCTTGCGCCAAATAGCTACCGTCTTTTTTCTTCTCTATCCAAAGGCTGTTTGGAAGAGATTGCTTTAGCGATAAGACCGCCTTTTGTTCTCCACAAGTTTAACATATTTATTTTTGTATTATTCTTTAAGAAAAGCAATAAAAAGTAAATAAATAGATATTAGTACACATAAACACACACTTGATTATTTCTAAAATAAAAAGTACAATTTAAAAAGCTGATGATTAAATCATTAGTATATTTTAGTATCTGATATATCCGTTCCATTCGTGTTTCTACCGTGAAGCAGTTGTGTTTGCATGGCTGTGTTTCGGTTTCAAGGGTGGTATATGGCAGTGAATATACAGGGTACAGAGGAATAACACCTGAGTCCTCGGGAATGGCAACGCATGTGGGGTATCATGGGCGATACAGTATACTCTGTTATGTCTATGGTACTGCTCATGTCTATAGTACAGTGTGCCACTACTTCTTCTCATCCCCGGATTATAGAAACAGGCAACTGAGAGATCATAGGATATTAACTAATAATTTAAACTGTGCAGACTGTGCGGGGCGAAATCGGAATCCATGGAACACTTGATGTGCAACTGCGATTCGTTGGCAAGTATGCGTATGAGTCTACTGGGAACGGCTTATCCAGAACCAGTGGACTACAGACATCTTAAACCGCGGGATATCGTTAGGGTAACACATAGGATCTATGAAATGATGGTATAACCCTGCCTTATAGAAGCACAAAATATCCGTATGGGTCGACGTGCATCGGCTTACATGACCCCATATGCGAAAAATAGGATAACTAATAATTTAAATTTTGTATCAGAAAAAAAAAAAAAACACCATCTATAACAGTAACAAAACCAGTCATTTTGATATAAAAACTACTGCACCAATTGATAAAAATTCTCTAAGACTAATTTGATCCCCGATTGATCCCTTTTAGATAAAAAAAAAAAAGAATTTTCCAAATTGTTTCATAAATGATAGAGCTATGAGGTAACAAACACAAAATACAACCGAATTGTGAACCTCCTTCTTTGAAGTCGGTTGAAAAGGAAACCTCTAATCGAACTATACCACGCCATTCGGCCAACACGATTAACTAAGCTATTATCCTCCCTTGGGGGAAAGGGATTGTTAGTAATGGAGACTGAGAATCCCATTGCTAGCAATATACCCAACCAGGTCGACCTCCACGCGGTTCCTCCTGGAAACTATCATGGTTAATTCCTGATGAATTCGTCATGACGGGCTAACTGCCCTGTTTTCATTCTCATTAATCACCCTTCACTAGTGCTCCGCCAGCGTATCCCGTTAGCGCAGGCGGAGTTACCATACCATTTTCACCCATAAAAAAAAAAACACAAAATACAACCAAATTGTGAACCTCGTTCTTTGAAGTCGGTTGGAAAGGAAACATCTAATCGAACTATACCACGCCATTCGGCCAACACGATTAACTAGGCTAATATCCTCCCTTTATGTAGGCAAAGGGTTATATATATATATTATTGTATATATGTGGCTCAAACTGTATTTACAGCAGTAAAATATGGCTTCTAACATCTGGTTAGCGTATGAACAATGATAGTAAGTGGTTATTAGCAATATTCACCAGTGAACATCATAGTTCTTCATCTTCTTCAATGGTGACACAGACCTGCAGGTGGGACGGTGTCCTTATCATTCATCATATTTCAATTTCTACTTGAAGCACCCCATTTATCAAGGTCTATTTTTTTATTTCTAATACTAGCTGTATCCCACGGTTCCGTCCGCACGAATCAATATATAAAATATCATATATACTAAGTTAGAATGTTCATTAACAAATATTAACAAAAAAAAACCTTTAAAATCAGTAAAGTACATTGCAAACCCCGTCAAGCACAAATAGAAGCAAGAAGGGCGTCACCTTTAAAATTTTCGTAACACTACCATGGTTTACATTGAAAAAAAAAAGAAATAGACCTAAGAAATATAATATATAAAGAAAAACCTCTATGTAAAAAATAAATAGGAAAAAAAAAACTATTACTAACTTGTTCTGCTCATTTCTGTTCATCATGTGATGGTACCCAAAGTGCGGGGGGAAGTGCAGGATGCCGGCCTGAGTCTCTGGGTTCTGAGCGAGCAACGCCGCGTAATATGTGTCCGTCATTCGCACCTGGAAACGAAAGAAAAAAATATATTAATATTTATATATTTAAATTAAAATTTCCCATGTTCTATCTTCATCTTCCAGTGTCACTCTCTCCTGTTAAATGTGTACTTTTAAGTTTGTGTATGTTTATGTATGTATTTGTTTATGTACATATATGTATATGCATATATATGTATATATCTTTGTATATATTTGTTTATATATAATAGTGTACCTACACTTAGTTTTTCTTTCTTTTCTCAATGTTCTCTACCCAAAGGTTGTCTGAAAGAGATTGCTTAGCGATAAGGCCGCCTTTTGTATCATTTCTTATTACAGTTAAATGTATTTACTATTTTATAAATGGCGCAATAAAGTGTAAATAAATAAATAAATAAGTTCTGTAATAATAAAAACCAGAATTCACACAATTTTTTGTTTTTGCAAGCTTCTGCGTGCAGAAATTAAATGAAGAGTATCTATCTATCTCATTTCTTGACCTAATATTTTAATGGTTTCGCGAAACCACTGTTTTATGGTTATAAATTAAAACCAATATAAATTAATTTATATTGACCCTAAATATTAAAGATGCGTTTATGCCACCCATTACAATATGGATCATACCAGTCTGATATCTATATTCATTACGAATGGATTCTTTTTTTCGACATAATATGTTTTTTTTTTTACAACACAGGGGGCAAACGAGCATGCGGCTCAGCTGATGGTAGGTGACTACCGCCGCCCATGATCACCCACAACACCAGCGGCATTACAGCTGTGCTGCCAGTCTTTTAAAAAGAAATATACTCTTTTCTTGAAGGTTATGTTGTCGTATCGGTTCGGAAATACTGCTGCTGGAAGTTGATACCAAAGAATGGTTGTGCGTAGAAGAAAATGCCTTGAAAAACGCACGGTGGAAGACCGCCACTCGTCCAGATGATTGGGATGACACTTTAGTCTGTGGCGGGTTGTACGGTGGTGAAAAATCAGCAGCAATAAAAATCAATCCGAACAATTCCTCAGAACACTTCCCATGATAAATTCGGTAGAAGATGCACAGAGATGCTATGTTGGATAAGTATATGTTATAGGGCCAATATATGTATAGATATTGTAACTATATAGATATTGCTATATATTCCCCACCCTTAATAAATAATAACTTTAAATATTAGAGATAGGTTTATAAAAATAGCGCCACAGAATCGGTACCAATATTTTTAAATCGCCATCAAAAGTCGGCCGTCTAATGAAAGCGCAAAACGTGTACCTGATGACAAATGCTAGGCACTTTGTCGGCGCAGCGCTGGTGGAACTTGAAGTTGCACTGCGAGCAGTAAAAGCCGTTGAACAGCAACCGCCTGCAGCACTCGCAGAACGCGAGCGTGAAGAACGTCTTCCTTGTGTACTGGTGCGATATGTGCGACATTATCGGCAGTTTGTCCAGTGTTCTTACTGTCACCTGGAATTATTTTTTCGTGCATCAATTTTTTTTTTATTTATATACTGCGTTAAACCATAAGTACGTCAAACGTTAAATAAACATATCTTAATTTATTTATTAATTTACGTGTGTCATAAATGGCTCAAATAAAGTGTTTATCTATCTATCTATCTATTAAATTTAAAATGCGTAAACATGTTATATGTACTAACACTAAATAAAGGGGGGAAAGAGATTGTTAGTGATGGAGACAGAATCCCATTGCTAGCAATATACCCAACCAAGTCGACCTCCTCGCGGTTCCCCCTAGAAACTATCATGGTTAATTCCTGATGAATTCATCATGATGGGCTAACTGGCCTGTTTTCATTCTCATCTATCACCCTTCACTGGTGCTCCGCCAGTGTATCCCGTTAGCGCAGGCGGGGTTACCATTCCATTTTCACCCAGCAAAAAAAACACTAAATAAAATAAATTAAAAATAAAAGAAAACTTGTCTATTCCCCCCTTATTTGTACTAGCATTTATGTAGTCATAGTGTTGACTAACAGCCAGATTCAAGAACCACAAAAATAAGAATATTTCACAGTGTCTCCCTAACCACAACATTGACAGAATTATCAAACAAAATTGGTAGCAGCAGTTTAAATTAAAAGAAGAATTCTTGGAATACTTTATACTTTTTCTTTTGTGCTAAATTCTCAATTTAAAAGAAAGTATATAATAAAACTTTGTAATAGCTAAAATAGGTTTATAGTTGATTTCAGTTTATATGAACATGAGGGTAAACTTAAACTCTATTAAACAATAAAATATGGTATAAAAAGCAGACTTAATGCTATAGGCAATCTCTACCAGTTTTAACATTAATAACTATATTACTTCTCGTGTCACAGTGTTTGTTACCAAACTCCTCTGAAACGGCTTTACTGACTTTTATAAAATTTTATGTGCATACTGAGTAGGTCTGAGAATTGGCCAAGATCTATTTTTTCATAACTCTCGATGATAAGGGTGACCCACTCCAAAATTTTTTTTTTTGGACAATATTTTTGTATTTTTATTTTTTTTTATTTTTTTTTTTTTTTTTTTTTTTTTTTTTTTTTTTTTTTTTTTTTTTTTTTTTTTTTTTTTTTTTTTTTTTTTACAACACAGGGGGCAAACGAGCATGCGGCTCACCTGATGGTAAGTGACTACCGCCGCCCATGATCACCCACAACACCAGCGGCATTGCAGGTGTGCTGCCGGCCTTTTAAAAAGGAATATACTCTTTTCTTGAAGGTTATGTTGTCGTATCGGTTCGGAAATACTGCTGCTGGAAGTTGATTCCAAAGAATGGTTGTGCGTGGAAGAAAGTGCCTTGAAAAACGCACGGTGGAAGACCGCCACTCGTCCAGATGATTGGGATGAAACTTTAGTTTGTGGCGGGTTGTACGGTGGTGAAAATCAGCAGCAGGTATCAATCCGAACAATTCCTCAGAACACTCCCCATGATAAATTCGGTAGAAGATGCACAGAGACGCAACATCTCTGCGCAGTTTCAATGGGTCAAGTCGGACAGTAAGGCGTTGACTATCGATAATTCGAGCCGCCCGACTTTGAATGCGGTCTAACGGAAGGAGTTGGTACTGTGGCGCTCCTGCCCACAGGTGAGAACAGTATTCCATATGCGGCCTGACTTGGGCTTTATATAATTTCAGGCGGTGTTCTGGCATGAAATATCGTCTCACCCTATTGAGCACTCCTAACTTTTTGGAAGCTATCTTAGCCTTCTCCTCCAGATGACCGCAAAACTGGACGTCGCAAGATATATCAACGCCCAGAATTCCTAGACTTGACTTTTTATCAAGGGAAGTGCCCTGAAAGTGAGGAGATACGACAAACGGCGTCTTTTTTGCGGTAAACGCGCAGACTTGTGTCTTTTATTATTATGATTTAGCGTTGAAAAATACATACAACTTCAAATTTTCACCCTTTTACTATCAACCCCTGTTTTTTAATCGCGATTTTTATATTCCGCAATAGGGTTGCAATATGACAATTGAATAATTGTAGTAGGATAAATTTTCATGTATAGTTCTCGAAATAATGTATATGGTAAAACAATGTTTGCTGAGTCAGCTAGTGTATATATATATATATATATATATATATATATATATATATATATATATATATATATATATATATATATAACATTAAATTCATAAAATTACTATTAGAATATATATACATAAATATTGAAAAAACATATTTTTAAAAACACCTCAGCTTTACTGATTTTATGAATGTGAAAGTGACATTGTTTGTTACCTTATATACCATAATTTATTTATTACCATAATAGCTTAACCAATCACTATGAAATTTGGTATACACATGCTTTATATGGTGGAGAAGGTTATAGGCTATTTTATATCATAGGAAACATATCTGGATCATGCAGACAAATTCATAAGTACAAGCTAGTATATACTAAATCAATGCATGGGGATATGCAATAACTCAATAACATTTTTACATTATACAGATTATATAATTCCAATAGTAGAACTATGAATATATCTTTAGTTTATTTAAAATATACATTTTCATTACATAACTATGTTTATAATTAAAAAATAATTAATTAATTAATTAATTAATTAATTTTTATAATTAAAAAATAATATGAAGGAATTAGAAGTGAAAGATTCGGTCTAAAGATAAGCATGTAGACAAAATAGAATAAATAACTGAATCTTTATACACAGTAATATCCCAAAAAAAAAATCTTAAACTAACAGTGTAGTAGTAATGTTTTTTTTACTAACTTTTGCATGCAACTTCATACTTGTGGAATTTAGAAGTGAGTATCCACTTCTAGATAGAGTATCAAGATAAAAAATGTACCATGTAATGAATTTTTGTATTTCCTAACTTAATTTAATATTTAAATCGAAATTGATCCAGTAAATGAAGCCTTTATGATAATATTTTGCAAATTTTTTGTTCATCATAAATCCTAACATAATAATCCAAAGAAACAATATTTTAACATTTTTAATATTTTTATACAGTATTTATTACTTATGTAATTTTAATGAGAAATTTGTGTTTTGTTCGGCTCTGAAATTTTGAAAAATATTTCACAGTAAGTCCTTTAGCTTTAAGTTAGAGCTACAGGAACACAGATGAAAAAACCACATTACAATTTAGTGAAGTAATTATTGCATGTTGCTGGAACATGCAAATTTTTCATAAGTAGATCTGCAGTAGTACAGATATCATCCAGTTACCATCTTATTATATTAGTAAGATTATTTTGAAATGTAAATTAGGTCTCAATTTTAACAAGTCACTGTATAAATAACATGGCAAAAAATGAGAGAAAGGGATTATTAATGCAGTCTAAAAATCCTACTGCTCTAGGAATATACTTTATTAGATTGACCTCCATGTGGTTCCCCCTGGAAACCATCATGGTTATTCCTTGTTGATTTTCTTTACAATTTCTTATCATCTCTCACTGATGGCTCACCAGCATATACAGATAGCGCAGACGGAATTACCATTCTATTTTCACCCATTAAAAATAAAACATAACAAAGTAGTAAACCATTAAAAATATATAAAGATTGAAGTTGATTCCACAATAGCATTTTTTATATATATCTCACAAAATATAATTAATTTTAAATCAATAGTTTAAGGAAAGTTTTATAGACTGGTTTTCAGAATGATTTAGCTGTAATATCAAATTGAAATGGTTTTTATAGCTAGTATAGGGTTAACATATAAGCAAAATCTTTTCATTAATATAATAATAACCAAAGTCAGTAGAGAATTGACGAAGAAATAGTTTTAAACACAAAAATTCTTAATACAAAGGACACAAAAATAATTGAATTGAAAACCTCCACATTTTAAAAACCGATTGAAAAATACGTTAAAACAAAGTAAAACACACTTACCTCCTCTGCATCGATCATAGTAATATCCATCTCCCATGGTATCACTTGATTATTGCCTGTCCTCACCACTTCACACATTTCACAAGTCAAGTTGCGGAGTTTCAGCGCCTTTGAGAGCGCCTCACGCAGCGTCACCCCTTCTTTAACCTGCACGCTGGTGCGCTGCTGGTTAGGCAAGTGTGCTCTGAGGAACACCTTTGGTTGACGTGTAAGCGTATCATACTTTTTAGAATCATCCTGCAACGAACACTCTTCACTCCTATCCGGCGATTCAGACTGCAATAACTCACGCAGAGTCCGCTCCCTAAGCTCCAAATTATGTAACTTTGAAGTTAATTCTTGGTATTCCGAAAGATAAAGAGACGGTGGATGTTGGAAACCAGCGAATTTAGCATTTAGAGCATCAATGTTTTCACGAGTCACGTTTATAATACTTTGAATGTTCCTAATTTCATATGTTGGGTCCGCTATGTCGTCACTATCCGTGGATGTCGACATATTATCACTATTGAGAGATAATGCAGGAATATTTCCATTAATTTTTCTTGAACAATTTTCTTTCTCTCTAGTAACTGCCATTTCTTTTCATGATTTTTTTTTATTTTTCTCTGATCTACTCGCGCAAGGCCATAATTATTGCCATAACTAATAATAAATGCTAATGTATAGAATGCAACACTCGGTATGTTCACATTTCAATAAGTTAATAATATTTTTGATACCTAAACTCGATGGCAAATATTTATTAATTTCGTTAATTTGATATTTGTAATTTTAATCGTATGTAAGAGATATTTTTTATCATTAGAATATTTACTACATTGTTCATACGACAAGATCAAAAATATTAAAACAAAAGCTCTTATAATCTTTAAAAAATATTGTTATGGTAACAAGAATCAAAATAATAATTAACAAATAGTCTCAAACATAGAGTGAGGAATAGGCAGCAGCGTCCCCTTAAAACATGTTTAAAGTCTAACTGTGAATACCAATCCGCCTGCCAAACGTGGCAACTACTGGCATAACCCCCTAAGTGGGTGGGGAGAGTGATTGTTAGTAATGGGACCTAACAGCTCCATTGCTAGCAATGTACCCTATTAGGTCGACCTCCACGCGGTTCCTTATTAGAAACCATCGTGGTTAATTCTCTTGGAATTCTTTACAATGGGCTAACTGACCTATTTTTGTCCTCACCTATCACCTCTCACTGGTGCCCCGCCAGCATATATCGATAGCGCAGGCGGGATTAATATTCCATTTTCACCCTATAAAAACCCTAAGAGAGAGGCTTATGTTCAGCAGTGAATAGTTACTGAATTTAATGTTTGTTTACCTAAAAGTGAACCTATGTTTAAGTCATTATGATAAATTTTAAACATAGGCTTAGTATAACATATGTACTAAACCTTGACATAACATTAATGTGCTTCTCTCTATTTCTATGTGTTATTTATTTATTTATTTATTCATTAAATAATTGCTTTATATATAATACAGATACAGTATAAGGTATTTATTGTCTAATAATAGTTTACATACATGTTATATATCTTCAAATATTTTTTTAAAGTTCATGCTCCTTTGCTTAGTTCCTTTGCTTTCCTTACTGTACATAAATAATTATTACTACCCTTCAGATAATTTGTCAGCTGTCAATAGTCAAATTATATAAACGAAATTGACATTCAGTTTTATCAATAAGTTTGTATTGGAAAACTTTGTTATTGTTTATTATTATATGAAATATTCGCTTTTCGTTCACTACTTCGTTCTCTTATATTTTAGAAGTAGGAAATCCAATGAAATAGACCAAATTTTAGTTGTGATATCAAGATAACCTTACTTACCCCAGTATTTAACTTAAACTTTCAGGAATACAACAATGAAAACCGCTTTTAATTTGGTGCTGTAGTATTTGCGTGATGTTAGAACAAACATACAGACAGACAGATAAAATTTAAAAATAATTTAGTAAAGTAAAACAGAAAAAATAGTAATAAAATGAAATTTTAAAAATCTATTATGTGATCACGGTAATTACAATTAAATTTACTCTTATATTTTTTTTCATTCCAGCTTCTATACAACCCACAATTATTTAATAAAAAGAAAAATGTTTGAAATTTTGTATACAGATAATATCTTTCTTCTCTTCTCGATCTTTTTATAGATAAAAATATAAAAGAAAACTTTAAAATCTGTAGTACCTTATTATAATTACTAATTTCCAAGGTTTCTCTAAACAGAGGCAATGGAATCCTCACGGCATGTGTCATTGGAGCAGGTGAATGCTCTGATTAACTTTATGGGACAGCATGTGGAGTTTGCAACTGGCAGCCTCAGATCATTGGAAGCCCGACACACATCTAAACGGCTCTGGTGCGAATTAACCAAAACCCTGAACAGTTATCGTGGAGGCATAAAGAAGAACTCTGATGGGTGGAGTAAGGTTTGTATAATAATCTAATAGTAATGTAAAATAAAAAATGAAGTACTTAGATAGAGATAGTTTCATATTATTATTCTCTCATGCATGCCATCTCTTATCCAAGTCAAAGATATAGCCTGAAATAGAGCTGGCTGAAAGAGAATACATGAATTAGTTGCCTCAACAAGAGAAAACTCTTAAATAAGAAGAAAGAAAGATTATTATATGTATTACATAAAAAAAAAACTTGCACAATAAAAATAATGAAAATGGTATATTTAGTACATATATTGCCTATTTTTGTTTATATAACTAAGTATGTTTATTTTCAGTATTGGAGTGATTTTAAAAATAAATTGAAAAACAAAACAAGAATGTTAAAAAAGAACAGTTCTGTTTCTAAAAAAAGTGTTAGGCCACTAACAAAACTTGAAAGGAGAGCTCTTGTGATATTGGGACCACATTTTGAAAGGAAGATAATTGGAACTGTACAGAGTAATGATGGGTTTTCTGTTAGTATTTTATTTGTGGTATAATTTTTTTTTATTATTTACTGATATACATACACATACATAATGTATATATATGTATGTGGTATGTAAAGCTAAGAATCTACCAATACAGGCTGTATGTGCTCTGTTAGTGTAGAAGGGTCAACATTGCTTGTTGCTTCAACCCATATTTATATAGCGAAAAAATTTTTTTTTACACTTTATTACATCAATTATAAATAATACATACAGTAAATTTGAATGAGAAATACAAAAGGCCATCTTATCACTAAGCAATCTCTTCCTTACAACTTTAATTCCTTCAATGGATGTTAAAAATTTTGATAATAATTATAAACTTCCTGTTATTCAAAGTTATAAAAAAATACATACATACATACATATCTGTCACGCCTGTCTCCCATTAGGGTAGGCAGAAACAATGGAACGCCAAATGCTTCGATTCAAACAAACCTCTTTCGCTTCTTCCACATTCATCAATCTTGTCATACACGCTCGTCGGTTACGGGTACTTTTAATTTGGCCCTTCTTCAGCACGTCGCCTATTTGGTCGACATACGTCCGTCTAGGGCGGCCCCTACCGACATCTCCATTCATTCTTGCTCGATAAATCTCTTTCGTAATTCTTCTTTCATCCATCCTCTCCAAATGACCAAACCAACGCAACATTCCTTTTTCGATTTTGGTCACTACATCGTAAAAAAATAAGATAATATTTAATTAATATTTCAGAATAATTATCCTAGTGAAATCAAACTTGAGGCATATCAGGAAAATATGTCAAATGACTTCAATAAAACAATGAGTGACACCAGTGATAGATTATCAGGTAAATGTAACTTTTAAATTATCCATATTAGGAAAAAAAGATTTGGCTTATAGTTTTACGACCGGCCGCCTGTCTGACGTCAACCCTCCTTGGAAATGATTATATCAGAATAAGTATGAAAGTAGCGCCAGTGATAGAAAAGTTAAGAAGTAACCGTTTATCCTGCTATGGACACGTGACGCGCAGGAATGAGGAGCATATTTTAAAAAAAGTATTAAGAATGAAAGTAGACGGCTATAAGGGCAGAGGAAGACCTAAAAAGACATGGATGGATTGTGTGAGGGACGATATGGCCAGAATGGGAGTGAATGCGGAAATGACTGGGAATAGAAAAGAGTGGAAGAGGAAAACATATTACGCCGACCACAAATAATAATTGGGATAAGGGTAGGAAGATGATGATGTAACTTTTAAATTATAATTGGCCGTTATCCTGACTTTACATGCATGAACTTCAATGAAAAATTGCCTCACAGGAACACTGCCAGACTAATTCGTAAAATACCAATTTTATTTAAGTTTTGTATATAAAATAATTTTGCTCTACAATTTTACTACTAGCCATGTGAGCCCAGTATGGTATAGGCCACCCCTTTCTTTCTTGTGAGTGTCGTAAAACGTGACTAAGCAAACTAAATGGTTGAGGCACGGGCAGCAGTGTCCCTCTTAAAATATCTATAAAAGCCTAACTATGGTTGCCAACCCACTTGCCAAGGGATTGTTAGTAATAAAGACTGAGAATCCTATTGCTAGCAATATACCCAACCAGGTCGACCTCCTCGCGGTTCTCCCTGGAAACTATCATGGTTAATTCCTGATGAATTCATCATGATGGACTAACTGGCCTGTTTTCATTCTCATCTATTACCCTTCACTGGTGCTCCGCAAGCGTATGCCGTTAGCGCAGGCCATACCATTTCACATACCATACCATTACCATTTATCATACCATTTTCACCCATCAAAAAAAAGTGGTAGGCTTATGTTCAACAGTGGGCAGTTAACATCTGAAATGATGAATGATGATGAATTTTACTACAGTGTAGTCAATATATGTGTATCATCTTATAGTGACCAGTTTGATGTCCACCCTTCTCATATTATCTTCACATTAATTACACTAGACAATAATGTGTTGTCTGAACTTATATTATAAAGACCAAAATAGTGATATAATCAAATATAATAAAAAAATAAGATATAATAAAAAAATATTTATTTTTGTTTTATTTATTTATCTACACTTTATTGCACCATTTATAAAAATAGTAAATTTTAATGAGAAGTGATACAAACTGATATTTGACTTGATTTTAAAATCTTTTTCACCTGTACAAACCTACATTATCAGTAAATAACATAGGCTATAGTTATTTCATAAAATCCTACAAAGCCATGACTCGTCGGTAGTATTTTAATTTATTGTTACAGGCGAGAATGACGAGAGAAACTCTGACGAAAGTGCCGAATCCAGTGACGACGATAATGTTGAGGTTTCAGAGAATAATTCTAATGAATCTCTTGTGCATAGTAAGTATAGAAACTTCATATTGCATTGTGACAATTATTTAACTTGATTATGCTGGAACTATTACAAGATGTGAAAATAAATAATCACATGATACTTTCAAATTTCATTATCTATATATCTTGACTGAATAAATAAATCAATATCTGTAGATATATCATGGAGTATCAAATTTTACATACTGTACAATATGCAATTGTACATACAGAGGAATAACCTTAGTCTTCAAGATATCAACGCATGGGGGGTATCATTGGCAGAACAGTATACTCTGTTATATCCATGGTACTGCTCATGTCTATAGGCGACGGTTACCACTTTCCATCAGGTGGTCCGTCAGCTTGTTTGCCATTCTAAGCTGCATAAAAAAAAACATGGTCAAAATTACAATTTTAGACAGCAAAGTCTGGGTGATATGCTTTTATACAATAGTAGACATCCATTAGTGTATTTAAGATTATTTTTAAGGAGGGCCTGACCCCCTTAAAAATCAGATGTCTTTGACATAGCTTAAACTCTCCATTCGCATCCTGGGATGAACACGCCCCCCACCCCTCACCCATCTCCTCCTTAAATACCCCTATAGTAGACAATGTAATATTTAACCAACTTTGCAGTTACAATGCCTAATATTTATATTTGTGGTTAACAATTACTATGACGCTAAGGCTGAGACTATGAATTTGGTATAATCATCCAAGTGTACTGAAAGTAATAAATAATAAAAAAAATCATCTGGACGAAACAAAGCGAAGCTCGTAATATCCCAATTAAAAAACTAACATAACTAAATGCATATATTGACATGCATACTGTATCTATAATATTCCAGATTTGTATCCAAAATGGTTAATAGACATAGAAAAAAAGCGAGCCAACGCAGAGTTGTTGCGAGCGAAGGCCGAGGAGCAGAGGGCGTCTGTCGCAGCGAAAACAGCGGAAGCTGCTCTAATCCAGGCCGAAGCTTTGAGGAAACTAGCTGACGCCACATCCACACAGGCCGAGGCGCTCGTGAGAATAGCCATGGTATTAGAAAATAGGAACCATAGAGACATACTGTCTATATAATTTTTTTTTTTGTTTTTTGGCACAAAGGTGCTCAAAAGAATTGTTGATATTATTTAAATTAATGTGCAATAATTAATCTCTCATTTGACTAAAGACTGATATTGAATGACTCATGTATTTAACTTTCACTTTCCTACGTCACCGCCCCACTCCATTTCGAGCGATACTTCTATGCGCTAGAGAGCAGACTTGGATTGACTTCCTAGTAGCACAGTAGAAAAGACCAATATAAAATAATATTGGAGAGCTTGTTTTATTGATTCAAAGCCCAATTTCTCATAAGAATAATCAGCTTGTCTGATGGTCATTGATTACAAAGTACTATAAATTTACTCCTTTATTCATAAAAATGTCAAATCTCCCATAAGCTTATTTTAGATATTAAACTTTTTTGTCCTTTCGTCACTTTCTTTTGTACTAAATTCTTAATTTAAAAGAAAGTCACAAAACAGTGTAATAGTTAAAATAGATTTGTAGGTCTAAGTTTTGATGAAGGCTGATTTTGTAAATGTTGCCTATGTATAGAATTATGATATATTTTATTAAGTGAAATTTAATTTATTATAGATTTATACTCAATCTCTTAGGATTATTGTAAACATAATATTCCATTTTTATTTTCAAAGTTATATGAATTGCCCTGCATACCTTATAAATAAAAATAGGCACAAAATTTCAATATATATAAGTAATTGATATTTTGTGAGATCCTAGCAGTTTGTGTAATGGTTGCAAATGAATTGTTTGTATATATTTGTAAATGAATAAAACTCCAATATTTTTTTACAATATATTGTCTTAATTTATTCACAATTTACAACATAATTCTTATTTACAAATTAACTTTGAGTGGGACAGTTTTAAGCAGCAACCATAAAAGATTCTCAATTCACTCATTTTTTTTATATATGTGTGTGTGTTATGCAATATTTTTACTTATTCTGAACCAATCTTGATATTCTTTTTGATACAGTTTATTCCTATATTGCTTCTATATTAATTGTGTCACTATTAATCTTATTGTCTACAAATTTATTTTTTTATCTGATCTGTGAAAAGACTAGAATCTGATTTGTCTTTTTCTAAAAATGCTTCCTGTATGGTCTGCTTTTTGATATCCCGTTTTTGATTTGACAGATATCTTACACCATTTCAAAGTCATCCCTCTGAAACAAAATTTAATTATTACATTTATTTTTAAAACAAATACATAATGCATAAATAGGTAATATTTTAACTAAGTAATAATAATATAATAATATTTAGAAAACCTGGATAATTTAGTGAATTTAGGCAAATTGCTAAGAAGGCGATATAAGTAAATTTAGGTAATTAACTTCAATGGAGAGGTTTTAACAACAATTATAAAAAGAAAATACAAAAATAATTGCATTGCAGGAAATCAGTGGATGCAGGTGGTTTAGGACTGTTCTTTATGGCAGCCTATGGAGGAGGTCTATGTTCAGCCATAGACAGATAATGAATAGCTAAGATGATGAATGATGACAAAAAAAAACTCATACCTAATTAGGAATGATGTGAGCACAGTGGTCACTACTCAGCTAAGTGTCTAGGCATTCATACATAATGACTAAATGCTGATTTTCTAAGGGAATTATATACATTTTTCTATTATATTCATATTAGTTATATAGCTGACTTTGCAATGAGTGAATATGATATTTATATATATATATATATACATTATAACAATTTCCAAAAGAGAGTTGATATCAGGCAGGCAGCCAGTCTTAAAACTATAAGCCAAATCCTTTTGTAATATGGATAAAACCATATTACGCAGACCCTAAAAAGTAATTGGGATAAGGGTAGAAAGGTGATGATGATGATACATTATGACAATAAGTATGAGAGTACACTTACCATTTCATTATACTCCATGACATGTTTTCTTATAGCAGAACTATCAACCCACGTGACAAAGTCCTCAAGGGCCCGTGTGACAAGGAACGCAGGATCCTTCACCACCTCCGGGCCTACTCTTACGTGGCCCTGCTCTATAAATTTGGTGGCCTCTTTTAAATTCTCCGACATTTTATCTGGAAGTTATTTAATAATAATATTTATCAATAAACTGTTTGTTTATACTTACTACAATTAGTTAACAATCTTAGCATTTCTTCTATTAATAGTTGTCACTCAGAAAAAGAACAATATGCCAAATTATAAAAAAATACCAATAAGTTAGTAAATTACATTTATTAGCTTTTTTACCATCTACTTTGTATGTATGGATTTCATAAAGAGAAAAAACAATGAAATGGATCACTTCTAAATGGAGTATCAGATTTTATTTTAGACCTTCAGGAATACAACTATGAAAACCGCATTAAATTTCATTCAATAGTTTTGCATGATGGCTGTAACATAACATACAGACAAATAAAATTTATAAATAAATATATTGGTTTGGCATCTATATTGGTCTTATTAAAAAGAAATAAACATGAGCGATATTAATTTTTTCCATGTATAATTTTATTATATACTAAGATTATTTAGTATTTGCCTATTACTACCACGTTATTGAAACACAATAATGTAAATAGTAAATTATTACAGTTACTGTTAATAAAAAGATTTACTTATTATGCCAATACAGATATTTATAAGAGTGGGACATATCATTGACATCATTACAACAATTCACTATTGTTGTAATGACATCAATGATACAGATTTTAACAAAAAGCTATAAGTGATTACACTACTTGTGATTAATAATTTACAGAGCTAATAGATATCTTATTGGCACTAACTTCGAATCATAACCACAGGGAGTCGTCTTCTGCAAAATGCACTAGCAGATACGGTGCTGGCCAGTGATAAATCCCATCTCGTAGGTATGAGTCCCATTTGATAGAGTTTTTCTAATAACTGAGCACTTGATTCCGTCCTAAACTCACTGTTGGCATCGAGATCTTTGATTTTATTAGCCAAATCTCGAATTTCTCTAGACATTTTATTATACCTGTAAAAAAAATGTAATATCTCGTTAGTTTTTTAGGTACCTCAATTATTTCTTGAAGAGACGTATCTATGTAACTATGACCGAAGACAAATTGTGCTTACTTTGTGTAATCTTCCCGCTTCTGAATGTAATATTTCTTCATAATTTTAACTTCGTGTAAATTGTTATCAATCTTCCATGATATAAAATCTACTTTTTTGAGCAATTTCTGCTCATGAAATTTTAACTTCCGAACCATTATTTCTTTGTTATTAGCACCTTAAATATATTGAGTTCTGTGATAACCTCTTGAAAAGTTAAAATTAAACAATTAATACAAATATTAACTGATCGTTACTCAAAATTCTTCAAACAAAACAAGCATGAATCAATTCAAGCATGTGAAATAATGAAAATGTTTAAAACTTCAAATAAAATATATGTCTACAACATAATGACTGTCAATGTCAGTTAATCATCTATACAGGTTTAAAAACAAGAACTAACATGATATATTTTTTTTATTCTATTCCAAAACTTGCAAGGCGCATCTTTCGTCTTATCCTTTATCTGTAGTACTATATAATATCCTAATCTGTAATTTTAATACTAAAATTCCTAAATTCTTCAATAGAAGTGCACCAACGAAATCTCTAAAACTGTCAAAACTGCGTGCAGGTACTATTCCATTATTAATACTTAATTATATTCCTTTATTGATAAAAACGCCAAACGTCTCATAAATCTATTTTAGCTATTTTTAGAAGTATTTTGACGTGTTCTTTTGCATTGAAATCCACATTTGAATTACAATGACAAAACACTGTTAAAATAGGTTTGTAAAAGTTTTAATTTTATTTTTTTGTGTGTTTTTAGGTTAATTAATGATGTTCACTGATGAATATAGGTCTCCCCTATATACTGCCGTAAGAAAGGGCCCTAAACCGCTAGGTATCATAGGTGTTAGGAGTATGAGTTGTAGATATACGACCTAATTATCTGTGTCTATCGATGACAATGTTCGTTGCTAAGCATCTTGTTGATTGTAACATTTTATTCTGCTTATTATACGTATTATAATATTTAATATCGCTTTCCGTTCTCCACTTTAATATGGTAGCAGAGCAAATAATAACGATATAAAATGGCCTCCTATGGAAAAATAGAACAATTAAATAAAGATAACTGATACTTGGGCCTTACAAGCAAAAGCAGTCCTTGTTAAACAAAAGCTATGGAAATACGTAGTAACTCCAGACATAGAATATGAGGATCCTAAAATTAAAGAAGAAGACTTGCTAGCGCAGTCAGAACTCATTCTATTGATGTCTGCAGCAGAAATTAAACTAATAAAAAAATGTGCAACTGCACATGAAATGTGGCAAAAGCTCAATGATATATATTCGAGCAAAGGTCCGGCAAGAAAAGCTAGTCTATTAAAACAATTAATTCTGAGTAGATTACAAAATAACGATGATATACGTGAACATTTAAACAAGTTTATGGATATAGTTGAAAAGTTAAATCAAATGGATATAAGTATTCATGACGATCTACTTTCAGTTATGATGCTATACACCTTGCCGCCAGACTATGAAAATTTTAGAGTAGCGATAGAATCGAGAGACACGTTACCTAAACCTGAGGATCTTAAGATCAAAATTATTGAAGAATCGGAAGCGAGAAAACATTTATCCTCTCAAGATGCAAGCACAAGTAATGAAGAAGTCTATTATGCTTTTTGCAAGATATGTAAGAAAAAAGGACATAATACTAAAAACTGTAGAAAGAAGTCATCATATTACAAAAATAAGACGAATATAAAATCCAGTCATGATAGCAAAGACGTAAATAAAAATAATATTGCGATTTGTCTATATGTATCTAAGGAAGAAAACAAAAATGAATGGATCATAGATAGCGGATGCACTTCACATATGTCTTATGAAAGAAATATATTTCAAAATTTAGAAAACACTTGCAAAACGTTAAAATTAGCGTCTAACGATGGTGCTGCTGAAATAAAAGGACAAGGTTTAGTATGTTTACAATTAAATGAACCTGGAAAGAAAGGAGAAATTAAATTATGTGACACATTATATGTACCAGATTTGTCATTGAATCTGTTATCTGTTGGTAAGATTACCGAAAATGGGTGTACTGTACTCTTTACAAAAAATAAGGCAGTAGTTACTCACAAAGATGAATGTGTGATTTTGAAAGCACATAGAAAAGCCGATGGTTTATACTATGTTGATGCCAAACTAAATAAATCTCAAACATGTCATTACACAGATCAAAACAAAATTCATCACTGGCACAGGAAACTTGGTCATATGAATGAAAATGACATGAAGTTTGCTTTAAGAAATAAAAGCCTAAAAGGTTTAGAATTTGGTTTAAACGAGAAACTTGGAGATTGTGAAATCTGTATTGAAGCCAAAATAAAAAGACTACCATCTAAAGCTAATACTGTTCCTCGTACTACACAACGATTAGAAATCATACATACTGACGTTTGTGGACCGATGAAGTCTGAAACTTATGCAGGTAACAAATACTTTGTTACTTTCATCGATGATCTTACTCGGTATAGTCGTGTATATTGTATCAAAAAGAAAAGTGAAGTATTAGACAAATTTATGGAATTTAAATCTGAGATGGAAAATTATACTGGCAATAAAATAAAATGTCTTCAGTCAGACAATGGCTTAGAGTACTGTAATAATGAATTTGAAATGTTTTTAAAGAAGAATGGTATAACAAGACGATTAACAGCTCCATACACTCCTCACCAAAATGGTATAGCTGAAAGAAAGAATAGAACCCTTTTAGAAAAAGCTAGATGTTTAATGATAGAATCTGGAGCACCGATGACTCTATGGGGTGAAGCTATATGTACAGCGAACTATATTTCGAATAGAAGTATAAATAAAAGTATTGACAACTTGACACCGTTTGAAAAATGGGTCGGAAGAAAACCGTCTTTAAATCATTTTAATGTATTCGGAATAAAAGCGTACATGCTTCTTAAAAATAAACAAAACAGAAACAAATTTGAAACAAAAGCCATTCCTGGCATGTTTGCAGGATATTCTGAACGATCAAAAGCTTTTAAAATTTGGGTACCTACAAAAGGTAAAATTATGATTTCAAAAGATGTGAAATTTGTTGATAAATTTTTCTATAAAGAAAACTTTAATTCAAATAAATTAGCAAATAAATCAAGTACAATTGGTTATGTAGATCTGCTCTTTGATAATATTGAAAAACTAGAAGAGAGAGATAAAAAACAAACTATAATCAATGAAAAGAACATTGACCCAAATGAAACTGAAAGCGAATATGATTCAATTAATAATGATTTTGAGACAGATGATGAAAGAAATATCCAGATGATAGAAGAAACAAGACCTTTTGAAAGCCAAGCTACAAATGATGAAGAGACACATGAAGAAGTTCAAACAGAAGTTAAACGGTCACTTCGAAATCGTAATTATTTACGAGCACCTACAAGATTTGATGACTTTGTAATGACTGCTTCAGGAGAGATAAAGAACTCACAAAAGCACCTAAAACCTATAATAAATCATATCAAGCGCAAGCATTTTTGTGTCAGTGAATGTGCAAAGGACAAGCATCCAGGTACAGATTAGTAAAGCATGTCTCATTTGAACATCAACAAGCGGACACATTTACAAAGCTACTCTACAGACCAAGATTAGAATAACTGCCATTACGCATTGGAATGAGTAGCAGCAGCTATAAAAAGTAGACGGGATGTTAGGAGTATGAGTTGTAGATATACGACCTAATTATCTGTGTCTATCGATGACAATGTTCGTTGCTAAGCATCTTGTTGATTGTAACATTTTATTCTGCTTATTATACGTATTATAATATTTAATATCGCTTTCCGTTCTCCACTTTAATAATAGGCGACACAGTATACTGTTTTATGTTGATAGTCCGATTCCTATTTATTGGCGACGTTTACCATTTTCCATCAGCTGTTCTGTTATTCTAAGTTACATAAAAAAAAAAAAAACATTCATATTGATCTAAAGAATAAAGATTTCGTTGTGATACCAAATTGAAACACATTTTAGAGATAGGGAAAAGATTTAGAGAAATAGCGCCTGGGAAACAGCTCCAATTTCTTTAATCTGTGGTTTAAAAACAGATTAGACGCTTCAAAGCACGTAGTTCTCTAAGTAGTCTGTGTTTCAAAGTGCCGTAAAAAACTTATTTACTTGTCTAGTTTTATATTTTTTCTGGCTTTTAAATTTTACAATTTCAGGTTATCAGTGACTTTTCTATAAATTAAGAGATAAAAATAATTTGTAATAATTAATGATATTTTTCAATTAACTGTTAAAAGGGAGAAGTTACTTTGAAAGTTTATTCATAACATCATAATTTATAAACATGAGCCGCAGTAATCCATCTGATTACGCGGCGTACCTGCAATCAGTTGTGAGGTTGGATGCTCTTGAAAAAATGACTCAAAATTTAGACAAAGAGCTGGCTGATTCTCAACGGATAATGCAAGAGATAAAAGCTATTTTCGACAGTGTGCCTACTGCCCAGACTATGTCGCACTCAGTCAACAACCCTCTTCGACATGAAGACTTGTCTCGATTTCTTGAAGCTGACGTTCCCAAGTTACTTCTGCCTGACATGGTGGAAAACACTGCTGATGTAGATTTGGATGATATTATTAAGAAAATGAAAAGTTATGCTGAAGAGTTGAAAAAAAATTTTGTTCTTAAACAACCACAGATACAAGACAAATTAAATATAAATAAAATGAGCGAATTAGAATTGGAGCAATATGCTACAAGCTTGGACCAGTTAGGGAAACGTTTGGCAAACATTAAACTAGTCAAGAATGATGAAAACAACAAAAATACAGATCTCGAAGAAAAATTGACTAAACTTTGTCAAGATGTCAATATGTTTACACAGGTATCACATTATCTCAGTCAATTGTATGTGTCTAGAATAATTCCCTGTTCATAGTAAAAACCATTGATAAATATAAGTTCTATAAATAGAATTGCATATTTTCTTTATTGTTGGGGAAAAAAATAACATGAATGTAATTTTTCAGATGGTGCAAGCAAAAACTATACTGAGTGAATGTAATAAAAACTGGACGGAAACTTCACAAGAAAATAATGCATTACATTATGACAATGTCATTAATAAACTACTCTCTGGTATTAATGAAGTAATGTATTTATTGCAGAATAAAAATTAAATATATAAATTGTGAACTATTTGTGCAAATGGAGCCTTGTATTTAGCTCATGCATGCATGTCTGTTATGATGTTTCTTATAATTATAATAGAAAATAGTCCATCTACTTATATGTAGATAATCTCTATCATATTGTAGAAACTAGACTGAATATGTTATATAAAGGTATTTAAGTGCCTATTTATTTTTATTATAAATAATTCTTATCATTTGTCTACTTATTATATTTATTTTACTTGAAAAAGACTTAAAAAGAGAAAGAGTTTTTCAATTTGTTTTGTTTTTTTATTTATATTTGTTACATCAGAACTCCATTTATAAACTGAATTTCTTTTTTATTTGAAAGGCTAATCTTTCCGATTGGTTCCATAAAAATTTTATCCAAATCGGTTCAGTAGTATGGTTTTTTTTATGGATGATAATGGAATAGTTACTCCGTCTGTGCTATCGGTATACACTGGCGGGGCACCAGTGATAGATGACAGATGTGGATGAAAGCAGGTCAGTTAGCCCATCGTGATGAATTTCACAAGAAATAACCACTATGGTTTCCACGGGGGAACCGCGTGGAGGTCAACCTGATAGGGTATATTGTTATTAATGGGGCTGTTAGATGCCATTACTAACAATCCCTTCCCCCCAATCAGTAGTATGTTTTCTAAACCAAACAACTGTTTTTGCCATGATTTAATACTTTTTTTTAGAACAAAGTCCCTTATGTCATTGGTTAGACAGTGGATCAAATGTAATTTTCTTTTATTGTAGAATAATACTCAATAGATTCATAGTCTCAGATTTTTAAATGTATTTTTCTATTCATTACCGTTGCATTGCAAATAATTTGTACAATGTTAGTTTTGTGATTTTGTCTCTCAACATATAGATATTTGTCACTCATTAAATATCAAGTCTAGAAAAAAGAATTTGTGTTAATATCAAGTAAGAAATAATATCTCTTGATACAGGTTAATAGGGTAATAGATGTGTGTGTGTGGTGCTCCCATGTTGTGGGTCCTACAATGGCAACTTACTGTTACTACTTAGATAACAGGCTAAAGGAATGTTGTTTCATTCACCAGTCTTGTAAGTAAATAACTAAGGCTCGAATATTGTAGTCATAGTGTTAAGATTTTTGTAGATTACTATTTTTTTGTTTACCATTCTTAGTGTAAGACAATTTGTATGTCAATATTGTCAGTATAAGTCCAATAGTAACTTCAAATTCCACATATAGTCATTCTATATATGCAGGGCGAGATTCTTACCATTTTTTAACACAAGTTTCTTTGTGAGAATATTCAGTTTCTCTTAACAGAATCTGAACATTTTCATTAAAGAAGAAACATGTGTTAAATAATTAAAAAAAAAAAAATTACAGAGCTTTTCATACTAATATTGCACATGATGCAATGCTCAAAATTTGGTCTTCTACCATGTTTTAATCTTTCAAAAAATTTCGCTTATAGTATTCTATAACATAGATATATTTTTAGGTGTGCATGTCTGATATTATTAATTTCACCTGTATATATAGTATACATTTTCAATCTGCTTGCTAATGTGGGTACTGGAGAATTTGGTCAATTGTACAAAGTCAAAAAAGAATATATATAAATACCTGTATTCAAATAAAATTAACATAATTTCATGCAATATAAAAAAAAGTCATTACAACAGTTGGTTTTATTCTATTTTGTGTTCAGTAATGTCTTTAGTTAATATTTTAAAAAGTAATTGATCATTTTATTGAGATAGTCATTAAATTAGGAGATTTCATGTCTGGTCATACATAGCTAGCAGTCATTCATCTGTGTCCCTATCATTTAGTTTCATTCTTTTCCTCTTTTCTTTCTCATAATCTGCAAAGTTGTCATTCTGTTCTTCCACAATCATTTTATAGTCATCACTTTTTGTAGGCCTCTCATCAGCCTCCATTACTTTCAGTTTTATACCAGAGAGAACTGCACCATTTAAAGTTTTGATAGCTTCCTGCGCAGACCTTATAGAGGCATATTTAGCAAATCCAAAAGTCTTATTAGGGAATGTGCTTACATCTATCAGATCACCAAAACGACAAAATGCATCTTTCAAGACTGTGGCAGGGGGAGGGCATGGCTTACACACTATGAAGCAACGTTGAGCAACTCTACTGTTATTGTTCACTATTGGCTGCGGAGGGGGCAAAGGCACACTGCAGAGACAATCTTGCTTATCAGTTTTTGTCTCTACTTTTCCTGATGTGGCAGCTTTTATTAAACAAGATGCTTGTGCAATAGCATCCGCCAATTGTAGAAGTTCCTTACCATTGTTGCCAGCGTCTATAGAGTTTCTAAAACTATTCACAATATTTGTCAAAGTACTGGCAGCTTTGTTCAAAGGATTATCATCTGGTTTTACAGATACTATTTCACCAGATGGAAATTCAAAGTTATTAAGCCTCTCAACTGCATATGCAGCTGCTTTTTCACTGTCATATGTAATTATTGATTTACAAATGCCATTATATGTATCTGTGGTATATTGACATTTGTTCATTCCAGGAATAATATTAAACAATTTCTCAATGTGCTTCTGTGATACTTGTGGGCTACATGTGACACATACTGTATCATAGTGATGTGGCTGGGCTTTTATTAAACTTAAGGTGTCCTTTTGAAGTCCATCACGAACCTGATTATAATGATCTATGGAACTATCTCTGTTACTATTAAAATTATTAAGTTGAGGACTATCTCCAAAATTTACTCCTGCTCCATCTAAACTAATTCTACTTCTTTTCAATTCCTCCTTAGGTGTAGCAAATACTGGTCTATACTTACGGTCACAGTTTTCAAAGGCTTTCGCAGCCTCTAGAAAGTTTGTATAATTGACGTAAGCAAAACCTTTGCACATATCAGTAAGTCTATCTCTCTGCAAGTGTACAGAGTCGACTTTTCCAAAATTTGAGAAATGCTCACGAATTTCACTCTCTGAGGCCTCTTTGTGTACTTTAATAAAGAGCCTTTTATACTTCTCCTCATTGTTTGAATGTACGTCGTTTTTGCTGGCAGCAACCATCACTTTAATAGGTTTTTGACTATTTTTTATGTTTTTCATATGTAATTCCTGAATGGCTGCTGCTGCAGATGAAGTTTTATTATATTTAATATAAGCTACACCCTTCGATTCTCCGCTGTTACGGTCCCTGGGTATGTACAAATCCTCAATATCGCCGAATACTTCAAATGGCGCCTTTAAATCTTCCTCTTGTAGTTGTTTACCGCAAACCACGAAAATTCTCGAGTAAGGAGGTTTATCATCTTTCCGTTCATCGTTCTTCATATTTTGATTCCAAAAATTAGCGTTCATTGAAGTCATCACAGTAACTTTAAGTCGTTACAAAACAACAGTCAAGTCACGGTCTAAGTAACTGTGGTCATGTCACGAAGTCAAGCAAAACTGAAATAAATTTGTATTTTATCAGTATAATTAGTCGTTTGACGTTTTATTATACAGAAAAAAAGCATTAAATGTTTTATACAGACAAAAAGAAAAATTAGATACCTACTTATAAAAAACATAAATACCTACACGAATGCATGTCATTGATCTAACAAGTCAAAATCACAGATTAGATCAAAGCAAATATCAAGGTTGATTCAGAGACACCATTTTTCTAAAATTAAAATTTGATATTGCAGTAAAATTTTTATTCGAAGAACCATTATAAACTGAGTTTCTACTTTGTTATGCCTAATATTACTATTCAGTAGTGAATTAAGCTAAAATTACTTAAGAAAAATTTGATGAAGATGACTACTGATTGACGATGACTATTAAGATGATGATGATGATGGTACTATCCTTATTCTATGCCATGTTTCTATCACGGACATAATGATTATATTGTCGGTGGTGCCGTATTTATACATAATAATTCTGATTTAAAAGTAATTAACATAAGAAAATAACAAACACTATTCTTAGTCTATGGTAGCTAGATATGTAAGTAGATAGATACTTTTGGTAGGTGCCTGTATTGAGTGCGTACGTTTATTTTCTTTTTTCTTGAATGGAGGAAAAATAGAAAATGAATTTTATTCATTCTAAATCAAATCTGTGGACTTTTTATAATTTTAAATAGACTTTATTTATAATTGTACTAAGTAATGTCGCTCAATTTTTCCATTTTTTCTTAAATGTAAATAAATATGGATAAGGACCTACCGAGGCTAAAATTATTTAGGGATGGGGAGTTTGATGTGGAAATCAATGAGTTGTTCAATAAAAAGTTCAGCTTTCGATTTAACAACAGCTGGAAATTGCCGGATTGTAAACTTTGGTTCTCCACTCCGCCTTGGAAGGTTAAAGACTTGGAAGTGTTGAAGAGTCGTTTGAATTTCCACAAGAGCCAGTTGAATGACTTTAATATTGAGGAATGGAGCAGTCACACACGTCGGAGAAATCCTGCCGGTGAAGTGGGTTGGAAAATAAGATGCATTGTTAACCCTGAATTCCTGACACAAGCCTGGACAAAGTTTTACGAGTGTGCAAGTACATACAATATAATCCCGAAGGAAGTAATGACTGCTAAAAAATTTGTATCCCTACATTTGTGTGAAGCTCCTGGTGCATTTATAACATCATTGAATCACTACCTGAAATTGAATTATCCCGAGATTGAAGTAAGTTTTGTTCAAGGACTATTATGAAAGTAGTTATAATAACATTTCTATTTTTTAAAATGATTTAAGAATTACTTTTGCAATATAATTATCATATAAAGCTTTTACGGAATACACATGACGAGGCTTCAAATTGTAAATTTGACATTTATTTTTTCAAGTCAAAGTGTATAGATGTGTTTAACAATACATTCAATTTTGAAAATGAAGTAAAAAATAATATATGATGTCATCAATGAATTTGTTTTTATTAACTAATAGACTGTATTCACCAAAACGCCCATCCAATAGGACAACAGTATTCTCTAATTAGAAATAAACTCCCTTTCTCCAGTTACAATCATATGTTTTATCAACATGCAGTTTAGGTATAAATATTATTAAATCATATTATTAAATATGTAAAATACGATATTTTTAGTTATAATAAATATTTAATTTCTTAATAATAATAATAAACTCTAAACAAATGAATATGATTGTGGTTTATGTAGAAAATGTGCATAAATAATAAATAGTGTAAAGAAATTAAAATATATTTTTTTTTTTTCATTAAATATCTAAATGTATTAAAGTGTCTATTTTTTTTTCTAATTTGTTAGTAATCTAATCTATAATTCTTTTACAGTGGAAATGGGTTGCAAACACACTAAACCCATATTATGAGGGCAACTCTCCATCAAACATGATCAGTGATGATCGCTTCATGTTTCACACGCTGGACAACTGGGATTTTGGTGTAGATAACACTGGCAACCTCATGGACTGGGACAACTCACAAGCGACCATCAAGAAGGCAGTATCATTGGGGAATGTTAGTGTTTTGGAATTATATTTCTCCCTTCAGTGAGTGCTAACCCTAGTATTGTCTTTGTTGTATCAAAACAAAGATTTCAGCCTTTTAGCAATTTAAAATTGACCTGGGCCATAAATTGTTTTTTTTTTTTTACTTATTTGTGTCTATGCAATAACTAAGCTATGATAAATTTATCTATATAACTTGAGTGCAATAAAGAATTTCCACTGTTTTTCAGTTCAGAATAATGGTCTGAATTCACTGTTTCAGTTTTTGCTAACCTGTGCCTTATACCCTGTATAAATGACTGATATAAATATTTATATTAATAACAGTTCTGTTTTATATTTATTATATGTTAAAATAAGATATAAAAATCACCCTGTCATGATGTTTATCTCTGGAATCATTTAATTCTATTTTTTTTATAATTGTGTATTTTTAACTCCTATTTGAGAGATAGGTTTTTTACAATATTTTAATTAGTCAAAAACTATCCTTAGTTTTTGTCAATTTAAAAAGATTTTTTTTATGCAACTTAGAATAGCAAACAAGCTGATGGCCCACCTGATAGAAAGTGGTAAAAGTCGCCTATAAACATGAACAATACTATGGACAGAACAGAGTATACTGTTTCACCCATGATATTACCCATGTTTTTTTTTTTTTTTTTTTATACAACTTAGAATGGCAAACAATCTGACGGCCCACCTGATGGAAAGTGGTAACCGTCGCCTATAGACAAGAGCAGTACCATGGACATAATAGAGTATACTGTTTCGCCCATGATACCCCCATGTGTTGCCATTCTTGAGGATTCAGGTGTTATTCCTCGTTACCCTGTAAATTCCATATGCCACCTTTTAAACCGAAACACAGCCATGCAAACACAACTGCTTCACAGTAGAAACACGAATGGGACAGAGGTGCCCAAGCAACGACTTTTGTACAAAGTCTCCCTCTGTTAAGATTGTACATATTAAATAAATAATGTCCTGTTACAGGTATTGTTGGTGACAGCTGATGGCTCAATCGACTGCATGCAGCGACCCGATGCTCAGGAAGAGGTGACATCACCCTTACACTACTGTGAAATCATCACTGCCTTGCAGGCACTCAGTTCAGGTACTTATTTTATATCATATTTTTAAATAATATTAAATTTAATTTTTAGCATTCATAAATAACCTTTTCTAATGTATTTATGGTGCAGTTTGATTGGATATTAAAAACAAAAGAATGTGTAGCCTAAGATCCCACTAAATCACTGCTAAATTCTGCAAGTATAAAACTTTTTAATGAGACTTTAAATGAATGTGGGGCGAAAGTATAATGGTTGCTTGTTCTCAATTAATCACAACCTAGGGTTGCCATGTCAAATTAATTAAAAATAGGTGAAAATTTTGGCATATTTGGTTAACTCGCTATGTTTTTTTAATAAGATTCACATCACACAGGAACTTCTTTTATTCCCATCCCGGCATAGAATAGGCCACCCATTTCTTTCTCGCGACTGTCGTAAGAGGCGACTAAAGGAGGGCGAGGGATGGACAGCAGCAACCCTCTGAAAACATCTCTAAAGCCTAACTGGTTGCTAATCTGTCTGCCAAACGGGGCAAATACTGGCAAAACCCCCCAACGGGGAGGTTTATGTTCAGTAATAGACAATTATAATTCAATAGCACATAACTATTACTCTCCCCAATGAGGTAAACCATTTATAGAGACCTTGAAATGATTAGCATCTAATGTTGGTCCTTTATGTATATTGATCATATTTATTTATTTTTTCAGGTGGCACATTTATATTCAAACTTTTCACTTTATTTGAACACTCTACTGTGAATCTCCTTTACCTTATCAATCATTTGTTTGAAGAAGTCAATATTTACAAGCCAGTAACATCGCGACAGGGGAACTCTGAAGTCTATGCTGTATGCATCAACTACAAAGGAAGTGCCTATTTAGAGAAATTCATATCGATCTTGAGGACTGCTTACGGAACAGAAAAATATAGTAGTATGGCCTTGTTCCCACTAGAAGAGATTCCTGATAGCTATTTAAAGCAGGTTCATGAATGTGCCCACTATTTCTGTGTACTGCAATGTCAGGTCATCAATAACAATCTGCAGGCATATCTGATGCAGAATAATATCTCCTTACACAGAGACATGAAGAGAGTCCGCGCACTTGTCGCCACAGAGTTCATTTGGCGGTACGGAGTGAAACCTTTGGATGCAGTACACGAAATATTAAAAGGTGCACTTCACGAAGAGTGCAAAACCAACATGAATCCGAGATACCATCGTGGCTCATACACAGAACGACAGCTTTATACCAAGATGTCCATAAAGGAGAAGTCAAAAACTATAAACTCACTACTGCAAGCTGAAATAATGTCAAATCCCTCAATTATAATAAACGATCCTGTGAAATGGTCACAGAGTTGTAATGAAGAGACAAGGTTAAAACTGGTGTTTACATATGGCCGTCCTTTGCAGAAGATAAATAGCTCCAAGTTCATATTTGTGCCTATTTTCAGATTATATCAGCAGATCTTAGCTGAGGATGAGTTTAAAGAGATCCTATTCAGCAAGGACTTCAAGGAATATAAAAATAATCACAAAGATTTGGGTATAGAAATAGACAAGGTGTTGGACTTACCAGAGTTCGATTATTCAGAGAGTTACAGTGTATATGAAAAGAATTGTTTTTTCAGACTTCATAATGCACTGAAAGAACTGTCTCTGGGCCAGACTTTGTTGATAAAGAATCTAAATACACTTACACATTTCAATGTAAGTTTTTTATTCATTGTGTCAAAGAGTTTTGAAAAGACTGGTTTTATGCCTTCTGGTATTATTTTGTGTACTTTGATGAATAAACATGCTATGACCTATTTGGATGTTATAGAGAATGAATGTGTGAAATTGCAAAATGAAGACGCAAGGGATTTATTAAATTCATTACCAGTGCAGACAACAAATGTGGGGGTGTTCTTTGATAATATTGTATTGTACAACAACACTTTTTACCGGAACAAGTGTACAGAATATTTGTATACTATAGAACGAAGCCTATAATTATATAACGTCATAGCATAAGAAGTCGATACGTATTTTACTATTTGGTAGATACATTTAAAAAAGATATATTCATAATATTTTTATAATGTTATTCATCGTTGTTGTCATGCTATTACTGTGAATCTAATTTTATGGTAATAAAATTCCTGAATGTTGTACTGTCATATATTATTGTAAATAATAATACTTGACTTATTTAAGCTATTTTCTAAGTGTAATGTTGTCCTGAAAACTAAAATCCAAAATTAAAATTAGACAAATAAAAATGTTTGACGATGGGCAAATTTTGAATGTCCTACTAAATCTCTTTTATTTAACTCCTTTTCATACCGTACAACCCTCATCACTACATAGTATAAAACAAAGTCGCTTCCCGCTGTCTGGCTACGCAACAGATTTTGATGCAGTTTTTTTTTAATAAAGCTATTCAAGAGGAAGGTAAAAATTATACTATAATACATATATGTATAACACATGTATACATGTATTAAATAGTAAAGAAAAACTGATAATTTTAGAGGTTTCTAATATGATGTAAATACATTTTTTTAAGCTTACATTGTAAATGTTGGTTGAACCCTACGAGGTAGATCAAAACAATATATTACAGTATTACATACCTTAAGAAGGTCTACAAAAACGTCCGCAATTTTATATGTCTATCTCTCAGGGATTACATATTATATCTAATTTATTATTTAAAAAAATGGGCAATTATAAACTTGTAATTGGAAAGTTATTTACACATACGGTAATCCATACCGTACCTTATAATTTTAAATACGTTAGTTGGCTTTAGCATTTCATGAAGATTATTTTTTCTCTTTATCTACATCATGCAAACTAACAATACCTTAGGAGACATAACAAAATCACAATAAAGGGCAACGAAATTAATTTCGTATTACCGTTATTCCACCAGGACGCGCCGTCCGAGCCGTGGGGTAGGGGGAGAGGGTGAGGCGGTTAATGGAATGGTAAACTCTCCTGCGCTAACGGTATACGCTGGGGTGGGCACCAGTGCGGTATGATAGGTGACAATGAAAAGGCAGGTTATTTAGCTTAGTGAATCCATTACGATTTACTTGGAAAAGAACACGATAGTTTCCAGGGAGAACCGCGAGGATCAGTGAAAATGGTATGGTAACCCCGCCTGCGCTAACGGGATACGCTGGTGGACCACCAGTGAAGGGTGATAGAAGAGAATGAAAACAAGTCAGTTAGCCCATCATGATGAATTCATCAGGAATTAATCATGATAGTTTCGAGGGAAAACCGCGAGGAGGTCGACCTGGTTGGGTATATTGCTAGCAATGGGGTTCTCAGTCTCCATTACTAACAATCCCTTTCCCCCCAAAAGGATATATTATCATACTCCTTTTTTATGATGAACATATCTCGCTCACGTGGATCAAGTCGCGGGTAAAAGTTTGTAGTTATATATTTTAGCTCAATCTGGAACTGTCGCTTTCTTTTCTTCAACACAATACATATGACCTCAATAGTTTTGTAAATCATAATTAAAATTTATTGTCACCAGCGTAATTTAGTGGCTCAGGTGTGACTTACATAACGAGCATTACAATCCATTGTTCATGGTGCTTTAGATAAGAGGTCGTGGCCCTCTATGGCTCGATAACAATTAATATCCAATAACAGCATGCATATTTGCACATGTGCAGTGGAGTTGAATGTGCGAATAATTATGGTAATGCACTTTTGTACCGGGAACCGCGAGGAGGTCGACCTGATAGGGTGTATTGCTAACAATGGGGCTACTAATCCCCATTTTTAACAATCATTATTCCCCCTAGGGTGAAGGGTTAGGAAAGTTTAGAAAAAGTATTGGTGTCGAGGAAAGATAATTGATTTTTTGTTTGTTATAATCTAACGCAAAAACTACTCAATCAATTTTACCGAGAGTTAAATCTTCTTGGAGTAATATAGGCTATTTTATATTTTCTGTAAAGAACCCGTGCGAAGCCGGGTGGGTTGCTAGTATAAATATAAGAAGATATTTTTAAAGATTTTGGACAGCATTTCCACTGCACTGCAACCATATAAGTTATTATTTTGATTTTATTTTTATATGTTAGTTCTTTTTTTTTTAATATATATCACAGTCATGTTCGTATGAATTATCTTTATCGGTTTATAAGTTCCAAAGGTATTATTTTTTATCCACAACTTATTGCGAGTGGAACGTATTGATCTATTACTAGGTACAAATTGGTTTGCCTATTTAGGGCTTGAATTAAGTAGATAAAAGGGTAAAGGTGAAGCATTTCTGTACCTACCTTAAAAGTATCAATAAATGGCTGCAGCTCTACAAAGATAATTGTCAAGATCGTCTACAAAGTTTACGAAATTAATATTCAATGTAAACAATTTGAGCAAGCCTACTCTGTGCAAGATAATTGACATTGACAAACATGTAGTTTGTGTTCTGCTTGTGCTCAAACAAAATTTTAATGAAAATAGTTTTCCTTGCAACGTTCTCTTAAATTTACGGCGAATTAAAGTAAATGTGAGCGTATTTAATTATAAAAGAAGTGCAAGGTGTAATATTACACCATGGATATTAATGAAGGTATCTTTTATAAAGCAATATAAAATTTATAACCTAATAATTTTGGCGGTACATTTACTAATTGTAAATCTATCGTTTTATCTTCTATTTTATTAAATATCGTTATCTTATTCGTTTATAATCATTGCTTTTATTGTAATATAAATACAATTTCAATAAAAAGTTTGATATGGTCGAAAAGTTTGAATATGTATTCTATCTATAGTGAGGTTATATCAACAAATCGGTAAGACAAAATAACGCTGATGTTGATATGGCCAGCTTCTTGCCCACTCTACCAGTCGGTAGCGATCTTTAAGAAATTTCTATATTTATAAATGTTGTTATATGTATTTTTTATCTTTATATAAATAAAACAAAATTTTCATTGACTTGATTAAAGTCACTAATTGAATTATGCATTTTTAGGTACAACAACCGATGACTTGTGGACGCCGTACAAAGAGCTGGTAGCAGTGGTGGAGGGCTACCTGGCTCATGAGAGCAGAGGAGCTCCATATGCAGTGCACACATTTGAGTCCGTATTACGGAGGCACAAACAAACATTCCTGTCTCTGTTTAAGAATCCTGTAAGTTCCCATTTACTTTATCAGGATTATTTTTTTAATAATACACCTTGTTTCAATTTTGATCCATATTTATTTAATTCATTAACGAAAATGTACATCTGTGGACTTAATGCTATAAAGCATCTCTCTCCCAGTCAACCATAGGGAAGTGTCAGAATATTGAATGCGGTACTAGTAATTATTGCTATACATACTAAAATTACATATATAAACGAATAAATATATATGAATAACAAATATACTTTAATTCAAATAAAACTGGAATTTATATATTATGACAAATAAAAATTTTATAAATTATTTTTGAATGTGCATAATGTGGAAAGTATAGGTTGATAAGTAGGTTATATAGTGTAGAACACAGTCATGAGTTGACTGTGTTCTACACTACACAATTACATTACATAAAAATACATTAACAATTTGAATGATTTCTTTGCTCTTTGACATTTTTTTTTTTTATATTGATGTTATAAATAATTTAATTAATATATAAGATGATCATTAATATATTCTAATGGTGACCATGAGTTAGTTTGTGACTGTTGATTGATGTGATTTATTTTATTTTCAACTTTATTGACGATTTTATTGTATGGTTGTAAGATAATTAATGGTATGTAATTAATTGTATTGTATGCCCGATGTATGGGTAGGCTGTATTTTCCTTTAAGATGTTAATAACATCTTACGAAAAATTGTAATGTACAGCTCACAATAAATATTCTATTCTATTCTATTGTTTTCTATTAGTCCTAGTGGCTTCTATTGCTTTTATTCAGAACCATCATATACATTTTTCATAAACATCATATAGACATTGTTTAAGCAATTTCATTCTAATAATAACATATGGGTATTTTAATATTACAAGATACTGTCTAATTATTATTGTTATGTATTTATTAGAGATGTCTAATGACAGTTGATATTTGGTGTAATGAGGGTAAAAGATAAATAAATCAGTTTTGTTTATAATCTCAACTTGGATGTATTCTTTATTGGCGACGAAGTAAATAAAAATTATTTATTGTGAAAATGGCAGCAACTGTTTCAAATATTGTGTTTCCTGGACAATTCAACCCAAAGACTGATAAGTGGTGTGATTATAAGGAACAGTTAATGTGCGCGCTCGACGCGGCGGGCGTCGGTGAGGATAACCTCAATAGGGGCCGATCACTGTTCCTTTCTCAATGTGGAAAAGACACTTTTGCATTAATTGCATCGCTTTTAGTTCCAAAAAGGCCTACAGAAGTACCTTTAGTGGAAATTTTGAGGGTTCTAGATAGGTTTTTTGAACCAGAAGTTAACGAAATTCTACAGGCGGGAAAATTTCACAAACGACAACAGTTACAGGGAGAAAGTGTACAGGACTATGTGGCGGCCATCAGCCAGCTCGGAGCTAAGTGCAATTTTATAGACTTGGAACGCCAGTTGAGAGACCGACTAGTGCTGGGGGTGCGGGATGATCGCTTACGACGCGACTTATTGAAAAAGAAGAAAATAACTTATGAAGTTGCACTACAAACATGTCTGGACTATCAAGTGACATTCCCTGATTTGTACCCTGCCAGTACGTCTAGCGAATCAAAGCAAACTCCGTTAAACGTCACCGATTGTGAACCTATGGACATTGGCATTGTAAAATCTAATGAATGTCGACGGTGTACACGCGGTCATAAGTCAGGCGAACGTTGTCCATTTTGGAAAGCAAAATGTTTCTATTGTAAGAAGTTTGGACACATCGCGGCGGCATGTGATAAAAAACTGGGCCGCATGCACCAGGTTAACGAGACGGGGGAATGTAGCAGAAGTGGTGATACGGCAGTAGAGGAAATGATGGGGATCTATGTTTGTACTGATAATTATACACCACCAATAACGGCAGAGGTCATAATAGACGGTGTAAAATTATTAATGGAAGTAGACTCGGGGGCATCACGGACCATTATGTCGGAGGAGACATATAAGAAGCTCTGGTCGACACCTCCACCGTTAAGAGCCACTACTTTGAAGTTGGTGACGTGGACTAGAGACCCAATAAAAGTGTTGGGAGTAGCAAATGTGCGGGTTATATTAGCGAACAAGGAAGCACAGTGTGAACTTGTAGTAGTGTCAGGAAATGGTCCAAATCTGTTAGGCAGGAATTGGTTCCAAACACTAGGACTTCAAGTGTCTGGTTTGTGCTGGTCGGAAGAGGATATAATACTTTATAAAAGGGAATTTCCTGAATTATTTAAAGAAGGATTGGGGGAGTACAAGGGCCCTAAAGTATCGTTACACTTACGGAAAGACGCCACGCCGCGTTTCTTAAAGGCTCGCGCGGTACCATACCCACTCAAACAGAAAGTGATTGAAGAACTGAATAAGATGGTAATAGAGGGCGTGCTAACACCTATTCGATATTCGAAGTGGGCAACACCATTGACACCAGTGATGAAAGATGACGGGACAATACGGATGTGTGGCGATTATCGTGTGACAGTAAACACCGCGATAGATACAGACACGTACCCCCTTCCAACAGCAAATGAAGCGTTTGTAAGGTTGAGTGGGGGTAGAATATTCAGTAAATTAGATTTAAAGCAAGCGTATACACAGCTAAAAGTTGATGATGCGACTGCAATGCTGTTAACACTCAACACTCCAATTGGTTTAATGAGAATGAACCGTTTACCGTTCGGTGTCAATGCGGCGCCAGCTGTTTTTCAACGCCTGATGTCAACGGCGCTTGCAGGTATGGAGGGCGTCGCCTGTTTATTGGACGATGTGGCGGTAACGGGATCCACCATTGAAGAACACAATCACAGACTTAGAGAAGTGCTAAGTAAATTGCAAGAAATGGGATTTCGATTGAATGAAAAAAAGTGTGTTTTTGCGGCGAACAGCATTACGTTCTTAGGCCACATGATTGATGCGGAAGGCCTCCACCCGGCACCTACGAAGGTAAAGGAAATTCAAGAAAAACCGGCTCCAACTAACAAAGAGACGTTGCGAGCCTTTTTGGGCTTATACAATTTCTATGAGAAATTTTTACCTGATAAGAGCACTATATTAGAGCCATTATATAGACTATTAGAATCAAAGAGACCCTGGAGCTGGGGAGAGAAAGAACAGAAAGCTTTCAATGAGGCAAAACGTTTATTGTCATCGGATCTCACATTGGTGGGATATGATTTACAAAAAGAATTGCTTCTCATCTGTGATTCTTCAGAATATGGAGTAGGAGCGATTATTGCCCATGTGATGAAAGACGGATCTGAAAGACCTGTAATGATGGCCTCGCGCACATTCAAGCTCATGAGAGACGATACGGGCAAATTGATAAGGAGGCACTAGCAATTATATTTGGATTGACCAAATTTCACGAATTTTTAGCAGGTCGTAAATTTTGTATAGTTACAGATCACAAGCCACTGGTAGGGGTTCCTCTTTATAATATTCCTGCAAAGCCTATACCTGAACAGATTTCGCCTAGAATGTTACGTTGGTCACTTAAACTCGCTTGCTATGACTATAAACTAAAGTACAGACCTGGGAAACTAATTGGCAACGCGGATGCTTTAAGCAGATGGACCGCTACGGATACATCCAGTGTAAAGAAGGAAGTGTCTGGTGATCTGCTTCTGTTAGAAGAGCAGTTGAGCGGGTGGCAGCTAAATGCTGGCAAAATTGCTGAAGAAACTAAAAAGGATATGGTGCTGCAAAAAGTAATGTTCCATGTTTTACACGGCTGGCCACGCAAGAATACAGATTCAAGTTTACAAGCTTATTGGTCAAGAAGAGAAGCTCTTTCACATAATAATGACTGTTTATTGTGGTGTAACAGAGTAATAATACCGGCATCCTTGCAGGAAAAGGTTTTGAAGTTGTTACATGCTCCACACGCGGGCATGGTCCAGACGAAAGCGTATGCAAGAGGCTATGTATGGTGGGTAGACATGGATCGTCAAATTGAGAATATTGTAGCCGCCTGCCAACAGTGCCAATTAGTAAGAAATAAACCACCAAAGGACCCTCAATCTTGGATTGTTTCAGAGAAACCCTGGAGTCGTGTACATGTGGACTTTGCTGGACCCTTCCAGGGGAAAACATTTTTAGTTCTAGTAGATAGCTATAGCAAATGGTTTGAAGCCGAAATAGTACCAACGATGAATAGCGGGACAGTGATAACGGTGCTAAGGAAAATTTTTACTTCACAAGGACTGCCTGACGTACTAGTTTCAGATAATGGACGCGCATTTACCTCGGAAGAATTCAATAATTTCTTAAAAAAGAATGGAATTAAACATTTGTATTCCCCACCTTACCACCCAGAAACGAATGGGCAGATAGAACGTGCAATTCAAACATTTAAAAATAAAATGAAGAAACTTGAAAGCCAGAATATACAATGGCAACAAAAATTGTGTAAAGTTTTATATTATTTAAGGACAGTTCCTAATAGTTCCACTAACAAAACGCCAGCGGAACTACTCAATGGGCGGAGATATAGAACGGCAGTGTCAGTCTTACACCCTGATTCGATGCCTAGCCGTACTGACCAGCAACGTGAAGTGGCGGCACAGCACCGGCCCACCCGTACCTTTGCAGTGAATCAACCAGTACTGATACACATGTACGGGCCAGGAGAAAAGTGGCGCAGAGCCACCGTGGAAACAATAGAGGGGCCAACGACTTACAGGGTGAAAACGGAAGATGGAGAGTTACATCGCCGCCATACTGACCAAATCTTGGCCAGACCATCAGACATGACATGTCGCCCATCTGAGTTAGACAGTCAACTCATGAAGGATTCAGATTCAGAATTGACACCGGATTCCCCCATATTGATTCCACCGCCTGATTTATGGCCAGATATTATAGGAATACCTAATTAGCATTTCATTATTGTGATTGTCAATTTTAAAATATTATTATGTATCTATTGATTTGTAAGATAGAATCATTGCTTTGTAAACCAATCAATATGAGAGAAAGGTATGTTATGTATTTATTAGAGATGTCTAATGACAGTTGATATTTGGTGTAATGAGGGTAAAAGATAAATAAATCAGTTTTGCTTATAATCTCAACTTGGATGTATTCTTTAATTATTATACCAGCTGTATCCCACGGCTTCAACTGCGTGAATCGGTACATAAAATATCCTATGCACTAGTTAGGATATACCTTACTTATGTACCAAATTATATTCAAATCCATTCAATAATTTTTATGTAAAAAAGTAACAAACATTTATGCATTCATGCTTATAATTTTATATGTTAATGGTATATAAAATGTCTATAGGGGAGGCCTATGTTCAGCAATGAATGGATAATAGCCGAGATGATGATAATGAATAAAATATATAATTGTATATTTTAGTTAAAAACTAAATATGTATTTCAGGCAAAAAATCCAGCAAGTAGGGATGAAATAAGAAGAGGTATTACGGAGGGTGTTAACTTGCCCAGTTTAGGGCGAACTTTACTCTCGAAAGAGTTAGTGGATGAAGCTATAATTATATCAGGTAAAAATATAAATTATTTATTTATTTATATAGGAAAACCATGGCTACACTGGTATATTTTGAAATAGTCTAGGACAAACTACTGGTTGCTCAAGGATGACATGCAAAATCATGAAGCATTCCACTTTTTTAAGGGGGAATTTATTATTATAATTTTTTTTATACAACTTGTAATGGCAAACAAGCTGACGGCCCGCCTGATGGAAAATGGTAACTGTCGCCTATAGACATGAGCAGTACAATGAACATAACAGAGTATACTGTTTCGCCCATGATACCCCCCCATGCGTTGCCATTCCTGAGGACTCAGATGTTATTCCTCTGTACCCTGTAAATTCACGCCATATCTCACCCAGTGTGGCAACTACTGGGAAAACCCTCCCTATAGTATAGACTATGGTCAGCAGTAGACAGTTAACATTTAACTAACTAAGTTTTTAAGACACCAAGAGGTGACAAACAAACTTACTTTTTATGTGTTTATTTAAGAATAGCGGCCTGTCCTGGCTTCACACTGATGGACATTTTTACAACATTTTAAAAAGTGGTTATTGTGACATAACGTTAATAGTTGGACATATAGTATCGCGAAGTTTTTTGTAGTTATTGATATTTTCTTCAATATTGTAGAACATACTTTTGTTCTATCAATAATAGTTTCTGCAGCACACGCGACGAAAGATGTTTTATAGCATTTTTTTTCACCTTGACTTACGTTACTAAAGTTTTAGTATGGATCCCTAATCTTTTCTAGCAATAAATATTGCCTATGTTACTCAGGGTGAATGTAGTTTTCTAACGGTGAAAGAATTTTTGAAATTGGCAAAGTAGTTTTTGAGTTTATTCTTTACATACATACATACACATAAAAATACAAATCTTTCCTCTTTATAATATTAGTGCAGACAACTTGGGTTCATTTTTGTTAGTAAGTGTACTCAGGGCCGTGCCTGGGTATATGGCCGCCTGCGTGCCAGTCTGTATGGCCGCCCCCAGGATAACATTAAAAAAAAACTACTTTAATTTTTAATGTTTATTATTATACACAGGGCATCAAACCGGGAAAAAAATCAGTTTTTGGTTAACCGAAATCGAGAACGAAAAAAAATATTTCAGTTTTTTTTTCGTTCTCGATTCATCGAATCTCGAAAAATAATCAGTTTTTATACATTTCTTATTTCTGAGAAACTCTTTTTAGATAGATTAGATTAGAGAAACTGTTTTTACTTCGTATCTTAATGAAAACAAACCGATTGTATTTTTGCCCAGTAAACAACTTGTAACGATTTGGCCGCCTCTTAATTTCGGCCGCCTGCGTGCGGTGCACGCAATGAACGCCCGTCAGGCACGGCCCTGAGTGTACTTAAAAACTATGTTAATACTTAATTGTTAATAATGTTCTAGTCCTCTCAGCAAGCATTCTCAAGAGAGGACTATCTTATTTATTTACAAACATGTTCAGGATACTGTCGCCATTCCCGCGTATTCTATGTAAGAATGAAGCTGTCTTTTTAAACCAGACTGCGTCAAAACCATCCATACGAGCTTCGGCAAACATCGCTGAGGCGCTACAGAGTTGGAGGCGCAACAGCAACCTGACATTATTATTAAATTGCGTATGCAAGGCTTTGTAGGCCCCACAGTGGATCCACAGACTTTTCCATTCATAACATGATTAAGGTTCCAGATGTTTTGCTGATGTGTGGTTCTTTATATTGTAAAATATCCTTGTTGGAGAATTGGAGAAACTGTTACTCACCACACAATTATTATGTTTACAGATATGTACAATGTGAACGAATACCTAGCTCTCGAGTTGTTACACACCGCGCAGCGGCAGTCGCCGCGTCACCCGGGCCTTCCGCGGGGGCTCGTTGCCATATTGCTCCTGTACGATGGCCGCCAGGCGCTGGTGCGGGCGTTGAAAGAACTGGTCATGGCCAGGGATGGTGTTTGTTGGTAAGGAATTAGTCTGGAATAAAGTAATTATAAAAAAATTTATGTAATAAAATACATAGATTTTATAATTTTACTAGCTTATCTGACTTACCATAGACAAAACATTCAGGGATTGGTTTTCTACCATTTTACATACAGATTTATAGACAGAGATTGAGAGCAATTAATGGATTGGTCTCAATATAACAAAAAAATTTAAACCTGACATCCAAATAATATATTGTTTTATTGTTCTACAAGGAATAGAACCTTTTTACAAGGAATAGATTTTTTTTATCTGTGCATCTGTGCCAATGCACAGATAAAAAAAATGTAACTGACCTGTTAAACATTTTTTGTGTCTTACCGCCATCTATTAGTTTTATTTTTTCTCATCATCTTTTAAATTGGAGCAAATAATACATACACATTTGCAAAAGTCATAAGTTACTTGAAATATAGTTTCATAAATTTGTGTTGATGGACTTTGCGACATGGTATTTTTATATTTAAGATTATTGACTAACATAATAGTACAGATAACATATTTAATAACAATTTATTGTTTTGTGGCCTCGATGTTCAATGAGAAAGACTTTACAAGTATTATATATTATATTATACCAGAGAGAGACTTTGTATAAAAGTTGTTTGCATTGGCACCTCTATCCCATTCGTATTTCTACCGTGAAGTAGTCATGTTTGCATGGTTGTGTTTCGGTTTAAAGGGTGGGATATGGCAATGAATTTACAGGGTACAGAGGAATAATACTGGAGTCGTCAGGAATAGCAACGCATGGGGGGTATCATGGGCGAAATGGTTACCATTTTCTATCAGGTGGGCCGTCAACTTATTTGCCATTCTAAGTTGAATAAAAAAAAATTTGTACTTGTCTACATGAAGGTGTATAAGCGCTCGCGAGGAGATAGTGAGCTACGTGTCCCGGTACGTGGACGTGCTGATGGGCGACGGGCTGGCGGCCAGCGTGCTGGACGCGCTGCGCCGCTACTCGCTGGACGGCGAGCTGCAGCTGCTGCAGGCCAACCGCGCGCTGCCGCCGCACACCTACCACGCCAGGCTCGTCGCCACCATCAATAACACCAGGTACAAACTCACACTTGATACTCCATATTTCTGATGAAGGACTAGAGTGTAAAAAAGCCTTGTCTGCTTATATCGCCATATAATAATAATAAAATAAATAAGTCTATATTCAAGTATTACAAAATAATCATTATTAGAATTATATTATTAATATTTATTTATTTATTTGTTATAAGTTACAATTAATATATATTTTATTTATTATGCATATTATTAACTTAAATTGATTTTATCTGTTTACCACTTGGCATAGGTTTTCTCCAACTTCTTCCACACTTCTCTATCCGGAATGATCTTACCTTTCCTTCTATTTTCTCTTAATCATCTCTCCATCTTTTGTTCTGTCTACCTCTACCTCTTTTATCAGTTCTTGGTTGCTAAATGTCTCTTACTCCATTTATTTATGCCATAAAATGTGTGCTTGGTCCATCTCTATTTTAATTTTCTGGTATTTTCACATACATCTGTATATTTTTATTATTTTTCTAAAGTCTGTAATTCTTTGTCTCTCCTTCTAAGAGCAATCATCGTCTTCATAGTATGCTACTAATTTTTTTTTTTTACTTTGCAAGAGTCTAACAAGCATAAGTTGTGATTGTCAGTGATTGTTTTAATTAATATGTTTCTTTATAGAAAACTGCTAGCCGGTGTTATCTTCGCAGCGTCGGCGCAGCGCGGTCTCAGCAGAGATATCCTACTACGGCTACTTTCAGAGGTATTTTTTTATACTGCTTCAGTGGATGATAGGAAATTATTCATATATGAGTTTTATGCGCGTTGTAAATTTTTCGAAATCTAAAAGTGATCTGTTTTTCAGCAAACAACATCTCCATCTTATGGTCCGACGGGTGCATTGGACGAGGTGTCTTTAGCTCTGCAGATGGCACTGCTATATGCATTGGATTTATCAGTATTACATGCGTATGTACCATAGACATCCCAACAATTGTTATAAAGAGTGAAGCATCATAGTTTTAAGCTTTAATTTCTACAAATTTAATTATTTGACAGACGAGAAGACGGCGAGGAATTGGCAAAAAAACTGCCTCTTATACAAGATCCGGATTTAATCTCGGTGTTGATTGATGAATTACTACCAGCACAGGCGCCGCAGACTGGGCAGGGAGGACAGGTATTGTTATATGCATAATTTTGTGAATTATTTAAATTTAAAATAATGAGTGTGTTGGTACTAAATTAATTGATGGTAGTACAGTAGGTCATAAATATTAGTAGTAGGTAGTCATGGTAGCGATCGTCAGGTGAATGTGCCTTTAAAATATCCATCTTCGTATTGCCAGTCCGCCGTGGAAGGCGCTGGTAGCGGCGGCGGCGCCCGCGCACTGTGCCAGCTGTCTCTGGGGCTGGCGCTGGCGGCGCTGCGGCGCGGACCGCACTCGCTGCAGCGGCGGCCCGACCTGCTCGACCGGGGCGATGACCTCGTCGACGCGGCCGTCGACGGGAAGGTAACGTTGCACCGCACACACTCTACACATATCTACACTGTACATCACTACACTGCATGTCATATACACCACCACATGCACACCTTCACATCATACACACACGACATCCCACCACTATACATATACGTACCACTACATACTGCCATTAAAATACGATACTCATATTTGTTACATGTAATACATTCTATTGCCAAATTAATAGTTGTAATTATTGCAGGTATTCGAGTACCTGGACGAAGCAATACTATCAACAGACTTCGTATGCAAAGAGGAGTATTACCAGCGGCGAATACACACGCTCATCACTGACTTCATAGTGTTGATGCACTCCAAACTCATGGAGATGAGAGTCAAGTGAGCACTTGGTTTACATTGCCCTTTTCATATATATTATAGTATTGTGTGAATTGGTGTGTGTGTAATGATGTATGTGTGTACGCAGGGCGGACGAGGCGGCGCGCGCGGCGCAGGCGTACGCGGCGGAGGGGCTGGCGCCGCCGCGCGCTTCGCCGCCGCGCACGCGCCTGCACGCGCTGCTGCGCTGCGTGGAGCGCCTGTACGCCGCCGACCCGCTGCGCCTGCGCATGGACTACTGGCGCGCGTGTGCCGCGCCGGCCGCGTCCGCCGCGCCCGCCGCGGTGCAGGCGCGCGGCGGCCGCGCGGCCTCGCTCTACAAGTTCGTGCGGCTGGCGGGCGAGCTGGTGTCGGCGCGGCTGCTGCCCGCCTACCTGCGCGCGCTGGCCGCGCTGGCGGCGCCGCGCCACACCTGGGCGCTGCTGGCGCGCCGCGACGGGCTCTCCGCGCACCACCTGCTGGCCGCGCTCGGCCGCTACCACACGTCGGTACCGCCCGCCGCCTGCCTCCACACGCTTCTCCCTGGAAACCATCGTGATTCATTTTTGATAAATTCACGATGGGCCAACTGACCTGGTTCATCCTCACTTATCATCCGTCGCTGGTTCCCCGCCATTGTATACCGATAGCGCAGGCGGGGTTACTATTCCATTATCATTCATTAAAAAAAAACCCAGTCCAGTATGTACTGACCTTATTTCATTCTGAAATAATCTGTTCTTGACCCGTACAATATCTGCAGTCAGATTCTATGTAAAAATTCTTCAGCAAGTAAGTTGTGGAAAAAGATTCTTTCAGAATTTTAAGCCCATTTTCACGTTTTTGCACTTACAGCAATCTACGCGCGGACCCCGCCCCCTTCTCCGACCACTTGCATTCGTCGTCTCTGGGCGCGTCCGCTATCATCACGCCGGCCGCACGACCAGGGAAATTGCTGGTTCGACAAGAAGAGGTATTTACAGATACTAATTCATAGTTTTTTTTTAAATATACGTACTTCAATTTTCTTTTTATTTATAAATTTTTTTATTCACAAGGTGGAAGCGATGATTGCTGCTCTGAAATTAATAGCGGCAGTTGCGAGGGAAGATGAAGCCGCCTGTGCCAATATCTGTGAGAATTTGCAGTGGGATGCTGTTAATACCATGTTTGGTTAGTTATTTAATGTATATTATGGATAATTCAACACTGCTAGGTTTTTTTTTTCAAATTCGCCATCTATTGTCAAGTAGCTTTAGTGTTGGTAAAGCAGTGCTGAATAATTATTGGCTTAGTGTTGCTTAACAACGCCATCTATTGTCAAGTAGCTTTAGTGTTGGTAAAACAGTACCAAATTATTTTCCTAATGTTGTTTAACAACGCTATCTATTGTCAAGTAGCTTTAGTGTTCCTGTGTCGGTAAAGCAGCTAGTTGCGAGTCGATTCTGATACAGTATAATGAAAGTGGTATAATAAAAAAAAAATTATCGTATAAAAGTAAATGTAATCTCATGTGTGGCTAGGTCTGATCTGCTGCCACATCCCGCTGCAGCTGAAGGCGGAACTGTGCCTGACGTTGGCGGCGCTGGGCAGCACGCCTGCCACCGCCGGCCGCGTGTGGGCTGCGCTCGAGCACGCGCAGCTCGTCTCCGCCACCAAGGACAAGCGCGCCCTCTACGCCGAGCTGCAGGAGGTATATTATTCTCTACATCTTCTGAGTTGGATTTCGTGAGCACGACAAAACATTTATGACTAAACAGCGCAATGGTTGACGTGTCGCAGGTGGAGTGCCGCATCGAGGAGTACCCGCTGTCGCGCGCGTTCCTGTCGCTGCTGATCGCGCTGTGCGAGGCGGCGCCGCTGCCGCGCGCGCTGGGCGCCGGCGGCCGGGCGCCCGGCCTCGACCCCTACGTGCAGTACGCGCTCGAGCGGCTCGCGCTGCCCGCGCCGCACCGGCCGCACGCGCGCCCGCACGAGCGCTGCCAGGTACGCCGCCCCGCGCCCCCCCGCGCCCCCCCGCGCCCGCCTCCACCCTCCACACTACGTGCAGTACGCGCTCGAGCGGCTCGCGCCAATTTTTGATGGCTCGATTTCAGCCGCCCGCGCCGCACCGGCCGCACGCGCGCCCGCACGAGCGCTGCCAGGTACGCCGCCCCTCCGCCCCGCGCCCCCCCGCGCCCCCCTCCACCCTCCACACTACGTGCAGTACGCGCTCGAGCGGCTCGCGCTGCCCGCGCCGCACCGGCCGCACGCGCGCCCGCACGAGCGCTGCCAGGTACGCCGCCCCGCCGCCCCGCGCCCCCCCGCGCCCCCCTCCACCCTCCACACTACGTGCAGTACGCGCTCGAGCGGCTCGCGCTGCCCGCGCCGCACCGGCCGCACGCGCGCCCGCACGAGCGCTGCCAGGTACGCCGCCCCGCCGCCCCGCGCCCCCCCGCGCCCCCCTCCACCCTCCACACTACGTGCAGTACGCGCTCGAGCGGCTCGCGCCAATTTCCCATAGCCATAAAAACTGCATCCACTGACTCCCTGTAATACATTTCAGGTCCTCACTCCATCTGGTGAGGGGTCATCTTACACTGCGTTTACCTTGCGTTGGCATGACATTTACCATAATTTATTTGGTTGGCAGGTGTTATCGCTATGCTTTCGGCTGTTCGCGCTGTGGCTCGACCAGTACGAGCCGAGCGAGGCGGACTTCCCGCCGATGGGCCGCGAGCCGGACATGAATCCTCCGCCCGGGTTCCGTATACTGCTGCAGCTGCACACCAAATCGGAGCTGCTACGGCTGCTGCTCACGTCGCTGGACGAAGCCCAGCAGATGCTCGACAGGCAACCGATGCCAGGGAGGGTCAGTTATTTTTATTTTTCCACCCTTCTCATGCTGTTCTAATTTATGTTTAATATAAATGTTTTAACATTCTTTGGTTTTTTTACTATATAAGTAGAGTGTTATTTGTGTTTCTAATATTGTTAGTTTAATGTAATAAAAAATACCAATTTTTATGTCATAACTATAATTTTATGTCGTAAATATATTTCGTCTTCTTTCTCGTTCATAATAAAAGAAATAGTACATTACTGCAGCGGCCAGCAACTGAAGCATTGATGGACGAACGTGCAAATGTGGGCCGAGGCGTAGCCGAGGCCACAACTAGCCGTCCATCAACGCCTAGTTGTGGCCAAGGCTATTAGTACTTTTCTCAGACAATGCGCAGAAATCAAAAACATAATTTTAATTTTTAAGTTCAATGACGAATAACGAACAATAATGATTTTTCACGCGCCATAATGTTCCTTTGTTTTTTTTTTCAATAAACAGCTTTCTATTTGCAAGCTAGTTCGAAATTTAAATAAAACCTTGTATTAGTTACCTCTTTGGTACCCATGTTTTGAAGTAAAAGGTCATTCCATTTTTAAATTACAGGATAGATATGAGTTTACATAGTGATATATCTGGCCACAAAACACAACAGATATGGATTTTCATACAATTTTTGCCGGCCGCTGCCCGCATGTATCTGACTAGTACGGCAATTTTGATTTATCTTGAAGAAAATTGTCAAAATTATGCTCACATTTCCAAGCATGTTTGAGAAAAAGTAACTATTTTCTATGTCAGGAATGTCTAGTTAGTTTGCCATTTTCAGTTTTATGAAGAAAAAAAGCATATTAATTTATTTGTAAAAGGAAAACCTAGACTTATTTACATAGAAAAATAACTACAGGGGAACAACAATAAAGCCACTTATAGATTTTCACCAATAGAGGAAATATAAAAAAATTTACAGTGATTGCTTTAGATACCCAAAGAGGATATCCGTAGTATGTTTTACTAAGTCTATGGGATAATATGTTATAGTAATGGAATTGATGTGTACAATGTAGAGGAGCAGTTGTAGAGATTTGGAGTGTGTGGTGTGTGTGTCTGCAGGAGTACATGGAGCAGAGCCTGGTGAGCGTGCTGCAGCTGCTGCAGCGCGCGCTGGCGCTGGAGCGAGCGTTCGCCGCCGCCGCCGCCGCCGCCGGCCGCGCGCTCGCCATCGTCGGCCTCTCCAAGCTCATACTCGGTACGTGCGCCGCACTCCTTCCTTGAGGCGAACCACCCGTGTACCGCACGCGTACACGACTAGGGCCCAATTGATGTACGCTAACGTGAGCAAGCGAATGTAAAACATCCCATTTAAATACATATTTTCTTACAAATTTGTTTCGATTTCTGCTTCAAAATAAAATACCCTTATTTAACATATGCAAAGTAGCACAAATATAAAAATATATTAGAAAAATAACTAATTAGTAAATTAATTTTATTATGTCTTACTAATAATCTTTATTTTTTGAGATTCTGTATGTATTTATTATAAATACACTATTAGTCAAGTCTGAAATACCTTTAAAAAATATATGTCCGTTAATTTTAACACGATACGTGCTCGGTGATACAGAGCCAGAGGGCCCGGAGAACAGTGACCGGCTGGTGACGTGCTGCAAGGTGCTGGCGCACACGGCCACGCTGGGCACCGCCGCCGCCCGCGCGGTGGCGCTGCTATCGCGTGCGCTGCAGCCACCCGCCGCCGCACGCCACCTGCTGGCAGCCGTCACGCAACGCCACTCGCTCGCCGCACAAGTACGGTGTGTACTCTAACACGACACATGGCGCCACCTGCTGGCCGCCGTCACGCAGCGCCACTCGCTCGCTAGGCTTGTTCTTCATGATTATTTAGAATCCATCGTAATTAATTTGTCACAACGGCCCAACTGACCTTCGCTGGTGTCTCGCCAGCATGTACCAACAGCGCAGATGGGTTTATTCCATTACTGTTCATTAAGTATTTCTGTTATATTTTTTTTTTATTACTATCTAATAAATTAATAATAACAACAGGCATGGATTTGTGGAATGCTTGGAAGCCGAGGAGTGGGCCCAAGGCGAGGAGGGCGCGGCCATTCGCGAGGCGAAAGAGGGCGTGATTGCGCTGCTGCTGCAGGTGCTACCAACCGCACCGCCCAATTTCGCGCACTTCCTCCTCGGATACCAGCTTACAGAAGACGTAAGTTCTTTAAGTCAGCTCTGAAATGATTTTTTTTTAACAACTTAGAATGGCAAACAAGCTGACAACCCACCTGATGGAAAGTGGTAACCGTCGCCTATAGATATGAGCAGTACCGTGGACATAACAGAGTATACTGTTTCGCCCATGATACCCCCCATGCGTTGCCATTCCTGAAGACTCAGGTGTTATTCCTCTGTACCCAGTAAATTCACGCCATATCCCACCCTTCAAACCGAAACACAGCCATGCAAACACAACTGCTTTACGGTTGAAACACGAATGGAACAGAGGTACCCAAGAAACTGTTCTGAGTGCGAGTTTACAGTAAATGGCTTGTTTATGAGGCCGGTCTTAGCTTATTCAGCACCCTTGGATAACTTAATACTGGATATATTAAAAGTGTTATTTCATTTGTAAAACTTCGGATTTAAAGGGCTCATAAAGAAGCTTTCAAGTTACTACACTTTACTGAGATGCCTCTGGGTACACTTTTGACGGTGTTTGGAACTCTATTTCTATGTTGCAAAAGATCATCAGACATCTGTTTGTCATTCCAACGTCGAATTTGACGCGGTTCTTTACTGATAAAGCCAAACAATTACTTGAATGACAAATGCGCATGGTGTTAGTCGATCATGCGTGGGCTTTTAACGACCATGTAATTTTAGACGTAAATAAATACACCTAATATTAACAGAGATTTAAGAGTAACTGTTGAGTTTTTTGTGGGCTCTTAACAGATAACTACCATCCGAAACCTGCAGTAGATTAAAAAAAATACAGTTTAAAAGTGCTCATAAACAAGTCTATTTGAATAAAGATAAGTTAAATTTGATATCGGGCTTTTGGATGGTTCCCGAGAGGACCCGGTCCGGGGCTGGTGGTGATGGTGGTAGTGGTGGCTTATGAGTTGTTTGCGGGCCGCAGGTGAGTCGCAGCGCTCTGCACGAGGCGGGCGCGGCGGGCAGCCCGCGCACGTGCCTGCATGCCGCACTCGACCTGCTGGACGACCACCTCGCGCGCGGCCCTCACCAGCACCACCAGCACCAGCAGCAGCAGCAGCATCGAGCGCCGCGAGCCCCACGCCCCGCCGACAGGTGCGTACTCGCTGTGCCATTATAAGACAAATTCAACATTACATTATTCTTTACATGATAATGGCAAGTTAAAAACTGAATGTTTGTTGCCCAGAACTTGGCCATTTGGCTGGCGTTTTTTATGGTATAATTAAGTCTTGTAGCGAAGGTTGTATGCCTGGCTGGAGAAGATAAAAAAAAATAAAAATGTGCGTGTGTGCGTGCGTGCATGTGTGCGTGCGTGCGTGTGTGCGTGCGTGCGTGCGTGTGTGCGTGCGTGCGTGCGTGCGTGCGTGCGTGTGTGCGTGCGTGTGTGTATGTGCATTCCCGTGCGCGTATATATGTGTGTAATAGAATGGTTTTTTTATATATACTATATGATTAATATATGTTACTTTAATATCATATAGTTCATAGATTTAATATGTTTGCTTCCATTTGATTTTGTTTCTTTTAGGATACAGTTTTGTAGATTGCAAATGTTTTTGTTTCTGCAGGAACTTTAAGGCTGAATTGGCATCCTTTGTCATTTCCATAACACTGACTGATTTCAACTACTCTTTATATATAAATGTAAATTTTTTTTTCTATATTTTTTTTATTATTTGCATATTTAAGTATATGTAAGTGCTGTGGATTATTGAAATAAATTTTAATTTTTTCTTCGAACTTTGCAAATTTATAGTAATCTTTTTAATCTATATCTATCTATACTTATAATAAATCTGTAGAGAGGTCAATTCTGTACATGAAATATATTTCCAAAATAACTATCAGGGGTGATTAGTGATCGATACTGATGCCAAAAACGCAACCAGTAAAATTTTTGTCTGTCTGTCTCTATGTTCGTTTCAGAAACAAAAACTACTCGACGGATTTTAACAAAACTTGGTACAATTATTCTTCATACTTCTGGGCAGGTTATAGTTATCACGCTACGATCAATAGGAGCAGAGCAGTGAAGGGACATGTTGGGTAAACGGGAGAAGTTACTCCATTTGTAAGCTTCCGTCACGTGTGCAGCCTTAATAACCACTTAAAATGTAAAAATGTCCACCTGTACGAAGCCGGGACGAGCCGCTAGTAATAGAATAATATAGTTTATTAATAGTAGATGTTTCACCTCAAGTCCCGTTGAAGGGCAGTCTCACGAATTACCACCTATTTATTTCTTACTACGACCGACTTAGGTGTGTAGCCTGTTGAGCGACTTTCATATCAGATGTGGTATATTTTGTTTATCGGATGCGATACGGCGGCGGCAGGGAGGCGGACACGCTGGTGGAGAGCTGCTACCAGCTGGTGTACTGGCTGGCGGCGCGGCCGGCCACCTCCGCGCCGGCGCTGCGGCTGCTGCGCGCGCGCGACTACTTCCTCGCGCGGCACGTCAAGGCGGTCATCGACCTCGACGTGAGTACTTTTTTTTTTAATGGATGATAGTAAAATGGTAACCCCGCCTGCGTTATCGGTATACACTGGTGCCCACCAGTGAGAGATGATAGGTGATGATGAAAGCAGATCAGTTAGACGTGAAGAATTCCACGAGAAGTAATCGTGATGGTTACTTCTCGTGATGACCCCATTACTAACAATCTTTTTCTCCCCGACTGTGTGGAGTTTAACCTGGTTGGGTATTTTATCGTTTTCTTGGGTCATCAGGTTGTTTACCTTTGTAAGAGTGAGTGGTGTTTTTTTTAATATTTTTTTTTATACAACTTAGAATGGCAAATAAGCTGACGGCTTACCTGATGAAAAGTGATAACCGTCGCCTATAGACATGAGCAGTACCGTGGACATAACGGAGTATACTGTTTCGGCCATGATATCGCCATGTGTTAACATTCCTGAGGACTCAGATGTTATTCCTTAGTACCTTGTAAATTCATGCCATATCCCACCGTTTCAACCGAAACACAGCCATGCAAACACAACTGTTTAACTCTAAACCTCGCTTACGCTAATGATACAGGGTGCCGAGTCACCAGTGAGAGATGATAGGTGAGTATGAAAAGGCAGGTCAGTTAGGTGAATGATTACTATTAGAGGTGGCGCAACATTGCTAACAATGGGGCTGTTAGACCCCATCGCTAACAATCTCGTTCCCCTCCTACGCGAGTAGTCGCCGCTGCGGACCGCGGGAATGTTTCCAGGGGGAACCGCGTGTAAGTCAACCTAATAGAATGCCGACTGGTAATAGGTTAGACCCCATTGCTAACAATTTGTTTCCCCTCTGGTGACGTGGTGTGCGCGTGCGCGTGCGTGCGTGTGCGTGTGCGTGTGCGTGTGCGTGTGCACGTGGCGGGTCGGGTGCGCAGGCGGCGTCGCCGGCGTGGCTGCGCGCGCGGTCGTGGGTGGTGCGCGCGTGCGCGTGCGAGGCGGGCGCGGCGGCGGCGGCGCGCCACCACGCCGCGCTGGCCGCGCTGCTGGCCGCGCTCACCCTCACCGCGCACCACCCCGCGCAGGTACCACGCCGCATTCACTACCTTCTATTTTACAACAGGGGCAAACGAGCATGCGGCTCACTTGATGGTAATCACGGATGGTGTCACCCACAACACTAAGGGCATTGCAGGTGTGCTGCCGGCCTTTTAAAAAGGAATATGCTCTTTTCTTGAAGGTTATGTTGTCGTATCGGTTCGGAATCACTTTAAAACTCTTCATCATTACATAGTATAAAACAAAGTCGCTGTCGCTGTCTGTCCGCTCCTATATGTATGCTTAAATCTTTAAAACTACGCAACGGATCTTGAAGTGGTTTTTTTAATAGAGAGATTGAATAGGAAAGTTTATATGTATAATATATGCATAATATAGTAGAAGAACAGTGATAATTTTAGAAGTTTCTAATGATATGTGCACCCGTGCGAAGCCGGGGCGGGTCGCTAGTATTCAATCTACACTTCTTGGACAAAGCTTATTACGACACGACACGATTGCTTGAATGACAAACGTGCATAATATTAGTTATTCGTGTATGGGTCTTTTAATGACCATGTAATTTAATTATGTATTAATAGATTAAAAAAAATAACTAATGAACTTCTTGCGGGCTCTTCTCAGCAGATAACAATTTTTCAAATTCTGCAATACATTAAAAAAAAAAGACTTAAAAATTTAAATATTTTAAATGTTAATTAAAGTCAGGTCAAGTGTTAAGCTATCGTGACAAATTTAACAATAGTTAACCACGATGGTTCTTAAGATAAATCATCTAAAAATTAACTCGATAAGGTGTTTAGTTTATTAGTATTCATTATTTAATCACAGCGGCAAGCACTATTTGACAGCTGTGTCACTGTGATTGTCAAAATCTGTCATTTACTTTTTTTTTTTTTTGATAAATCTGACAGATTTTTGATGGCGCATGCGTGGTATAGTTGCCGCCAAAAAGGGATTTATGTGTGTTTATTAATGTTTTTATAGTACAAAGGGAGAGAAATATGATAAATCGTGCGTACTTTGTTAAAAAAAAGGGGTGAGATTCGATGAATAGTGTGTGCTCTGTTGGAAAACTACAACCGGCGTCATTAGGCTGGTGTGGAGTCCAGCCACATAAGCAAGTACCACACTTTATTACATGCCACATTTTACACTGTACATCACCTACACGTGGTAATTACCATGTTGTCCCGGTATAGAATGGGTCACTTCTTTCCTTGGGGGTCGCAGGAGGCGATTTAGGGAGTGCGAGGGATGGGCAGCAGCATTCCTTTTAAAACATCTCCAAAGTCTAACTGCAATTGTCAATCCTTTTGCCAAGCGTGGAAACTACTGAGTTCAGCAGTGGACAGTTAAAGGCTGATATAATGTTCTTCTTACTGACATGTGGAGAACTCTAAGTTTATATGAAAATGAAGAGAAAAGACAGATAAGATTGAGACAAGAAGAAAAGATGTGGTAACTACTTTTTGTCCCAGACTCCGAGTTGCAAAACAATGTGCCTTGTACCACTTCCTTGTTACTCATTAAAGGATCTTATAAAACCAAAGATATTGTGTACCATATTTATAATTTTTTTTTTGTAATGCTGTGTCATCGTAGCACATACAGTAAGAATTTTGTATATCTTGGCAGGGTCCTTATTGCCCGTAAAGTATATTGCACATCCCCCTCTCACCCCCACATACAAATACGCCCAACGCTTCGTTGACGTAATGGACATAACCTTTTGTACAGTATACGCTACTTCGTTTATAAGGCACGTATCGAGTTGGTGATATATAATATAACATTTTTAAACTGACTTAAAACACACTTCGAGAAATGGTTCAGGTAATTAACTGTCTGTTGTTTTTAATTCGCAGTTGAGCATAATTTGCTACGTACTTATTTTCGAAAAATAAAATATCAGCGAGAGACCAACTGAGCAAGCAATATTTTGTATCCCATATTTAAGTGAAGTATTTAAATTTAATTTACATTAGTCAGTCAAATTATTTAGTAGGTTACCCACTGATATGAAAATCACTGATAATTTCAATACCTTCAAAACTAAACTAAGAGCTATTTTGTTGAGAGAATGTTTTTATACTTTAGACGAATTTATTAATTGTGTGTTTGACAAGTAATTTAACTTTGTTATGTCAAGTAATTTATTATAAGCTATCATTTTGTTTTTTAATTTTTATTCTTAGAATTATTTTTTAATTGACCTTATTGTTTATTTTTTTAATTTTTAGTTTATAAAATATTGTAACTTATTTCAAACACAATTGTATGATTATTATTGAATAAATAAATGAAAAATGAAATGATAAGGAAGGTATAGTGCTCCCACCCAAATACACTTGGTGCTACATCGCCATAATGAGCACAACCTTTGGTACAATACATGCTGTTTTGTCTATGAACTACGTATCAAATTGGTAATATTAAAAAATCTCACTCCGAGACGTGGGTGAATGAGTGTGTCCAGTAGTGGTTGTGTGCGCAGGAGTGGGAGTGGTGCGTGATCCGGCGGTCGCTGGAGGGGCTGCGCGTGACGGCGGCGGCGGTGCCCGAGCCGCGCTGGCAGCTGTTCCACGCGCACCAGCTGCGCCGCGCCATCGCCGCCTGCGACCTGCCCGCCGCCGGTGCGTACTTACCACTTGGAAACGCTATCCACACAACATAACGCTAATAAGCTTTTTTTTAATAGATGAAAATGAAATGGTAATCTCGCCTGCGCTATCGGGATACACTGGCGGGACACCAGTGAGGGATGATAGGTAAAGATGAAGCAGGTTAGTTGGCCCATCGTGATTAATTCATCAAAAATTAATCACAATGCGGAACCATGTGGAGGTCGACCTGTTAGGGTATATTGCTAGTAATAGGTTTGTTGGATCTTATTACTAACAATCCTTGTTACCCCAACTATATACACTGGTGAGGATAAAAATCCCATTGTCATGAATACACCTGGGATTCAGTATGATGGTTTCTAAGAGGATTAGGGATAAGGTAACCTAACAGATATTGCTGGGGGGAAAGGGATTGTTAGTAATAGATACTGAAAATCCTATTGCTAGCAATATACCCAACCAGGTCGACCTCCACGTGGTTCCTTCTGGAAACTATCATGGTTAATTCCTGATGAATTCATCATGATGGGCTAACTGACCTGTTTTCATTCTCATCTATCACCCTTCACTGGTGCTCCGCCAGCGTATCCCGTTAGCGCAGGCGGGATTATCATACCATTTTCACCCAGCAAAAAAAAACAGATATTGCTAGCGATGGAGCTGATAGATCGACTAACAATCTTGTTTCGCCTCAAAATCGTAATGTTAACAATTTCAACTTTAGCTTTTTTAATTAGATAATTTTGATTAAAAGCTATATTGAATATAATAGTAGTTTGTGTGGTGATTAGGAACGGGCGGCAAGCGTATCAGCGTGTCACGGCTGCACGCGGTGCTGGCGCACGAGCTGGCCGCGCTGCACGCCACCGCGCCGCAGCGAGCGCTCGTCGCGCACGAGCTGCACAAGGTACGCGCGCACCGCACGCCGTACACTGCACACTACACACTGCACGCTACACACTACACACTGCACGGTGCACACTACACACTGCACGATGCATACTACACACTGCACGCTACACACCACCACCACACATTGCATGCTACACACTAGACAACACACTGCACGCCGTACACTGCACGCTGCACACCTGACACAACACATTGCATGTTACACATCGTACACTGCACGCTGCACACCTGACACAACACACTGCATGCTACACATCGTACACTGCACGTTGCACACCGGACATAACACACTGCACGCTGCACACAACACACTACATGCTACACATCGTACACTGTACACTACACAACACACTGCATGCTACAGATCGTACACTGCACGCTGCACACAACACACTATATGCTACACATCGTACACTGCATGCTGCACACCGGAGACAACACACTGCATGCTACACATCGTACACTGCACGTTGCATACTGGACACAACATTGCATGCTGCACATCGTACACTGCACGCTGCACACTAGACACAACACACTGCATGCTACATATCGTACACTGCACGCTGCACACCAACAACACACTGCATGCTACACATCGTACACTGCACGCTGCACACTAGACAACAACACTGCATGCTACACATCGTACACTGCACGCTGCACACTAGACACAACACACTGCATGCTACACATCGTACACTGCATGCTGCACACCGGACACAACACACTGCATGCTACACATCGTACACTGCATGCTGCACACCGGACACAACACTGCATGCTACACATCGTACACTGCACACTGCACACCGGACCAAACACACTGCATGCTACACTTCGTACACTGCACGCTGCACACTAGACAGCAACACTGCATGCTGCACACCTGACACAACACACTGCATGCTACACATCGTACACTGCACGCTGCACACCTGACACAACACACTGCATGCTACACATCGTACACTGCACGCTGCACACCTGACACAACACACTGCACGCTACACATCGTACACTGCACACTGCACATTGCACACCACATAACATACTGCATGCTACACATCGTACACTGCATGCTGCACACAACACACTACATGCTACACATCATACACTGCACGCTGCACACCAGATAACAACACCATGTTACACAACGTACACTGCACGCTGCACACCGGACACAACACACTGCATGCTACACATCGTACACTGCACGTTGCATACTGGACACAACATTGCATGCTGCACATCGTACACTGCATGCTACACATCGAACACTGCACGCTGCACACGGGACACGACACTACATGCTGCACACAAGACAACATTGCATGCTACACATCATACACAACACACTGCATGTTACACATCGTACACTGTACGCTACACATCGGACACAACACACTGCATACTACACATCGTACATTGCACGCTGCACACCAGACAACACACTGCATGCTACACATCGTACAGTGCACACCACACATTACATGCTACACACTGCATGCTACACATCGTACACTGCCCGTTGCATACCGGACACAACATTGCATGCTGCACATCGTACACTGCATGCTACACATAGAACACTGCACGCTGCACACGGGACACGACACTACATGCTGCACACAAGACAACATTGCATGCTACACATCATACACAACACACTGCATGTTACACATCGTACATTGCACGCTGCACACCAGACAACACACTGCATGCTACACATCTAAGTTCCATTTTACTTCTTTATCCCTTTAAGTCTAATAACTAGTCGGATTTGCAGTAATGATAATGTTTTAAACTCAGGTACTCGACTATGTCACAGAGGTGAACAAGCAGAGAAATCTTGCAGCCACACTCACACACTACTATGACTCGTGGCGGCAGCTCACAGAGATACTATTCTGCGTTGCGCCAGAGGATATACTGAACCTGGAATCGAGGAAGAATCTGCTGCTGAACATTCTCCAAGACCTATTAAATAAGATACCACCAGCTGAAGTGCTACCCCAAATTGGAAACCTGGCTTCCGGCACCGTTTTGCTACTTCTAGTCAACCTCCGCCACTGTTATATCCTACAGAAAAGGGACTCAAACTTAAAATCATCTGATTTCGAAACAACATTCTTCGGACCATCAAACCAGATAATGCAAACGAAATCTCTAACCCTGAAGTTCATACTGCACAAGATCCTTAGCTGGATATTAGTATCAGGCAGTTCCACACAGAAGATGCGAGTGAATCTCTATGGGGCATTACTGAATTATTTAAATATAGTCAATTTAAAGCCAAGTCCTGCCGAGCCTGAGGAGGAAATGAATTCCATGTATGTGAGTCGCTTGGACAGTTCAAAAGCGAGGCCGAGCAAAGAGGAATCCTCGTTGAAGTCTATGGTTATTGATGTTATCAGTAGTTTCGGTGACAATTTGTGTTCGATAGTGTGCAGTGACTGTATAGGCGCTGGGCACGATGTGTGCCGCATGGTGGCGCTCTCGTGTCTCGACACGCTCATAGAGATCAACCCAAGAACCGAATGGATGAATACCCTCACCAATCAGGGGTATTTGAGGAGTTTGATCGAGAGTTTGCTACAGGATGATGAAGGGCTTAGGGAGGTTAGTTATAGCTTATTTAGTTTTTTACTAATTTGTTAGTTATAGAATATCCGGCTCGAAGGATTTTATGTGTGATGTTTTTTATTTATAAATCGAGCAGAAAGATTTACATACTTGAAAATAATAATTCGTAAAATGGATTCAGTTTTCAAATTGAACTCTAAACGAATATTCAAAGATAGAATTTAATTTCAGTTTTAAAAATTCATGCTACAGAAAAGATGTTACTTAAATGGAGAGGACCTGAGGGTGATTTTGTATAAAAGTCGATTGCTTGGGTACCTCTGTCTCATTCATGTTTCAATCGTAAAGCAGTTGTATTTGCATGGCTGTGTTTCGGTTTGAAGGGTGGGCGTATGGCGTGAAATTACAGGGTACAGAGGAATGACACCTGAGTCCTCAGGAATGGCAACGCATGGGGGGTATCATGGGCGAAACAGTATACTCTGATATGTCCATGGCACTGCTCATGTCTATAGGCGACGGTTACCACTTTCCATCAGGTGGGCCGTCAGCTTGTTTGGCATCCTAAGTAGTATAAAAAAAATGGTGTTTATGCTCGCTAATGCGGTAGATGGTGATATAATATGGTGGGTGTGTTCGGGCAGACGCTGGAGCCGAGCCCGAAGTCGCTGCGCGTGCTGTACGTGTTCGAGTCGAAGATGGCGCTGCTGCTGAAGATGGCGGGCAGCCGCGTGGGCGCGGAGACGCTGCTGGCGCAGGGCGCGCTGTGCGGCCTGGCGCGCCTGCGCGCGCTCGCCGCGCACCCCGACACGCTCGCCGCCGCCTCGCGGCCCCGCGACCAGCCGCACTTCGTGCCCTCCGTCGCCGCCAGGTAGCCGCACGCCCTCTACAACCGCCGTAATCGCAACACCTTAGCGGCGGGGGAAAAGGGATTCATAGTAATGAGCTCTAATACCCCATTGCTAGCGATACACCCTATCAGGTCGATCTGCACGTGGTTCTCCCTGGAAACCGTAGTGGTTAATTCTTGTTCAATTAGTCACTATGGACGAACTCACCTGCCTTCTCACTGTCACTCCGTCAGCGTATACCGATAATGCAGTCGGGGCTACCATTTCATCTTCACTAATAAAAAAAATGCCTTAACGGTTGTTGGCGTATTCGGTTTAGCCTGCATGATATTTTTGCTCATTTCATATATTGACACGGCACAGACAAATTTCGACGTGATATCTTGAATCGTCAAAAGTTGCCCGGTTCAAATCTATTTAAGTAGCGTATTGAAATTCAGTTACTGGCATAAAGAATAATTATGTCAAAAATGTGTTCATAATAATAGTGAAGTTTGCGAACGCGCAGGCTATGGGCTGAGGTCCCTACTGAGGTTTTCCCCAGAGATTACAGAACCTCATATTCTTCAAAAAGGGTATATTAAGGTCTCTTCAGAGTCGACAACGCGCACGTGATACACTTAGTGTTGCAAGCGTCCATAAGCTGCGATGACCGTTTACCATCATACTTGTTACCCACTTTTGAGATAAAAAAAAGCTTTTTAAGAACAGATACAGTATTACGATATATTTGATTCAGATTCCGTCAGATAATAGTGCCGGTGCTGGCGCTGTGCGACGCGCTGCTAACGACGCTGGGCACCGACAACCACAGCTGCCTCGTACAAATTGCGCACCTGCTGCTCAGTCATCTAGAATGTATCGACATGGTGCTCAGGTAATTCTCCATTTCTTCACTCCATATTTATCATTTAGAACTATTTACAAATATTAAAATATAATTTGGACTTTATACTTTTCAAATGATAATTTAATTTATTCATATCCGGTGCGAAGGACCAAAATGTGGCGATCAGTCAAAACCGCTATGTTAATATTTACAAGATTTTTCTTGACTTTGTCGTTAAGTTTGTATTTTGATACTAGCGTATGGTTTATATCCTTGATGTCGTGATACTATGGACTATACACGTTGAATACATGTACTTGTGTGATATGTTCAGTTCATTCCATGACAAATATAGTACAAGACCCACGCGTTACTTATTAGCAGGGCGTCCTCATAGAACTGTGGCGTTTGAGGGAAGTTTCCGCTACCAAGCTACGAAATGCTGGAATAATATACCACCCCCAATAAGATTGTCTAAAACTAAACACAATTTAAAAAAAGAACTTAAAAAATTTTTAATTAATAAACAAAAAATTGGCATACTTAATAGGTACATAGCGGAAATATTTATTGCCTTAATACCTGAATGTGACAGAAAGTGATCTCTGACTACCCCTAATCTAATGGTATCTGTTATTTATTTAGAATATAATATCAAATGTAGGCGAATGTAATGGACACATACAACGCATTTTATTTATATTTCTTTTTATTGTTATTTTTAATGAGGAGTTTCGCGACTGACTCTTGGCCACAACAGAATATCAGTGTTTTGCTCTTTTAAGGGCAAAGCATTAAACTGAGTTGTGACGATTTTGTGTTACTATGGCACACGCATAAAGGAAGAGAAAGAAAGGAGATTGTTAGTTTATATATTTTGTTTTTTTTTTTTTGTTTTGTGCTTTTTTATTTTAATTCTTTTATCTCTTTTACTGTATATTATGTGTATGTATTTTTTTATTGTAATTTGTGTGCTGTAAGTAATGTAAATAAATTATCTATCTATCTATCTATCTATATGTACATGTATATGTGATAAATATTATATATGTGGATATTTTTACACATTTGTTTATAATTTATTAAAAAGTGAACTTGTACATTTCAGTTAGTTTTACAATTTTATTAATGTATTAATTGTATGTAATAGTTACTTAACTAATATGAAAAAACCTCGTCCATTCAGAGCGGCGCACCCGGATTCACCGGTGGAGCTGCTGACGGAGGTGGAGGCGCTGACGTCGGTGATCGCCCGCGCGTCCAACCGCGAGGTGCTGAGCGGCGTCCAGGGCGAGGGCGGCGCGGGCAGCGTGGCGGGGCAGCAGCGGCTGCAGGCGCTGATGCTGGCGCTGCTGGCGCGGTTCGCGCACCCGCCCCTGCCGCCGCACCTGCCGCAGCCGCGCCCCGGCCACGACACGCTCTACTATAAGGTGCTTAACTATTTGTTTTTATGGAGTCGCATCTGTTTTTTTTTTCTTTTTAAAACACAGGGGGCAAACGAGCATGCGGCTCACCTGATGGTAAGTGACTACCGTCGTCCATGATCACCCACAACACCAGCGGCATTGCAGGTGTGCTGTCGGCCTTTTAATAAAGGAATATACTCTTCCTGAAGGCTATGACGTTGTTTATGCGTGCAGTGCTATAAAGAAATTGTTGGTTTACTAACAAATGTAATAATTGTTAATTTACCACTGCACGTACTAGGTTAATATGTCGCTCCACCGTTTTTGTCTTAATTTACTGTATTTGTTATTAAGTATATAAGATCATTTTGATTTGTTCATTTTGAGAGCTATAACCGAGCCATTAGAAATATTTAGACAAACCTCGCCGTTTCAATACAACCCGCGACAGTTTTAATTACTTTATGAACCAAAATACTTGACATATGTAAATAATACATAGATAATAGAATAATATCGGGGGGAAAGGGATTGTTAGTAATGGAGACTGAGAATCCCATTGCTAGCAATATACCCAACCAGGTCGACCTCTACGCGGTTCCCCTTGGAAACTATCATGGTTAATTCCTGATGAATTCATCATGATGGGCTAACTGACCTGTTTTCATTCTCATCTATCACTCTTCACTGGTGCTCCGCCAGCGTAACCCGTTAGCGTAGGCGGAGTTACCATACCATTTTCACCCACAAAAAAAAAATAGAATAATTTCAGTACATAAATAAAAAATAATAAAAAAACTACATATACGAGGTCTGTGCGAACTGGCTTGTCACGCCAGCGTCAAGTTTCTCTCGAAACTCGGCAAGAATGGCCGTGAAATTTTTGCCGATCTCAGGTGAAGGAACCAACCGTCCACCATACGATGTTCATTTTCACAGAATTGGCGCAGGGGCGTTGGATTCTTCACCACGACAATGCCCCTGCCCACACCTCTCTTGTTGTCCGTGAGTTTTTGAGTAAAAATTCCAAAAAAAATAGAATAATTTCATAAATGAGATAAAAAAAGTACATAAATAAAAAATAAGGGGATAAAAATTTACCTGAATAATTGTAAAATAAAATTTTTAAAAAACTACATATATACACACAATACATATATTCACAATGTATGTTGTAGCTAAGTTAACACTATATTAGTTATTGATACGAGCATACAACCATCGTGTACCAAGCAGGCGTCACCATTAGACTGTTCAAAATCGATTTCTAATAAAACAGCATGTCTGCAATTTTATGAATATTTTGCTCCTGGTTGATGAAGTCCCGTATGTTGGCGCAGATCGTGTGCAACCTATTGACGTACGCGCGCAACATAATGGACTGCGAGGGTTCACGCGTGGTGGTCCGAGCGACGCTGGCGGGCGGAGGTGGCGGCGAGGGAGCGCCCGCGTCTGCGCCGTGCTGCGGCGACCTGGTGCGGCTGCTGCAGGTGCTGCTACAGCGGCTGCAGCTGCACGACAAGCTGCTCGCCACCGTTCATCATCAGCTGCAAAACGTCTCCACCATGACGCTCGACGGTATCTTTTATTTATATTATATTATTCTGAACGAACATAGCCTATATGGTCTATAAATGGTCATCAATCGAATAGAATGTTCTATTAATGTTTACTTATTAAGTGCTATAAAGGTGTGGTCAATATCTTATTAAAATATTCACTTGATCCGGCTCGAAGGATCATATTTCATGTATGCTATTAATTAAATTGTAAGATGATTGCAGATCTATATCTGCATTGACAATCATTGTATGGCGGCAGATATGAGGAAGCTGGTGACGGAGCAGGCGGCGGAGGAGGCTGCGGAGGCGGCGGGGGAGGCGGGGGAGGCGAGGGAGGCGGGCGAGCCGTGGTCGCCGGCCGAGACGCGCGCGCGCTGCGTGCGCCAGCTGGCGCGCAGGCGCCGCGCGCGCCGCGCCGCGCTGCAGCGCTGCCGCTTCGCGCTGGAGGCGGCGCTGCAGCTGCTGTGGGCGCACCTGCACGTGTACCTGCGGCTTACCGCCGCGCCGCAGCCCGTCAGCGCCACCGGTGACTTGTGTAACAATAACATACGTTTATTATAGTTACAATAATCTCCTCCTCCTCCCCTATAACGCGGTTGATTCGTTCTGCGTTATAGGGGTATTCCCGCATAACGCGTTGTTACGACTTCGTATGACGCGTTACGTACAAATGGTTCATCACATTTAACTTTTCTCGTTGCAGGGGGTTTAAATCAAATATTAAGAAATAACTATGTTATGAACGAAATATGTAATTTTTCATCGTGCCTCCCACCAAATTGTTTATAATTACTCCTCTCCATCCAAAAGATGCCTGGAAGAGATCGCTCTTAGCGATAAGGTCGCCCATTGTTTTCTCGTTGTGATTATTTCTTGTAATTGTTTGTATTTATAATAAGTTTACTATTGTAATCTTTTGGAGGAAACAATAAAGAGTATCTATCTATCTATCTATCTCTCTATGCAGCAGTAAGTGTCAGCATGGCGTGGCGCGCGGCGGGCGGCGAGGAGCTGCCCGAGCTGCGCAAGGGGCTGGCGGCGGTGTTCAACGACCGCTTCACCGAGCAGCTCATCGACACCGCCAAGGTAACGCGCTGGCCCAACACCAATACTCAACAATCTATTTTTTTATTTTATTTTATGGGCACATAAAACAGATCACAACAATAAAAAACATAAATAATAATTACGTTTGTTATTCGGCTAGGTTGTAATCCAATTACATTATGTGCACAGCTTGACTAATTCATGTAAAGCAAACACATAAAATAAAGAAAATACATAAAATGCTATATAAATATATAAAAGATAAAAGTATATCATCATCATCATCTTCCTATCCTTATCCCAATCATTTGTGGTGGTGGTAACAGAGTATATTGTTTCGCCCATGATTCGTTGCCATTCCTGAGGACTCGGTTGTTATTCTTTTGTACCCTGTAAGTTCACGCCACAGAGGTACCCAAGCAAACGACTTTTGTACAAAGTCTCCCTCTGCGGCTTTTCTCCCTAATTGTGACAAAACCTGCAAATACTTTTTGAGTATAAGCAAGCATTGTTTAGTTTGCAGTGTCCAGCGCAGTGAGAGAGTCCTTGTCAAGTTCAGTACAAACACTGTCAATATAAACTGTTTATGATTACTCCTCTCCATCCAAAGGTTGCCTGGAAGAGATCGCTCTTAGCGATAAGGTCGCCCATTGTTTTCTCATTGTGATTATTTCTTGTAATTGTTTATATTTATAATAAGTTTACTATTGTAATCTTTTGGGGGAAACAATAAAGAGTATCTATCTATCTATCTATAAATTCATTCTTTTTACAGAATCAGCCGCCGGCGTACCGTGACTTCGTCGAGGTGTTATTGAAGGACATCAAGAGCATGATCCAGTTCTCGTCGCTCTGATCGCCTCCGCGTGTTCCCGCAACGATCATTGCATTTGTACTTGTTATTAATAAACATTAGTTATTTTTGTAAACTTTTATTTCACTCGAGAAATAAATCTGGTTGATTGAACGAATGAATGAATAATTATTTACAAGAAACATTTTTTTTTAATTTTGGTACAAATAGTCATTACAAAAAAAGGAATAGTTACATATTCTTTTTTATATTATATAAAAATAATACCAGAGGGGGACTTTGTACAAAAGTTGTTTGCTTGGCCACCTCTGTCCCATTCGTGTCTCAACCGTAAAGCAGTTGTGTTTGCATGGCTGTGTTTCGGTTTGAAGGGTGGGATATGGCGTGAATTTACAGGATACAGAGGAATAACACTTGAGTCCTCAGGAATAGCAACGCATGGGGGGTATCATGGGCGAAACAGTATACTCTGTTATGTCCATGGTACTGCTCATGTCTATAGGCGACGGTTACCACTTTCCATCAGGTGGACCGTCAGCTTGTTTGCCATTCTAAGTTGTATAAAATAAAAAAGACAACGAGTACCGAAATATATACAATATTAGAAATTTATGTAGTTAATTGACAAAATTGAAACCATACGCGTATAAAATAAGTATATACAGGGATGAAATGATTATATAGAAAAAGCAGATACATACAGGTAATTGTAGATAATTGACATATATGGCTTAACACAAATATTCTTTAAACCTTATAAGTAAATATAATATCAAAGTGAGAACAGGATGGTAAGTATATACATGTGGGGGGAAGGGATTGTTAGTAATGAGAATTAATGGCCCCATTAGCAAGCCCTGTCAGGTCGACATCCACGCGGTTCCCCCTGGAAACCATTTTGACTAATACTTGTTGCATTCGTCACAATGGGCTAACAGACCTGCTTTCATGCTCATCTATCATCCCTCATTGGTGCCCCGCCGGTGTATACCGATAGCGCAGGCGGGGCATACCATTCCATTATCATCCATTAAAAAAAAAGTATATACATGTTAACAATAGGTACAAAGTTGTCATATTTCGCCATGATTGAGACATGCAACATTTAAAATTGAAAAAGTATAAATGATAATTGAATGAGTCATTAATACAATTGATAATGTTATAAAAATATACTACAAATGTATCAAATACGATTCCATGTTAATTTGCTGTTTCTAACTCTTGGACTAGATTATGCTGTATTCTAATATGCCCGACGAAACGTAGACATACTTAGTGTTACGTTCACCATAACGAGGACAGTCGACAGATGCCTCTGACTACCCCATAAGGGATTACAGTCGCGAGCATAATTTTTTATACAGGTCCAGAATCACATGTCGAAATTCATAATGCATGTCTGTGTCTTGTCAACAATAAAAAAAAAGAAATGTCACTGTCAAATCATGAACTATAGAAAACAGCTGTATAAAATTCCAGACAATTTATCATATTGAAGACTAGGCATCATGGTCTCCGACCTTAGCCTGTTCCACAACGGAACAAACGTACTAAAAAAAAAGATAACAGCTGTATTGATTGTAACACTATAGATATAAAAATAGTAATCAAAACATTCCAAAAGTCGTCTTTTGGAATGTATGTGGTATTGTACCTAGTTGGTAATATCTAACTCGTTTAGATATCGTCACCTTTATGGTAAACTTCGCAACTGAAAAAGATGCATTTTACAGGGGAACGTTTTGAAACATTAGAATGCAAATAACTTTTGACAGTAAAAGATCATGCTAAAATTTTAGTTTTAAAATCCTGTTTTTTTTTTTTTATTGAATGCGCCTAATTAATTATTATTATATTACAAGTATCAGAAATAAATGCAGAGAGTTATATAGAGTTCATAGAGTTCCTAGGTATTGAGTTATACAGCAGCAAATCTCCGAAAGTGGCAGAGTCGTAAGTTGCCAAAGAAAATAATTTATTTTAATATCTGGCAAACTAACGAAAGTGTACCAAGGTTTAAATCACGTGTTTTGGAGAAAACTTCAGTTTAAATAACAACGTTATAGCAACCATTCACGTAAAATAACTAAATTTGGATTGAAAAATTGATAAAATAATTATTGAAATTTTCACATTAAAGTGTTTATTATAGAAAATACTATAAAAATATGCTAAGTAAATTTACTTTGGGTATATCACAAAAATATGGAGATTCGAGCTACTCGATTTTTTTAACCGTTAGAGATAGAAATTTGAAAATAAGCCATTATAAGTAGTATGGGGCAAAATGTAGATTTTTCAAATTGAAATTCAAATTGGACAAAATGAATTTCAATTTGAAAAAAATTTTATCAAAAATGGTTCACAAATTTTTAAACAAAAATGACTGGTTTTGCTAGGATTGAACTCTACTTGTTTTTTTTTTGTGGAACGAATTATAATAGGAAATCTTGTTTATTATTGAAAAACATAAAAAGGAAAACGAAATTCTTAAAAAAATTACCCTTTCCTATTAATATTACGTAGACACAAGTTATGCCACAAGTTATGTCACCATTACTAACAATCCCTTCCACCTATTAGTATCCGTTACCTTTAACTATACAAACAGAACTTGTAACACGCGTTAGAAATAAAAAAACACTTACATTTTGTTTGTAACAGGAGTTGTCTCAGTTGAGAGCATAGATTACAAAGTAGGTATATAGATAAGCGATGTAAAAGAGAAAAAATATAGTAACGTATATGTTAGAGCGATATAGGCAAGACACTCACCAATACAATATAAGCTCGAAGCTGATTTGGCGGGAATATGACCAAAACATGTTCTAATTATTTTTATGTTTTGAAATGGAATTAGTTTTAAGTGAATATATTATTTTTTGATGGGTGAAAATGGTATGGTAAACCCGCCTGCGCTAACGGGATACGCTGGCGGAGCACCAGTGAAGGGTGATAGATGAGAATGAAAACAGGCCAGCTAGCCCATCATGATGAATTCATCAGGAATTAACCATGATAGTTTCCAGCGAGAACCGCGAGTAGGTCGCCCTAGTTGAGTATATCGCTAGCAATGGGATTCTCATTCTCCATTACTAACAATCCTTTTCCGCTCAGTGAATATAGTTAGCTAGAATTAAGCGTGTTATACTTGGATATAACATAAATAAAAAAAAAAAACACGTAATAAAATTGTACATATTTCATGTAATTACACTTTCAACATTTATCTCTCTAATACATACATACATATCTGTGACGCCTGTCTCCCATTAGGGTAGACGGAAACAATGGAACGCCAAATGCTTCGATTCAAACAAACCTCCTTCGCTTCCTCCACATTCATCAATCTTTTCATACACGCTCGCCGGTTACTAAATGTAATAAATATTATAAAACACTCAGAAATACATATTTAGTACAAGAATTATTAGGAAAATATATCTATTTGAACTCAAATAAAGTTCTGAACGTCCACGAATTGAAATATAAATTATAATAAATATTTATTTATTTAATAAAAGAGACATTTGTTACTTTTTGTGACTTTAATTCTATATACAGTTAGACCTGTTACGTGCGTACATTTGCAAAATACTCATAAATAAAAATTATTGCGAGATTCTTTTGTCTACGCAACTTAGAATGGCAAACAAGGTGACGGTCCACCTGATGGAAAGTGGTAACCGTCGCCTATAAACATGAGCAGTACTATGGACATAACAGAGTATACTGTTTCGCCCATGATACCCCCTATATGTTGCCATTCCTGAGGATTCAGGTGTTATTCCTCTGTACCTTGTAAATTCATTGCCATATCCCACCATTCAAACCGAAACACAGTCATGCAAACATAACTGCTTCACGGTAGAAACACGAATGGGACTTTTGTATAGTCTCCCTCTGGTTTTATTATTTTACTTAGAAGGATTAGATAATCATCTTATTCATAAAACGTCAAAATACTTAAAATCATGTTTTGTCCCTTTTGGACTATTTTCTCAATTTGAAATACAATCACAAAACACAGTAATTGTTAATAATAATAGTATTTTACCGCTTGTACAAAGGACTGTGCTCAGAGGAATTGTTCAATATGATGCCCACGGCCATTTTCTACCATCGTACAGTTCGCCATCGACAGGGAGTTCATTTCCATATCTTAAGATCTAAATGGTCGCGTATAGCGCAGTTTCAAAGATGTTTTCTCTCACAAACGCTTAGGTTATGGAATTAGTTACTTGTCGAGGTTTTTCCTAGAGACTACAAAATGGGGTTCTTCAAAAAAGAGGTAAAGAGGTTTCATCAGGGTCAGCAACGCGCGCGTAATGCCCCTGGTATTGTAGGCTTTCTTAGGCTACGGTAATCGCTTACCATCACATGGGCCGTATGCTCGTTTGCCACGTCAGTAGTATAAAAAAAAAGTAAAAATAGGTTTGTAGAACGTTTTACTTTTTATTAATAATAACAAGTCTATGACGTATCATTTTAACAAGGTAGATATAAAATTATTCAAATAAATCTATGCACAAAATTGACGAAAGAAATACAACTAAGTGTACGAACTGATAGCTCCACTCGACAAACAACTATCAATTTAATTAGAGATCCGCGGGCAGCCTCTTTACCCGCGTAACTTTTCGATTTACATTCAAAACGGTCTTTTAAAACCAACTCAATAACTACAGTCCTCGTTTGGACGCGTGCTTTAGAAATCGTTCGACTATAAAACTTTGGGTCTACGCCTCCATTGGTAGAAGCTGGCAGGGTGGAGCGAGCAAGCTCCGCCCGTCGATTTCTGCGCATGCTAAACGCGATTTAAAGCCCGTTTAAGCGGTATTTTGGGCCAAAACCGCAAGAAAATGTATGTAACGTCGGTTAGGGGTAGGGCGTAGCTAAATGAAAAGGATTTTTCGAATGAGCTACGATTTTTCGAATATGGCGGACAGTCGTTACGTATGCCCGGGAAAGAGTACCACAATTGTAAAGTTTCAAAACTCAATAAATATTTTTATCTACCTTCTATGAATAAAATTAATAAAACAATAAACAATTTTAATATCTACTGTTTTATAACATTTCAATTAAACAGATATATTTTTAAATAAACAAAAAATATCGTTCTATTCTCTCATCGAGAATTTTTGAATTTTTGAAACTGCTGAACATACAGAGGTATCAATCAATAAATGTGAAAAATGTAATAAAAAGTTGAGATAATGAAAAAACATTTTGAAAATTTGTGATCGACGGTTTAATTGTGTGGTTTGTATGGATTCGACGATGCAGGACAGTCACAAGTCGTTTTTAATCAAGGACCTCCTCGGTGATGTGCTGCGGCCGGGCGTCGGCGGCACTGCTGTTACAGGTCAGTTAATTACATTTTAAAATTCTGTAAAACCTAATACCCTTAAGAGCCTACCGACTAAACCGTCTTTAAAAAAAAAACGTTCATGCTCACTTTATTACTTTATCCGAGCAGTAAGTACTTTATATGATTCTCAATTTCGTGTATAATATAGTATATATCATATATGTGTGAGTATATTTGTTATTTATGTATATTTTTTCATTTATATATGTAATTTTAGTATGTATGTATATCAATAATTAGTAGTACCGCATTCGAGTATTCTGACAATTCCCTATAGTTGACTGGGAGAGAATGCTTTTTAAATCATTAAGTCCGCCATGTACACATACATATATGTACTAATGAATAAATAAATAAATAAAAAAAAAACCAGTTCATTCTTGTCATTTTTTTGGGGGTCAAAGATTGTACTTACGTGCGAACACGTAGACGGCCCTTTTTTTAATGCATGATAATGGAATTGTTACCTCGCCTGCGCTATCGGTATACGCTGGCGGGGTACCAGTGAGGGATGATAGGTGAGAATGAAGCAGGCCAGTTAGCCAATCGTGACAAATTCGACAAGAATTGTTCACGATGGTTTTCAGGGGGAACCACGTGGAGGTCGACCTGTTAGGGTATATTGCTAGTAATGGGGTTATTGGGGCCAGAGGGAGCCTTTGTACGAAAGTCGATTGCTTGGGTACCTCTGTCCCATTCGTGTTTCTACCGTTAAGCAGTTGTGTTTGCATGGTTGTGTTTCGGTTTGAAGGGTGGGATATGGCGTGAATTTACTGGGTACAGAGGAATAACACCTGAGTCCTCAGGAATGGCTACGCACTTGGGGGTATCATGGGCGAAGCAGATACTTAGTTATGTCCATGGTACTGCTCATGTCTATAGGCGACGGTTACACTTTTCATCAGGTGGGCCGTCAGCTTGTTTGCCATTCTAAGTTGTATAAAAAAATATATTTGACCCTATTACTAACAATCCCTTTCCCCCCTATGTTGTGATATTAACATAATATCCCATAGATGATTCATTATTCATTAACACAAAGAAACCAAGGCTATACAAGTATAAATATAAATAGTCTAAGATTACAGAGTGAGCTACTAACTTTTGAATGAATGAATGAATGAGTACACTTTATTTGCATTATACAATATAGGAAATAAGCAAGACAATTTACAAACACAACGATACAATTGTATAAGTACAGTAAGGCGGTCTTATCGCTGAGAGCAATCTTTTCAAGACAACCTTAAGGTAATGGACTAATTGTTGTACAAGTAGGTATACGAGTATTAACGTTTTTGGGATGGGCAGTAACGTCCCTTTTAAAACATCACCAAAAGCCAAACCGCGATTGCCAACCCGCCTGCCAAATGTGGCAAATACTGGCAAAACTCCCTTTACTGGGGAGGCTATGTCCAGCAGTGGACAGTTAACAGCTAATATTGTTGTATCAACTAATGTTTTCCTGCAACTTTATTCGCGTTAATGTTAGAAGAGGTAACCCCTTTCAGATGGCATATGATAGATAGATAGATAGATAGATAGATAATTTATTTGCATTACTTACAGCACACAAATTATAACAGACACAGATTTATTTATTTAGGCTCACCAACAATTGTTTTCACAAGATAGTGTAAATATTTATACAATTATGGAGCTTAGAACTGAGTGTAACATTTTTTTATAACCAAACACAGCATGTATTGATACATTTATAACAATTAGTACGGAGAAAAACAAAATAAAAAGTGAGATAAAAGAAATGATTAAAAAATACATAAAATTAAGTAATAATATACATATATATTATCAATATACGAGTACAAAAGACTGGCAGTGATCATGAGCTGCGGTAGTCACTTACCATCAGGTGAGCTGCATGCTCGTTTGTCTCTTGTATTATAAAAAAAAAAAAAAAAAACATTAGTTTGCATTACACTAGATATTACGGAGCAGTGGACTGTGATGAGGTGATGAAATGATGTAGACACGGAATTTAGTAGCGAAATAAATGTATTAAACAACTTAAATTTTTATATATTTTTAATTTGCATAAGATGCTTGTTTAATTATACAGTACTATCATACCTACTTGTACAACAATTAGTCCATTACCTTAAGGTTGTCTTGAAAAGATCGCTCTCAGCAATAAGACCGCTTTACTGTACTTATACAATTGTATCGTTGTGTTTGTAAATTGCCTTGCTTATTTCCTATATTGTATAATGCAAATAAAGTATACTCATTCATTCATTCATTAAACTAGGCCTTCAAAAATGCAACTATGAAGGCCGCATCCAATATGACGGAGTTGCTTTTGCGTGATGTCGCAACAAACATACAGACGGAAATATAAAAAAAAAAATTTAGTTTCTTTTGCTCCTATTAATACTTCTTATATAATTTTTTTTTATTTATATTTTATATACGGACATTGACCAGTTACAATTTTAATATATTAGTAAAATGGAAAATTTATTATTAATGTTTTTTTTTTTTTTTATACAACTTAGAATGGCAAACAAGCTGACGGCCCACCTGATGCAAAGTGGTAACCGTCGCCTATAGACATGAGAGTACCATGGACATAATAGAGTAATTTGTTTGCCCATGATACCCCCCACACAAATTATAACAGACACAGATTTATTCCTCTGTACCCAGTAAATTCAACAATTGTTTTCACGAAACACAGTGTATAAACACAACTGCTTCACGAGTTGAAACACGAATGTGTAACATTTTTTTATAACCAAACATCGATTTTGTACAATTTATGGAAAATGTAGGAAAAGAGACAAATTATAAGAACTATTGAGGTCAGAAAGGGAAAAATGTTGTGACACTTGATACGACACGACGAATTTATGAACATTTTCTGTCTGTTTACTTTATATCTATCTATTTACTGTACGGATAATCTGGTAGTATTGTTTTATTGTTACCCTATTCCCTTTGGCCGCAACAGAATATCAGTGCTTTGCTCTTTTGAGCAATAAACTGAGTTGTGGCCATTTTGTAGTGCTATGGCACACTCACAAACGAAAATTATATTTAGCTTTATGTATTTTTTTTTTATCATTTATGTTATGTCGCTTTTTTTTGTATATGTATGTTGTAATTTGTGTGCTGTAAGTAAGTAATGCAAATAAATTATTTATCTATCTTGTGGAATCTTATCATCATCATCAGTGACCCACTCATTGTATTCTCCGGATGTACTCCCTCATTCATAAAACTTAAAATCTCCTACAAACTATAATATTTTAACTATAACACAGTTTTGTCACTTTCTTATAAATTGGGAATTTAGTATAAAAGAAAGAGACAAAATAGTTCAATAGCTAAAATAGATTTATGAGAGGTTTGACGTTTTTACGAATAAAGGGATTATTTTTCTGTGATTTTCACTTTTTTTTAAAATTAAAAGAACATGTCTTTATTACTATACCATTGCTTTGCAATAAGACCGCCTTTTGTACTACACTATACTTATCGAAAACTCTTTAACAAGTCCTGTAATTTTGGTGCAATAAAGTGTTAAATAAATTAATAAATAAAAGTCTATGGAATTAAATTTTACCATAACGATGCAGTTACGGCTGTCGTAGATAATTTTTTACTAAATTTCTTTTTTTTTTATATTTTAAAAGACATTTTGACCAGTTACAAAAAAAGTATATTATAAATACACGCAATTTATTATTATGTAGAAAATCAAATATATCAATATTTTTAAGAACTTTTACTCTAAGAACTTTTTGATTCTCGTGTAATTGTTTGGAGGAAATAAGTTCAACAACTAACTTTGATTATTCACATATATTATATACAGAAGGTAAATATTATATACAAAGGAATATGTAGAAAATAATATATAAAAACGGAATTTAGAAGTGTAAGAGGCGAGCGATGATGATGAGAATGACAGCAGAAATGAATGTAAGAAGTAAACGTCGCTGTCACGTCTGTACGACCAGTTAAGGGAAGAAAGAGGTGAAATATATATTTACAATTTAATTTTTTGGAAAAGAATCATTAATGATGTTGACAAGTTTTTATGAGATGAATATTTACAATATTTATTTACAGACGCCACATTCGTATCTTATTCTATAAATATTTATTTATTTATTTATTTTATTCTTTATTGCACAATAAAATCTTGTACAAATGGGAGATTAATGCCATATGGCATTCTCTATCATCATCATCAGTGAAAACAGAAACGTATGAAGGGCAGATGTGGTGAAAAATATGTGACAATTATAGTAACACATTAAGGCAATACACAATATAAATATAATATACACATAAGAAATGCACATATAATACATAAAATTACTTTTAATATATATGGATAAACTAATACATATGAAATATATTTATACATATACATTTTTAAAACAACGATAATTTTTATGAGATATAATAACTATTTTGACCTTAATTAGAGCTGGTTTTGTTGACTCAACAAATAATTAAAAAGTCTTCTTTTAAAAATATCTTTACTTGATGCTCTTTGCGTAGATCTACAGTAATTTTATTCCAAATGATAGTGTGAAAAAATTAATAAATCCGGAATGATGTGACGTGGTGATGAAGGAGATTTTAGATGAAAGATTAAGGGTATGGAAGTCTTTGAGGTCTAAATCTATCTTCAAATAAAAATATTTACAAATAAAGAATTTAAGAATTAGTTGGATTCATTAGGACTTAGAGAGAAAAGGGTAGTTAAAAATATATTTTAAATTTTTTTTCGTTCATTAAAACTGGATCTGGCAAACAAGCCCTGAATAAGGTCCATCATATAAAAGAAAGTAACTCAACAATTCCTTTATCATAGACTGTATGTATTTTCCCAAGGAGTTAACAATATTATTAGAGTTTCGTATACAAATAGTTAAATCTCTTATAATTTTATTATATTTATTAATTTTCTGTCCGTATGTCAGATCATAATTATGAATACTAAAATCGATCTTCAAGAA